CACGATGAATGAAGAGACGGCAAAGGAATGCTGCCAACCAGCAAACACATCAAAGTCCAGCCATCTCCAGCCATCTCCCTCACTCATTCACCCTTTCCCTTCAGCCTCTCCGTCAGTTATTTATTGTTTTAAATTATAGTAGTTCGTGTCCGCGAGCGGGAGACAGGAGGCAAATAATTCATAGGTTTCTTGGCCCCCCAATCATCTGCCGGGCAGTTTCTCTCCACCAAGGACTGCCCCATCTTTCCTTCGTCTCTCATCTGGTCCATTCGGTCGGAGCTCACCACAGACAAAGAGACGAGGAAAGAGACGAACTCACTCTCGGCATTCCTTCACTCGTCAAAGACATGCCATGCAACGCCATCAAACGCTACTCTTGCAGCCTATATCGAGACGGAACAGGCTGGGATGTTGAGGTCTGTGAGGATTAATCTGGTTCTCAGCCTTGATGGTTGCATCGGCAGGCTGTGCAAAGGGCTGGAAACTCTCGCAGCGGCAATTTCCTCAGTTCAGTGACCCAGGAAAAAAAGAGGGAACCCTTTTTTGGGAAGACCATTTTTGGTGGGGCATTCACAAAAAAAGGGGGAAAAGAATTGGTGCCACTGAACAACTGAGTTTCACAAAGCCTTGGCAGCAGCACTGCTTGCCGAAGGCAAGTGCAAAGCAGCGTCCTCCGAGCAGCGCCAATTCCGCGTCAACGCAAGCCGCAGGTCAGCTTTCTGATGAACTGCGTCCGTTTTCCAATGCACTTTACACGCTCCCACTTAGGGTTGGTGGTGCGAGGTCCAAATTCACTTCTCCCAGCCCTAAGTCAAATAGGAGTGGAAAGCTAGGTGCTTTGGATTGGCGCTCGGGCCTACGCGAATGAGTTGAACCCGAAGGCGTGCTGCAGCCTTGAGAGCGCGTCCGTGGGAAGTTGCGGCGTGCGCAGCGCAAGCTTCCGACCGCGGCGTGCGCGCAAGTCAGCAGTCCAGAAGCGTCCAAGCACAGCAGTCTGAAGCTGAAGCTTGCCGTGAAGTTCGGCTGAGGCGCTCAAGTCAAGGTCACGGTCAAGGTATCATGACGCTGCCGGCCATGTCATCTTCCACTCCTCCCGCAAGCCTGCACATCCCTTTCCCAGCAGCCTTGTAAAGGGAGCACACCCTGGAGGAGCCTGGGACGCTGAAGCGCCAAAGTGCTGAGATAAGTCTCAGCCTGGATTGCTTGGCGGGCAGGTTCCGCAAGACTTTGCTTCAAGCATGCGCAAGTGAAGCTTCCAAGCTCTGGGCACCAGGTTAGTTGGCTTCAACACTTGCAGATGGCAATGTTCTTGCAAAGCCCTGCCATCCTTGCAACGCCGGCATGTCTGGTTTTCAGTACCCCAAGTGTGACCTCTTGAGCATCTTGATTCGAGGCCAGCCCCAGAATTAAAGCAAATGCTAGGCCAAGACGGGATCATACAATTGAACCCGAGCGCGTGCCACGGCCTTCACAGCGAAAGGACTAAGAAGTTGCGCTGCTGCCCGTGCCGCGCAGAAACACATAGGCCTTACAGTGTGTGAGCGCATACACAAGTGGGCAGTTCTGTAGCGAGCAAAATTGTGTCCACCAACCACAGCGGCAGTCTCGAACTGAAACTTGCTGCAAAGTCCCGGGCACTGCAAAGCTGGATGGGTCCAACGTGCTTTGCTCAAGGCTACATGGCCCCTCAGGTCATTTAGCACTCCGGAACAACAGTAATCAAACACGACGCTCGTCTCCTGCCAAACCATTGCCCAATGTTGCAGGGCCACACAAGATGCTGCAAACCTCACATTTCAATCGAGGTCGCGAATACCTGCTGCAAGAAGGCACATCCTGTTTGATAAAAACTTATTTTGTTCCGTGGCTTCGCTTTAAACATATTTAAACATTTTACGGCATTTGTCTAAACTCTCGTTTCATGGAGCGCACTACGATCTATTGCCAATTGGTGGACAAAAGTTGACATTTGGACGGGCAAAGTTGCCATTCACTTGGATGGGTAACCCCGCCGATTCAATTTCGCACGCCACCAGAAGCTTCTAGCTTGCAAACTGTCGCTTGTCGCTTCGCCAAGAAAAACGTGGTCTCAATAGAAAACACTGTTTTCTGACCAAACTGCAGAAACAATGCCCCTCAGGAAGGCATGGGTATGTGGCTGGACGGTCTGGCTTGAGATGGTCACTGAGCAGGAGATTTACTCCTGGCTCTGTCGAACAATTGGCACGCCATCTTGTTTGCAGCCGAGGCGCCGGACAAGCATGTCTTGAACTAATTGATACGCGCTTATTCAGAAATCAACAAGAAGGAGCTCGTTTGGCTCCACTTCGGCATGTTGGGGTCCACACCTCTCCGAGTCAAGGGATGCATGTCGGAATGGAAACGGCCAATACTGTCCATCGGCTCGAGCAAATCTCTCAACCAATGACCTTGTTGCGAGCAAATCTCTCAACCAATGACCTTGTTGCATGCTCCCATGTTTGCCTTAACATTTGCGCTTCTCCCACCTGACTAGACGTTGAAGCAAGCAAATTGGACAAGTGCTACTACCTAGACAACCTCGTTGCCATGATAGGTCATCTGATCCCGCGGCCAAACCTAATGGACTTTAATAGACCCTTTCTGCCTTGAGTAAGTTTATTGGTTTTCCGAGAAGAACACGAAGTACGCTTTTTGGATTGTCAGTATCCAATCAAACAATAATCGTGCCCATTCTCCTTGCCGACTATCAGTTCAACCAATGGCAGCTCCTGCTTCAAGAAAACTCAACTTTCAGTAGACGTGTAGCGCACAAAGTACACTGCGGCAACTCTAGAGTGCAACTGTTCAGCATGGACACTTCCCTCAAGTTAACTCTTGGGCCAGCTAAATTACATATTATTTAGAGCAACACTGCGTTGAACAACTAAGCTGCCCAGCGAGCGTGGGATTCTGTTGTTGAATGTTGTAGCGGCACACCAACCAGAACAATGGCGCACCATTTCTCGACGACTTGAAGATTTGAGGGACTCAGCACCTAATATTGCATTCGATGCCCTCAATAACCGTGACAACATTTAGTCGGAAGCCTCTCCCGCATCCTTTCTGCCTCCTCGAGGTATACGTCAAGAATGTCAGAAGGACACTTCCCGCCAAGAGAGGTGAGTGTTGGGCATTCATTCAAACCGAAAGACGCGATCGAGTTGATGGCCACCCTTCCGGAGGAAAAAACAAAATCGCAAGCAGAGACTGACGAAGCGTGCACAGAACAATTTGACATGAGCACACCTCAATGAAGGAATTCTCACCCTCCTACAGTGAGTAATGAGGATGGTCCCATTCGCCAAGGTTTGCAAGGCCCCATCAGGCTCCATGGTGGTTTGAACAGGGGCCCATGCCCAAAAGACATTTTGAGAACCCCTCCAACTGCGGCGCAGAAGAACCCAAGCCAGTCTTGATCCAGGCTTCCGCTCTTGATTTATTCCTTCCAGGCAAATTGGAGAACAAACAACATCTGGTCAGAGCCACAATGACCCTTGGCAGGCGCAAGCGCGGCATCTCCGGCACCGGGCTCCGGAATCAACGCCGGCTCTTCTGGAAATCTAGGCCACCAGGGCAGCTGGCATGAGTGACACTTTAGCAAGCTGAACGGTGCTGAGTCCATGTGTGAGGCGGGCGGTGTCACACTAAAGTCAAGCCTGCTTGATAGCTTGAAGCGTCTCATGCGACATCAGATCTAGCGTGGTGCGAGCAGATTTGCTCGGAAACGAGTTTTGCGAGCAGGCCATGAAACTCTGATGCTTCGTGTGCTGAGATGAGTCTCAGCCTGCTTGGCGGCCAAGCTCCATTAAGCTTCGCAGGAAACTTGCGCACTGCAATATGCTCTCGTGAAACGTTACACGCGTTCAGTATCTTCTATCTCACGCCTGCATGCATGGTTGTGTCTTCGTGTTCTTCCATGCACGTTCACGCGTCTTCGAGCGTCTCTGTGACGTCACGTGTCTGTGTCCGTCTTCGGACGTCTGCGTGTGTCTCAATGTCTCCTCTCGACTCTGTGCGTCTTGGCGCCAAATTGGCGCTCCCTCTACGGACAACAACGCCACGGGAAACTCTGTTGATTTATTCAGAAAATGCTGGTAGCTGTCGAGGATTTGCGAATCAGGGAAACACCCGAGTAAACCCGCCACGTTCAAACCCACCCATGCTGAACCCATGCATTTTACTCGTCAAGTGTCAACCCTCAGGTTTAGTTGCCCAGCCAAGAAGACAAGGCCATTTCTGTATTCCCAATCCATGCCATATTTACCAACAGAACTGACCCATTTGGAAGGTAACCGTGCGCATATATCACCTACGGGGATTCATCATACAGTTCGCAAAGGGCACCAGCATTGTAGTCGTGAGGGCTGAAGAAGGATACGTGCATAGGTGTCCTTTTAGATAAAACAAATCGATGGCCTAGATGATTCAACCACCAGGTATAGCAGGAATCGAAACCCATCTATGTTTCTGCACCAAAACACCAAAACAACCCAAAAAAGGAAACACCTATGGATACCTGGGCTACAAAAGATCAGAGGCAAACCAAAACTCGATGAGATGTGGGAATCCTCCTTGATTGCCACTTCTAGGGTCCAAAGGTGCCGAGGGGGGGTGTCCCCCATGCGCAAAACCTGGGCCTGGGCTTGTCTTTGAACCATGGCTCAGCTGAAAAAACGACTCTTGCCTCAGAAATCCAAGTAAGATGTGTATGACCCGCAAGCAAACATCCTCTAGACATATTGGCTTCCGCGCTCAATATAAGTGAATATGCAGGGTAATCAACTCAAAGTTCAACGGCTTCATCGCCAGGGAAGTTGTGACACCAGGATTTGCCCCACCTAAGGTACACACACGCAGACACACACGCAGACACACACGCAGACACACACACACACACACACACACACCTGAGAACCTAGCTCTTGTTCACCTCGAGCCCAACCTCCGGCTCTAAAAAAAAACGCGGCCGGGCCCCGCGCTCAATGGCCGTGTCGAGCGGAGTGAAGTACCAATCTCCCTTCCTCAGGCTCAGCATAGGTGTCCTGTTAGGTTGGAAATAGATGGGTTTCCCTGGTAGATGAGAAAAAAACACCAGGTACAGCAGGAATCGAAACCCATATCTTTGCTTTTTTTAAACTAAAACAACCAAAAAATCGGACACCCATGCTCCGAACGATTCAGGAGATTCCGCGATTCTGACTTGATCCAAGCTGGGCTCGCGTACATGGACCCGAAAGAACGATCCAGAATGGAATATCATCTCAGAAGATTGAGCAACTACCCCAAGTTGAATGGGCATTTGGCTCTGGCTCAAAAAACTGGTACCAAAATGGCACCTTCGCAAATGGAACCAAAGACTAAAACCTGCGTAACCCTAGGTCTTTAATTTTGAGCCACACCCATATTGAGAAACACTGGTAGGTTCTTGAGAGGCCTCCTTCAAAGTGGTGACTTACACTTACCGAGATTTCTGAAGCAGATCGTTTGAGCTGACATCTATGCAAGACCCTGCCCGCTTCTCTTTCTGTATACCACTGCCACGACCAAGTTTGTTTGTGCCCCATGCGAGAACCCCCCCCCACTCCAGTTCCTGATTGGACTTTGGGGAGCCTGCCCCATGCCATGCAAATTTACTAGTGTAGATGCCAGTAGATATATCTGACTGCTGCTCATAAACTCTGACCCGGCAACTCATCACGCGCATGAGCCCAGCACAGGATGTACCCCTCCTGCTCAGTGATCTTGACCTGATAAGGACATGCTGACTGGGTATGCGTCATGAACCGGGACACCATCTGGTCCAGCTCAGAAACTTAACCGAATTGCAAAAAAGCATTTCCTGTAGACCCAGCCTTTGTTCTTTTATATGTCCACTCAACGCAGGGGCCATCATACCTTTTGTTGTCAGGGAGGAGCGTTCATGATCTCTACAGGCCATTGGGTTGACCTCAGGCTTGGAGGCGTGCCGCGGGTGGCTTTCCGTCGACCTTCTGCAAGAAGGGGTTCAAACACAAATCCATCAGAATCCAAACCACCAATTAGGCGATACCTGAAACTAGGCTACAGTTATTCCCCAACAGCTGAAAGCTTTGGGGTCTCAGCCCAGATAGGCTCCGGGGCAGTCCGGGGCGGCCCTGAGGTAAGGTTGTACGAGGGTTCCACGAGGGTTCCGCATGCTGTTGGGGATATCACCTGAGCTTATTTTCTTGAAATGTGCAAGTGTCAGGTTGCGACATTCGAACTTCTCATGGGTGGCTTGTCTTCTTTGGAGTTGGGTGCAACCTGTTTGCATGTTGCGATTGGAAACCGCCAGAAACAACACCCATTTAGGGTGGGGCCAACCTAAAGAACAACGAGCCACCCCAAAGATCTGGAGATGAGAAAGGCTAACCATGCCCGCGGAAAATGGGTTCCGCGACCTGCGGAACCATCGAATTAAAAGCGATCCTACAAGGCCTTTCCGTAAGCTGTCTCCAAACCTTGGCTCATAGACTCATTTGCCGCAGACGGGACCTTTTTGGGGCCACTCCAAGGGGGCCAGAAAGGGGGAACTATAAGGTCCACAGGTCGATTCACCTTTGGGCAAGTGAGCAGAACATGTATATATATATATATGTATATACCCTTCCCTCCACTACCTTGGCACCTGTGGGGAGGTACCTGGAAGATCAGTTTCCTCTTGAAGGGACCCCCCTTTCAGGTGCCATGGCAACGTGGGAGGGAGGGTATATGTTGATTTTTGTTTTTGTTTTTTTCCCCAGGTTCTCTTTCAGCATTCTTATAATGAACTTGGTTTGGGGGAGTCCCCAACGCGGCGGGGTAATTGCGCCTGTGCGCCAAGCTACGTCCCCGTCCGTATGGAGTCAAGTGACACCCTCATGGGTGATGTTGTCGAGGGTACCCTTTTGGGTAACACCAATGGGAATCAAAGGCAACCCACACCAAAGAACCACCATCAACCAAGTTGTTGAAGGAACACCAAGGGGCAACCAAGTTTGAGGGTCTCTCCATGTTGACACATATCGCACAGGTGGGTTTCCGTAGGGAAGTGCACAGGCCCTTGTTTCAGCAAAGTAGGCTTCCAAAAGGAGGCCGTGAATTTATCTTCCGGATTCACGCCAAAGAGATCCCTTTTAACTGCCTGCCCACGGCGAAAACACCTTGATGTGCTTTGCTGGATATGGGTGGTGTTCATCATATGAGTGTCTCACAAACTCAAAGGACAACTATGACTGAAAGGGCAGCAGCTCTTACCTGCACAAGTCAAAATTCTCAAGCTGGAAATCCCAAACATAGGCAACCTGCTACGCTCGTCTACTTCTCGCTCTGACTACTTCAGGCCCGACCTTCTCCTACCCGGTGGATCCCAGTTGCACCTATGGATATGTTCCTTTTGGTTGTCAACGGGTTTCCATGGTTACCTAGACTCAATGGAACCACCGGGCTAGGATTGATTCATTCTTTCCCGTGCCCAGGTGCCTACATAATTTCATCCTTTCATCCTACTTTACAACCCATCTGGACCTGGGATTCGAGCAGTTCTTAGCTTCTGCTGGACGCTCGCTCCCCTTTACGAAACCATCGTGATGTTCCGTTGGTCAGGTGGACATTCAGCTTCCCTCTTTACTTGATGGTTTGGATTGGTGGTTTGGTGGTGTTCCTGGGAGGCTTCCCATTTTCCCGCCACAAGAACCAGGGTTCAAATCCCCAAACAATCAATCCAAACCGGCCTAAGGGTTACCTGGGAAAAGGTGATCTTCTTGGAACGTCCACCAGGCTTCCCCGCAGTCCAAACGCCCCAATGATCTCCGATTTCTATGTTTGGTGGTTGGGACTGTGCTTTGCTATTCGACCTGTTTATTTCTTTTTGTTTAACGCGTGTTCCATGAGTCTTCGACCAAACTCGGGGAAACCCCAGAAAAAACAACGCCCTTGTGCAGTGGCGTTCTGCCCCCAAAACCCGCAAATCCCCCCCGAAAAAAACGGACAACATTTCGCCGTGCGTTGCTCAGTTGTTCAGTGACCCTGGAAAAGAAAGGGAACCCTCTTTGGGGAAGACCAATTTTTAGTGGTGCAGTTACCAAACAAAGGAAAAGAGTTAGTGCCACTGAACAACTGGGTTTGGCGAGCGGCGTGGCACTTCCCCTTCATGTCCGCGGAGAACTGCAGCAGCAGCTCGCAGCACTTCTCGTTCCCCGCCCTGGCGAGGTGAGATGATCTTAACCCGAGCGCTTCCGATTTGCCGTGCAGTCACTAGGTGCTCCAGTGATATTACTAGGTCCTCCCTCGAAACCCTGGAACCTGCGAAATCTAGGTCCGGTCACAACTAGGCGAAACCTTCCTGGAGCCCAACATAGACAAGTCCAGTAGAGAGGCTAGAACAAGTTGGCACCCGATTCTCTTTTCTGTTTATTTTAGTAGGGGAACCCGCCCAACCAGAAAAGGGTAAGGAAGGGCACCCGGGGGACCTTTGGTCAAGCGCCTTAATTCCAGAAGCTGAACTCCGGGATCCCCAGGTAAAGGACCTGAAAATTGCGAGTAACCCAATCATGCAACAGCAGATCATGGTAAATTACTCAGTTGTTCAGTTATACCCTGGAAGACAAGGGGAACCCTTTTTGGGGCTTGGACCATTTTTTGTGGGGCAGTCACTGAAAAAAGTTGGCAAAAGACTTGGTGCCACTCAAAAACTGAGATTACAGTGCATTTGGGGGGTCTAGCGTTCCCCAACTTCCAACATTTAGGGCATGCGCCGTATGGGTTTGTGTTTTTGGGATATCCCTTGTGGGGGTGGCTTAACAGGAAAACCAGAGGGAAAGCCACAATTTTGAGGGCACTATTTCGCACATACCAATATGGCTATGAATCTTTATGGGACACCTTCCCAAAGGGTTGGTGGGTGAACACCAACCAGAATAAAGTCCACCCACGGGTCCCCTTCTTGCTCAAACAAAATATCCAATACATCTAGGAACCCCTGAAATGATTCCACTGCAAATACCAACAAACAATTGGTTTCAACCATGGTTGCATTTCGTAGTGCGAATCGATTTCGTCCACCCACAGTATGATTTTACGGGAGACCTCAATCCTTTTTAGAGTCGAATGAACCTTTGGATTTCACAGGCGGCTCTTCAGGGTGCCGGTAGGATGCACCCAACCACCTACTTTAGGATTCGGATCTACATCAGTGGGGTATTTGGGTTGTCAAATGGCGAGTAAAAGGGGTTTGGAACACTCCCCCGAATACAAACCGGTGGAGACATGCCTATGAGAACCCTGCATGCATGCGAGAAGTGGATTTCTGGCAGAGTGTCCTGGAGCAAATCCATGGCTGACAACAGGTTGGACGCCGAAATGCATGGGACTGGATGCTCGCGGATCAAAAGCGACCAGCGTGGGTAATGAAACTGCCACTCTTGGACCGGGTGAAAATATATTCGGGCCATGGACCCAGCGGACAAAACATCTGAAAGATCGTTTAGTCTTCCAGAATCTGTGTGTCTCTCGCAAAGTACCTACGTGGCGCTGCCATCAGGTGAATTCGCGATGATTTGTGAATTCGCGATGATCAGGTGAATTCAGGTAACCCTTCGATATTTTCCTTTTGGCTTTTAAAGGATGGTTCCCTTTGGTTTCCTGCTATACAGGCAAATGGATCCACTGGGCTCGACATGAAGAAACTTCCTGATGAAGGTGACCAAACGGAGTTGAAACTTTTCAGGGGCGCAACCCCCACTCTTGGAGACATAAAACTGTGGGCACATCCTTGTCGTTCACTGATTTGCTGCAGGTGGCGTTGCCAGGCTTGGGCAAAAAATCACCACCAGAACCAGGTTCCCCAAGGGAACCCCGAGGAAGGCGCGTTCAGTCCCCCCAAACAGATGCGAAAAAACGCCCCGGGGCTCGCCCAAGATGGGTTGCCCTAAATGGCACCAAACTGACGAAGTCCCGCAGTTGATTTTGACCCATACCCAAATGACCGCCCCCCCCCCAAAAGCCCCGCCATGGCCAGCTTGCTTTGCTGGTTGACTTTCAAATGGGGAACTTCCAACTCCGAGAAGAAAATCCGGGGCCCGGCACCACTGGAGGCTTCTCAGCTTCTAGCCCGCCTAGCGGCCACGTGGAGAGGAGTGTAGTTCAGCGCCGTGTTGTCCTGACTTCGATTTCCGCAGATGGAATCTGCGTCAAGCCTGCTGTCCGTTTTCATATCCCCCGCTAAAATGTGAAAACCTTTTAGTGGGATACATGATGGAAATCCAACCACTAAACACGCTGGGAGCCACCATGAAGCCGTGCCTCACGAAGTGGACACATGTAACTTGTGACTAAACAGGGCTCTCAAAACAACTTGGGGGGTGTGAACCCACTGAAAAGCCAAAATGTTGATGTCAGCTTGCTGGACCCACTTCCACCATCTCCCCAAAAAGTTGGCATCGCTTTCAAGGACGGTGTCATTACTGGGCTGTCCTCAGATCCGCTGCTAAAGTTTCATTTTTTTGGGGGGGCTAGTCGAAACTACTACTAAACGCTATACAAGGGTAAAAACCTGAGGGAATGGCTGGGAACCACTAACTGGGATGCACTGGGCAAGTTGCTTGATTTGCTGCTTTGGAAAAGCGGTCGAGAACATGGAAAGAATTGAGCAGCGGCAAACCCAAACCAATTGACTTTTGGCTCTACAAATGGGTCTCTCTTTTTTTAGTGGACCCCCCAACACCCCCAAATAGTGTTCCTTCGAATTTCCTCTGAAAACTAACCAACGACTGCTTCCCCAAAAGAAGACAGACCCAAATGTTCGTGCGGCGCATAGGCCATCGCTACAATCACTACTCAGCCATGAACCCTCTACTATGCCTGGGCTGTTCAAAATTGAGGGATCTCCAATCCGCAATTCGCAATTGGTGGGATACCGCTGCAACAAGGAGCACCACAGGAATCCGGCATAAGGATTGAGTTTGAAGAACCCAGACAAGAATCCACACCCAACCAAAGAACAGAAGCCGTAACAAAGTTGGCTGAAGGAGGTCCGGGCCACAACTCAGTTGGCCTTCATGTTGTCGCAGCCAAACCGGAGTGCAAAAGTCCGTCCTGCCATGGTGCTGTCTCATCAACTGCCGCTCTCCTGAGTGGACACTTCTTTCCGTGGCGATGTGTGTTCAAATAGGCGACCACCGGTTGTTCCATTAAGCCCAACAAGGCAGCCGTGAACACAAACACACATACCCACCTATGAAAGCTGAACTGTTGTCTTTGGACCAGCCACCGGCATGCAGTAAGACATCAAAGCAGGAGATGCAGGCTTGATTCTGTTCCGTGCATACGTAGTCTACGGCTGAATGAAGTCAAAACGTTGTGAGGAGAGTTGACCAAAGTGGACGTTGGTGATTCAAACACATGCGAATTCGAAGGGTGCGCACATACTTGACGGATGTGTTTTCCCGAAGATACTACAAGTAAACACTTACATGGAGTTTCCCTGATCGTGACATCCTGTAACTGGCAGCATTGTCAAAGTCAACCCCCTCAGTGGTAGCTCAAAGGGCAACAACTAATTCCAGTTGTGACGTTGATCATCCCCAAACAATCTGACCCCTGCCAGCGCCCCCCAATCATTCCTTTTTGGACGGAAGGATGTTGGACCGGATTGAAAGAGCAGGTGGCTGTGGGTCAAAAATAGGTGCCCAAAATGGCTTGCCCTGGTAAATGGAACCAAAGACTAAAACCTGCGGTCCATTTCCTGGTGGCTTAATTTTGACCCACACCCAGGTGGGGGGTGCTTTTTACACCGATGGAACATCTCCGGTTTCTCTGGGCCGAACTTCGCAAGGAGCGTCAATCCAGACGTTCTAAACCTCCCTGGCTGAGTGGATGGCCCAAAAAAAGTTCAAACTTTATATTTACCACTAAAATGGTCTTCCCAAAAAGTTTAAAGTTCATGAACTCAGGAAGTGAGTTCTAAACATAGCCAGCAGTACACAGCCGCGCTGAGTTCTGAAGAAAGGTCAATGGAACTGTGAATCTAAGACTGGGATCAGCAGCCCCAAAACACCACGCCCAGAAGTACTCAAAGGGCACTGAATGAAAAACCCAGAATCAGACTCAACGCCCTGATCTTCAAACCAGGGAGGTTCCATCATCAGCTGTTCACCTTATCCGAAACTTGGATTGTTCGGTTCCCTCCTATTCAGGCAGCGTGCTCATATGTGACAATTTGATCACCAGTCGGAACACCGCAACAATCATGGGGCCCATTTGGCAAGTAAATGTTGGCATACATTCTTGCTGGTGCTCAGTAGAAAATGACATTCCAGGTTTTGAGAATAAACCTGATTCCCTTAAAGGACACTAACTCAGGAATGTTTTTCTTGTGCTCGTTCCAATTCTCATTTTCCGCATCTCTCGCACCAGCAAGTATTCTGCAAACTTTACTATCATTCCAAAAGCTGAAGCCAGGAATCCCCAAGTGAAGGACCTTTCTCATGGCTTGAGCTCGTTTTACCCCAGCTCATCGGTGGATCCCCCAAGTACGGGCTTTCGCGGCTTGAGCTCGTTTTGCAGCTCATCGGTGAGCTCGCTATCATATGACTTCGTCTTAGGAGCGGACCCCGAAAAGCAAAGATCTCCCGAACCGGAGCTGTTTTCCATATGCCAAAGCCACAGAGTGGCTGTCATTAAAGAAAAGGCATGAGAACCAAAAAAATGGTTCTTGGACAGCTTCAACCTAAACCTAAAGTTTGATTCTTGGACGCGGCTGCACAACCTAAAAAACCATTTTGACCAATCCTTCTGACCTTCGAGCCGAGGCACGCTTCCAGCAAGTAGCGCGTGCACTTCAGGGCCCCGAAGTACGAGGAATTCCAAAGCCTCGCTCGCAGGCATGGAACCTAACTGGGGGGGTGCGGGGGGGGTCCTGGTTTGGAGCCATTTTCCTCAAAATCTGCGTGTCTGTTTTTTGGGGATGGCCCAAAATAGGCGGTTTCCTTCTGGACTTCCTGGGGAAAAAAAACAAGAACACAAGACACACACACACACAAATAGGATCTTCTGGTGTGGTCCATGTTTGCTGTGTGCGGGTCGAGCCGGAAGGCGACCCAGATCTTATGAGAACTCCCACGACTGAACTTACACAAAAAAACATTGCCCAACACTGCCAGCACCTAACACAAGCTCATCAACCGGAGTATCCCCCACTGGAAATCATGTCAGTACCACCCGGAGCATCTGATCGTCCTTTTACCAACCAAGAAGGAATGGAAATGAAAAAGGGCCTTGACCTCAATGGGCATGCAGCCCGCTCACAAAAAGGGGGATGGTTGGCTAAGCCAGCTTCTCCGTCATTTTCTCGGGGCCCCACTGAAGTTTCATCTACACGAGAGCACCACCCATGACAGTTGTTCCCAATGCAAATCCAAGGACTCTCCACTCCGTTGAAACCCAGAGGCGAAACTGCAGCCTGGCCAAGGGATGGTACGAGACGTGGGCTGGGACCATCCTTCAACTGTACTTGGAGGTTCGAGACCGCGCGTTCGGGCGATGCCTTTCAACTTCCGAGTGAGTGCAGGAAATGGTGCGGGCGTGCCTTTTTGGGAGGGTACCCCTTTCTGAGTTGGTACCAAAGGAAACCAAAAGGACACCAGCCGGATGGCCTTTCATCAGCGGACTCTGTTTCGCTTACCTTTCTGCCTTCAAAAGGAAAATGCTCTTCAAACCGAATTCCAGGTTCCATGTTGGATGGGAGGGTACCCCCCCCCAAAAAAACATGGAGAGGGGGCCCAGGAATCGTTTTGTGTTCCCCCTTGAAAAATCGAAAAGCACTGGGATACACCCTTTCCCAGGAATCGTTGTTCCTCTTTTGAGTTGCAAAGCACTGGGTTACACCCTCAAAAGTGGCTTTCCCAGGAATCGTTGTTCCATCTGTTGAGTTGCAAACTGCCTGGAGTCTCCATGACCGTTAACCTTAAACATGGGTCCGTGACCCCATTTTGGGTCATGATCAACCAGTTGTTCAGGCTCAGAAGGAGACTCCAGGTGGACCAACGTCTGAGAAAAAAAACAACTTCCTGAGGCCCGGAACATCTTCGCCCCGGGCTTGCCGCCTGGTGCGTGACCATTTCTTTTCTCTCTCGAAACGGCCTAGTAAAGCTTGTCATTGCTGTCACAGTCTCTAGGATCGAACCCCTCAAAGTCCGAGGTTCATGGTTTTCTCAAAGTTGCCACGCGGGGAAAACAAACGCAACAAGTAGAATTGGGTTTTGCTGTTGTTTTTGGTTGGTTGGCTGCAGAAAAGATTGGTTGGATACAAAGATTGGGTTTTGCATTGTTGTTGGTTTCAAAAAAGACTCCGTATCGTTTGTGTCCGGGCAGATCGCCTCGCCAGAAACCCCCTTTGCGTTTCAAACGAAGTGCGAAACAAGCCCCTTCCTACGGAATCCTACGGGATCCTTGGAGCTGAAAGGCGAGCTGAGTCGAAGCGGCTGAACCGATTCCAACTCTTGGTGGCAAAACGAAAGAGAGACCCTCAAATCAATGGATCCACAAATATAAAGATGTGGCTTGGTTGCGATTAACCCCCTGCAAACAGTGGACGACTTTTTCGGGGTTTAGTGGAAGACACCTTTATTTCAACCCAAACATGAAAGTCTAAAGATCCAACCCAATAGCGGTCAAGGTAAATTCCCCCAAAGGCAACATCATGCCAAAAGCGCCATCGACTCCGCGGCCGGTGAATTCAAAAAACCAGCCTTCAATGTGGCCAATGTGGACTTTACGCGCAACCTGAGAGCCTGGCCAGAACCACCTGAGGCCTTTCAGGACCCGTTTAAGGGATCGAGTTTTATTTTTGAAGAATAAGATCCCCCGTGGGTGGCTCTGTTGGTGAAAAGTTGGTTCAAGCCTGGCAATGGTTCAACGAAATGTCGACACGTGTCCCCGAAAAAAGGCGCCTACGGTGGAGCCGAGGTCCGGGGACACACTGTGACTCTCCACCTGGGCGTCGCGCTTTTTGGGGGGTCGTGGGGTGGCCACTTTTGGGCTGAGCCACCCTCAAGTGCTACCCTCAAAAAGGGACAGCACACCTAAATTTGGGGGGGAATCATGCCAACTTTAAGGGTAGCTTGAGGCTCCAGGCACCTGTTGGGCGTGGGTTTGGGGGCGTGGGTTACTTTTGGGCGCCTGAAAAGTGGCAGCCAGGCAAGGGGCGGGACAAAAAGGCCCGTTGGTCCTCAACTTTCGAGGGGCCCTGATGGAATTCACAGACAGTTCGGTCCACCAGGTGGACATCAATTCGGTGGGGATTTCCACCTTCGAAGAGGCTCCCTATTCAAATTCATAGCCATTGTTATGTCCACAAGCTTTGAGGGTTCCCTCGCTAAACATGGATGGCCAATTCTGACCCACACAAATCGGAGTAGTCAACACCTGGAGCATCGCTGACACAAGCAGCAAGTACCCTACTCACCCATCCACGATTCCCACTGAAGGTCTCTTGGAGAGAGGAAAGTTGTCTTCCAGCTCCAGACAGGTTCCCTGTTAGGTGGCGGGAAGCAGGGGTTTGTCTCGAAATAGGAATCGGAACCTCAGAATTCCCAAGTAATCCGACTGTAGGTAATATATATATATATCAACATAACTGACCCCTTTGGAGGGTAGATGTGGACAAACAAATCGCATGCAGTCGGATTGTTGGGGATGGTTGACTTTCTTTTGCCCCCCTCTCTACAATATTTCTCGGGTCTTTGGACTGACAAGTGAACCACTGAGGTGCAATGCAAACCAGAGTCTATTCCAAAAAAAAACTGTTTTCCCAGTGAACACCGGAGTCTATTTCAGACAGCAACGAACACCGGAGTCTATCGTTGGAAAAAAAAGCGGCCGTCGCAATCCCAAAAACACAAACATCGTCGCAGTCAAAACCTGAGTCTATTCCAAAAGCAAAAAAGGCAGTCGCAATCCCAAAAACAAAAGATCGTCGCAGTCAAGACCGGCGTCTATTGAACAACAAAAACACGGCAGTCGCCATCTCAAAAACAAACAAATCGTCGCAGTCAAGACCTGAGTCTATTCACAAAAATAGTAATCGCAGTCAAAACCTGCGTCGATTCAAAAAAAAACAACAGCAGTCCCAATGAACACCTAAGTCTATTTCAAAACAAACGGAAAATAGCCAGAAGGCCACGCTTCTCCTCATCTTTGGCTGGTGCTATCCCCTACCTTCATCTATCCGAGTGCCGGGCCAACAGCTGTAGCATGTCCACGTTGTCCTCGGATGGGAGTGGGTTGGACACGTGACGCTTGGATGCTTGTCAGAAATCAACAATTAACCATGACCTTCCCTGCCAACCCAGGGCAAAAGGAATGCTTGAACATGCTACACGTCGCCGTCTCATCCTTCAATTCAACTTTGCCAGCCTCCTTGCGGTTGAACAGATCGCTTCCCGAGTGCATTGGCCAACAAAAAGGGAGGGCACCGCGCCTGGGGTTTTGGGGAACTTCAGCTTCCAACTCACTTTTGGTTTGGAGCCCGGTGGTTTGGTGGTTCGGGGTGGGCTCCCCATTTACCGCCTACAGGAACCAGGGTTCAAATCCAAATCCAAACCACCAATCCAAAGCACCAATAAGGCCTTGCCTGAGAACTGGGGCTAGGCGCTTCAGTAGAGAGGTTAGAACAAGGGTACCCTTTTCTTCGGTAGTCTACTTTTTGCAGGCGACTCCCCCAAAAAAGACACGGTCAAAGTTGGCACCTAGCTGGGGGACCTAAAAAGGGTTTGCCAGAATCCGCAAACCACCAATCCAAACCACCAATCATGCTCTTCCCTCAGAGCCAGGAAGGAAAACGCACCAAACAACTACCCTTCCTCCCACTAACATGGCGGTGTGGGAGGGTACCTGGAAGATCAGGCTCCCCTTGGAGGGACTCTCTGTCAGGTGCCATGGCAACGGAGAGAGGGTAACACAAAACCACCAATCCAAACCACCAAGCAGTTGCCTGAGAACTGAGGGTTTGCCAGGAAGGAAAAAGCACAAAACAACCAACTAGCCTGGAATTAGGACCCCAGCAAAAAAACATCTTTCTTGCCTGGTTAGCGGAAAACAAAGGGACCCCAAAAAAGCAACACACACTAAAAAAGGGGGACCGCCAATTCCGGGGTTTTCTCACCGGGGAAGAAGAAAAAGAAAAGGCGCGCGGCTTCGCGCCGAGCGGCCGCCGGCAGCGCTGCGAAGGGCGCGTTGCCCACCCAGAGCTGGCCACCTCGGCGACGTCAGACCGCGCGAGGGGAGCGAGGGGCGAGGGGGGGTTTGGGGGGAAAGCGAAGACTTCAAGGTTGGGGGTTGGGGTTGGGGGTTGGGGTTGGGGGTTGGGGTTGTTCAGTGGCCCTGGAGAATGGGAAAGGCTCCAAAGGGTAGTCTTTTTTGGTGTGACCCCAACAACGCGGGGGGGGGGGGGTAATGGCACCTGCGCATCAAGCTACGTCCCCGTCAGTCCGGAGTCAAGTGACACCCTCATGGGTGATGTTGTTCAGGGTACCCTTTTTTGGTGACCCAAAGGGAACCAAAGGCATTTCCCACACCAAAGTACCAGCATCAACCAAGTTTTTGAAGGAACACCAGAAGGCAACCAAGCTTGACTCAGTTCTTCGGTGGCCCTGGAAAACAAGGGAACCCTTTTTGAAAAACACATCTTTAGTGGGGCAGACACAAAAATAGAATTGGTGCCACTCAACAACTGAGAACATGAGGGCCGAAAGAAACCGAGTGCATCCCAGGCAAGCCACTATAGAAGCTAACCAGCAATGTTCCTTTTCGTTCTTCAATGACAGTTCCTTTGGGTGCCTACTATAATGGGCAGTGGAATCACTCGGAACGACTAGCACATTTGTTTGCCTTATGATCATCACTTATTCTGGATTGAATATACCCACAACCCCTACAATTGTTTAGCTTCCTATATGAAGTAACGAACACATGAACCATGAATGTCAACCAGAGCCATACTAAAATCCGCCGACCCTCGACCGGCGTGGGATGCAACTGGAAGTGATTGGATCAATTATAGTCCCTGCAAGACACGCCCGAACGCACAAAAAGTGGATTCCCAGGACCGGTCCTGGGACCGGTCCTGGGACCAGGAACGGTCCCGGGACCGGTCCCGGGACCGGTCCTGGGACCGGTCCTGGGACCAGGAACGGTCCCGGGACCAGTCCAGGACCGGTCCTGGACCAGTCCTGAAAAAGACCGGTCCAGTCCCAGGACCGTGGTTTGGTGCTCCTGGGACCAGGACCGGTCCTGGAACCAGTCCTGGGACCGGTCCTGGGACCGGTGGTCCCCGGTCGCGGATCGAGTCCTGGTGTGACCGCTGGTAGCGGGTCCCACTTCAAACTGCTGTGGTGCCACCTCAAACCGCTCCACACACTTGTCCGGACTGGCACCCGTGTTTCAGGACACTGGACAGGGTCCCAGGTCCCAATCACTCCCTGCGACCGGTTGAGGGGGGCCCGTGCGGTTATTGACGGACGAGCTGCCATCTGTCTGACTTTTCCGTTAATCCTTGTGGTAGTAGAGGATCCCTGGATCTATTCTGCAAGAGAGTCCAATACGTCGAGTCAAACCGCGCCAGACTGGGACCAGCCTGTCCCGGTCCCTGCCGGCGACCGGTCCAGGGCAACTTTGGGAGGGCCAGTTTCAGGGCGACCCCGGGAGAGGCGACTGCTCCCGGGCCAACTCGAAGTGACTTGGGCGCAAGCCGGCCCAAGCGGGAATTAACGGACTAGCTGCCATATTTCTGACTTTTCCGTTAATCCTTGTTTGTGGTCGTAGAGGATCTTATAAGTGGTCCCTGGGTTTGCGGACGTGTTTCAGGACCGGTCCTTGTGACTTTTCCCTGAATGCGCCGAGGGTCGGCGGCAGCAGGCGGGAGCCTGGTTCATAAATGAAGCGACTGTTCGGGTGTTCGAAGTTAATGCCATGAGAGCTCGATTGAAGTAGGACTAGGGTCATATTTTTGGAGAAACAAGGGGCTGGGCTAGGGATTGAACTCTCGTGTGGATGGCTGCAAATCCACGCCAGACACCAGTTGAGCAGTCACCCAAACCCATTAACTGTTGGTTCCCCCCCCTCCCTCTCCCCCTCCCGCTCTCTCCCCCCCCCACCCTCTCTCTCCCCCTCCCCCTCCCTCTCCCCTCTCCCTCTCTCCCCTCTCCCTCTCTCCCTCCCTCTCCTTCTCTCCCTCCCTTCCCCAATTGACTCTAGATACTTTGGATAATGAATGGAAACTTGGCAAGCGGTTGCCCATGCACCTCAGACCCGCCTGCGAAACCAATTGCTGGACAACATCTAATTGCAAGGGATGCTGTCTTCTGAGCAATCAGCGTTGCAGGTTCGCTGCGACAGGACACAATTTGAAAGAACACTCCCCAACAAACAATGTCCCACCGCTGATAGGTTCGCAAACAGCGTTCTTTTGCCGCCATCCGACACAAGTCATAAGGAGAAACGGAACATGCTTGACCGAGGAAAGACGTCCACAAAACGGCAAATGAGGACACCGGGGTTATTTCAAGTGATCCGGGTGATGATAGGGATGCTGAGCCCGGCCTTCCACAAAGCATCTTTCAGGTGGGGCGTTGGGGCGTTGCTGAGGCAAATCACGAGTAAGGCATGACTATCCCTCAGATGCCCAGTGGCCATGGGAAAAAAGGCATCCTTTTTTGGTTGCTTGAGTTTAAAGGGGTTCCCCACAACAACAGGAGAAAAAGGGGCACCACTGGGCAACAGAGATTCAGAAAGGCAATGAACATCACCAATCCCATGCGGCTGGCCATGATTTTCTAGACAAGGTGTCAGTTATCATAGGCTACCTCAACTGTTGGCCTCCAAAGTCAAGACGGAAACACGCGTAAACAGCCGTCCCCCCCCCCCCCCGCCCCGCCCGCCCGCGCCGAAAAATCGAAAGTTCCAAGGCCACGGCTGGCGCCGGCCTTTTTGCTATAGCTCGACCGATGGATGTCCCCGTTGTACCTGGAAAGTTGACTTCTGCCACATGCGAGCCGTGTTTTTGGGGTGTTCCAAAATGGATGGCTCGTCTGTTTGTGGGATTACTACAGAATTACCGACAAGAATGTAGGGTTCAATGTAAAAGCAAAGAATATAGGGTAGCCTCAACAAAAGACACACACGCAAATTTAAGATAATCCGACTGTAGGTAATATATGCGTTTCAAAGGGGACCCGCAAAGCTGGTTGGTTTCCTTTGGGTTGCCTTTAAACCACTATCCCACAGGAGCCCCTATTTTGAGACATAATGTGCCAACATTTGACCCATGAGGGTTTTCTTGTGAGTACATGTTCCCAGACATTCTGACTGTGTGTAATATACACCAACATAACAGACCACATCTGGAGGTGGTAAATGTGGGTCAATATTTCGCATACACTCGGATTGTTTGGGATCACATGGATGGGTTGGGGAATGAGACACCAGCTCGTCTAACCGCCAAGAGTGCCAGGGGAACCACCTGAACTGGATCATTTGCGATGCGAGCATCTGTGGCATAATGGGGACGTTTGAGGAATGACGAAGACATTATGGATCTTGTTGGGAGTTCCTTCCGTTCATGTCTTATTTGCATCAAACATAAGAAATTACAAACACCCGACCTGAATTGACAAATCCGAACCGGTTGAACCTGGATGAGTGACTAATCCCTGAGAGGAGACTCCCTCATTAATGGAATGCAGCGCAAATCAACATCAATCAGGGATTGATTTATCCAACAAAACCCAACAAAGCTAACTCGCCCCAACACGAAAAGACGCTCACACACACACACAGGGGTAATGTCAACTTCAAATAGATGTCCTTTCTGTGCGACTGAAAAGACGTTTTATATAGGTCGGATTTGCCATGGTTCTCTGGATTGGTCCGAAGTTAACATTAGTGACCACACCTGTTTCGACTGCGCAAAGCCCGACATCACCATGACCTGGGTATGACCAATTTACTTGGATCATCAGGGTGATTGATGCTAGCTTCTTTTCTTTCGCCGTCGTTTTCCTCAAAGGTTCAAGATACGAGGTCGAAACAGGCTAGAGCATTGACGAACACTTGGTGTGAGCATCTACTTCGGTGTCAACATTACCGGCCAAGTTGGCTAAAGAGCTTCCGCCGATCTTTTAGGCTACCGAGAAATGGAAACTGCAAAGCCAGAATGACACACTCCCACTCATCTGGGCAATTGGTTCTGAGTCACCAACTGAAAATCAAGTCCCCGTGTTTTTTTTTTTTTTTTTTTTTTTTAAAGCGCATCAAGCGCGACGACGCAAACGGAAACCCTGGAACGTGACGTCATTACAATTTGCGACTCATGGAGCCTTACGAAAAGGGGCCCTGGTTTGGAGCTTTTCCGCGAGGCCTTTCCGGGGGGGGGGTCCAATGTCGGATGGGTACACCCGAAGGTTGACCTTGGCCGGATGGTAGGGTTGGGATACGATCAATGGAATAGGGGACTTCACTCTGACTCGGGGGGGCAAACATTGGTTTCAAACAACTTGGACCTCTTGGAATGGAGCCCCCACATGAGCCACAGTCAACATATGCTGCTGCTACAGGGAAATGAGTGAAAATAAGTGAATCCCCTGGGTTTGGCAAACTTGGAGCCCTGTCCCTCCCCAAACCCGAGACTGCATATTCTGACCGACCCTCATGAGGATGTCAAGACGCATCCGTGTGAAAAAGCTTCAATGGCCAAGTGAGTGACATTCAAAGCCCGGTATTAAAATGGTCTACCCAGAACCATGCTTCAAGAATTAAGAAGGCGGATATCCACAACCTTCATCAATCCCCGCGTTTTGAGGACGTGGCTCAAGTGGTGGTCCCGGCCCCCCCCCCCCCCGATTTTGGCTGAGCACTGCAACAGCAGCTGCACAATGGTCCGGTCCTTAAACGTTGAATCTGCGTGCTGATGTCACACCCCTCAGTTGTTCAGTGACCCTGGAAAAAAGGGAACCCTTTTTGAGGCTTGGACTTGGACCATTTTTAGTGGGGCAGTCACCTAAAAAAAGGGAAACAGGGTGCCACTGAACAACTGAGACCCGTCTCAGCGAAACTGACCTGGGAACTCAGAGCATCGCCCTTCTCACTTCCTGAGTGGACTGGCCTTAATAATTAGTTGCCCCTGAGAAGTAAAAGGGTCCCCCCCCCCTTTCAAGGTCGACAAGGTTTGGACAAGCCCCCCAAACTGAGCTGCTTTTCTGGAGGACCCCGTCCTTCTTCGGACCCCTTCCACTTGAACTGAAATGGGAACCTGGAGAGCCTCTTTGGTCCTTCTTGGCCTCTTTTGAAAAATAGGACTTTACATAGCTTTTTGTTTTGAGCCCAAAAGGGCCCTGATTAACCGGGGGAGGGGGGGGGTTCTGGGGCTGGCCTCCAAGAGGGGGTCCCCTTTGTGTGGAAGCACAGACTGAGCGAATAATGAGCAAGAAGGCTGGCCGCTTTTCCGGCAGGTTTTGTGGCTTGGTGGCTGCAGGGGGCACCTTTAATCGGCGGGTTTGGGGGAGGCCCAATGGCCCAACAAAACGATTGAGTAGGGTTTTGCGCACACCTTGTCGGCGCTCTACTTGAGTATTTCCGGGAACCTGGGAGTAGGGGAAGCCTTGAATGGGGGGGTACTACTCGTGCAGTGACAAGTCCAAACTCTTCTGACGAAAGGTCTGCCCTAGACCCGTGAACTCAGGCAACTGGAGCTCTCGCAGTAACTAAGCGCTGGTACGAGAGATGGCCCATGGCAAGCCCGGAACTTGGCTAAAGACGTGAAAAGAATGGGATCGAGCTTCCATGTTCAAACGGAGACGCCTCGGGTGAAGTATGAACCAATCTTCAAGGCGGACTGCGCATGCGCTTCGGGTGAAAGATGATCCTTTGGCCGATCAGGCACATAGTATGTGACTTGCTCAGGTAACCAATGCACAAACTGTTGCCCGCATGTCAGGAAGGGTCAATTTTACTGTCGGCAACATTCCCGCAAGCTGCTGATAACCCCCCAATCTGCAAACTCCGTAGGGCACCACTAACAAATCCCATAGCAACGACCAAGTCATGTGCAAGCTTGGGAGAAACCCGACAAGATCTTTCGTCAACGTGTTCCTTGACAGGGGACCGAAGGTTGAGCCACACTAGGTCAACAATAGAGACCCTTGTTGTACCCTCTCAGGCACGACAAGCGGCCCTACGGTCCAAAAAGAACCGGCCATTTTGTGACAACCCAGAAAGAATGGTACGCCCTTTCATAACTTGCTGTGAATGTGCAACTTAGTAAGTACAACCAGGGTCATGCCTAGGGCAACTGGGGTCCGTCCCTTTGCGACTGTGGCTATGACCTACTTGCCATATACCCAGTGGCGACAAACAAAAGGGCATCCTTTTTTGGTTGACTTAAAAGGAATCGGAACCCTTCCCCAAACAAAATCAGAAAAGGGAAGCCGCTGGGCAACTGGGATAGCTTGTTTGACCATCCCTACTTAGGGTGGGGAGGCCACGCTTTGTGAGACATGCTGAGGTCACATCCCCGGAGGTGACGCCGAACTGCAGTGGACAGCCATCCTCGCGGGTCCATGTTCGAAGCGTGAGCCAAACCCTAAACATAGAAGTTGTAACTGGTGCTGGTTCAACAATCCAAAAAAAATCCGGGAAAAGTGTGATCTACAGTACGCTTTTTGGGGGAGCGGAGCTCAACCCCCAACCACACTTCTCGGTTTGCTCTCGTTTAGTCCTTTGCAAAAGGGTGTGCTGGGGTTGGTTTGCAAGAAGCCCTCTCATAGAATGGGTGTTTCTGCTCATGGTGGACCTGGTTTTGGTTCCTACTTAGAGGAAAATCAGAAGGACCCCCCCCACAATTTTACCAAGAACGGCAGCTCAAGTGATGGGCTTGGAGAAATGATCATGGCTTGTGACATTGATAACTATTGATAACCCACATAAACCAGTCAACCGTTGGGAGTCACATACTGGGCATACGGTGGGAGGCGTTTTCAGCGCCCAGGTCGGAACAGCACTCTGAGGCTTGGCCAGAAAATGATCAGCTTTTGAGCCTGGTCCATTGTGGATATGGCTGTGGCTCGCAAATGGAATCCCCAAAATGGCCCCTTGGGTGGAAACAAAGACCAACACCTGCAGAACCCCGACTCTTGAATTTTGAGCCACACCCATATGCTGACATGCAACACGAGACATCAACTGAGAAAAGAAAACGCAAAAGAGCACACCGCTAGCACTTGGCAAGGGGAATCCACAGGAACAAGCGTCAACGCCTCTACCTAAGACATAAGCAAGGGCCGAGCGACCTACAAGGAAACGCACTAAACATCAGCCGAAAGCCGATGTTGAAAGCACCAAAACGGTGAAGTGTATACCTGAACCCTCAAACAACCCATTCAAATGGGGTAAGTGCCCCAAACTATGAGTTTTGTCCCCATGTTGATGGGTAGTTTGAGGGTCCAGCCCACAATTATCGCAATTATGGGGTGATGTCTTTCATATTTTTGGGTAATTCGACAAACCGCTCAACGACAGGAAGACTTGACAAATGCCCCACTCGCCAAAGGGCGTCTTTAGCTTCACCACGAGCCGCCCCTGATGGGGGCTCGACAATCGAGGGTGTACATAGTTGGACTAGCTCATCGACAAAGCAAATTCTGCGATGGTTCCCTTTCCGTTTTTGCACATTGCCCGTGATCCCTGGAAAAGGTTGCCTTAGGCTACCGGCTCGAAGCCTCAAGCACTGAGGAGAGTCCCCCATCTTGAAGAAATTGTCAGGGCCTCGATTCATCGCCTCGATCTTCGGCCCCACAAGCTTCAATACTAAGCCGCCCGACGTTCCACTTCACGTTGTGCAGTTCGAACTCCTCCTCGTAGCGATGGTTCGGATCGGCACCTGAGGCACCCCCATCACGCGGTCAGCCGCCGGTGTTCGCCAAACTCTCTGGACATGGTCGGCATCTTTCTGCGGCTTGTCATTAGGCCGTGGCTCAACAAAAAGTGGTGCTAACCTTTGGGCCCCTTGGAAACAGAAACCAAAACCTGCGCAACCCCAGCTCTTGAATTTTGAGCCTCAACAAGATGGCTGCCCACACTGCAGTGAGCCACAGTCAAATGGGCATTGCCCCCTTCCAATGCTTGTGGTGACGAGGTAGTAAGTCCCCCATTTTGCGAACCCGAACATTCAAAGCCATGTGTTGACTAAACCTCGCATAAGTCCCAATCACAACCTGGACCTGGATCCAAAGAGCAGCTGCATCTCCTAACCTTCATTCACCCCACTTGGGATTCTTCACAGCGTTCAGAAAGGGGATGCTGAAACCCAACGACGGCATCGTCCGACCAACGTTGCGGACCATTTCAACCACTGCTCCGAAATCGGAAAGCTGCGCAATTCTTTGGCCAGTATCTAGCGGAGAGAAACCATGACGCCTAAGGAGTCCTTTCACAAAAACCGCGGCAACCAAACATTCATCCAGGTTTTCCTTTTGGCTTCCAACTTTAAACCAAGCCGTGCTTTACCTTTTCTTGGGTCAGCTTAACAGGCTCGAACTCGGTGAACCTTCGGGTCCCTGGATATTCCACTCGAGCAAGTTGCCCCAAAGCAGCTGGCCCGTGATACCCCCTGACCTGCAGCTTGCCTCAGGGACATGCTGCCATACCCTCCATGCTGGTTGTTCCCTTTCCCTGGAGTTCAATTCCCAGTAAAAGAATGGCCCAAGGGGACCCAATGTGGATGAACATCCTTAGGTAAAAGTCATGGTGGATATTAATACAGAACCCAACCATGGTTCTTTATTGGTGGCCTGCCTGAGCCCCAGCATATATGTTCACCCCGTTTTGATGGTGGCCTGCCGCTGAACCCCCAAGGGCTTTGGCTTGACTAAGCCGATCCATCCGTGTTCCCAGTGGCCAAGGGGCGGCTCTGCAGGAGGCTCCGCAACTCCGGCAGGCTGGGCACTTTGCTCTCCTCGCATGGGGTTCTACTATATGGCTGTGGTGGTCAAAACCAATGGGATCCCATTTTGGTTGGTAGGTGAATTCACCAACCATTGTAGAACCTATTGTAGTGGGGATTTGGATGTTCACTGGGGGTACGGGATTTTGACCCATGGCCATATCCTGTATGTTGCTGGTTTTGCCTAAAATCGTGTGCTATGTTTCTTAAGACATCGAACAGGCCTATTCAATTTGTTTTTATTCCACCCCGAAGTCCCTTGGCTGACCTGTGACTGGCAAGCGGGGCGTTGATTCGGCATCAAAGTCCCTAGCACCTGCAAGACGGTCAATTTCCTCTTGAAGACCATATAAGTCTCAGGATGTCTCAGGTGCCACAGTAACGCGGCGGGCAGGGTATGTTATGTAGCCCGTTGTCTTCGCCCCCCTCATGCTTTTTGTCTCCCATCATCTGTTTGTCCCCCCCTCTCCTGGAAGAGAGTCAGTAGGGAGGCGCTCAGGTCCTGCAGAGAAGCGATGTGCCACCCAAAAATTGCGCCCAAAGGTTGGTCAACATTCACCCCCTTATCATCGACCTTGGTACTTATGGGTGCAGGATGCTTACTGGAATGGTTCAGCAAAATCTTGAAAATGGAAAAGTAAAACCTGCTTTTGTTTTGTATAGTGCACAAATGTTCCCGCAGTATGCTGACTCGGATGATACAACCTTTCACAAGGGCGGTTTACAAACGTGAGCCCCTGTACACGCGGCAGTACGTGTAGCTTCTCATCTGGAAACGGACTTTCATGGGGCTCGTTTTGTTTTCAGGTGAGCTCAACATGATTTGATTTACCATAATTTACCCCATGAGTTGAAGAAGCGGCCGAACTTCAAACGGCTAGACCAAATGTCCGGCAGACTTCCTGTCCGGAGAGTCTCCGGGAAGGGCTCCTGATTGCTCCCAGCCAACCCGCCCAAAACTGCAAGCTATCCGTCCAAAAGGGGGGAATATGGACATCAGGCATGTTCATCGGAAATGGACTCTGTCGTCGACATCGCATTTGTTTCAAAACAAACAAACAAACAAACAAACAAACAAACAAACAAACAAACAAACAAACAAACAAACAGAAACAAGCAAGCAAGCGAAAACAAACAAAACAAACAAAACAAAACAAACAAACACACAAGCATGGATTTGCCCAGCGATCCTGGTGCCAAATGCATTTCGTCCATCTAGAGTATGGCTACTTCTCATCTTCAAGGTAAAATTAATTCCTTCGCCAGCCAGACAGTGGCGAACACCCCAATCTCCCACAAGGTCCCCAACCCGTGACCTCACCAAAGGGAAACTCATTTGACATGGGCCCAAGAGATGTTAAAAGAAAAAGAAACACAAGGGACATTTGGAAAGGGCGATTCTTTTTGCACAATATTGTCACAAAACGGGGAACCCCAAAAAACCGTTGGCTTTCTTTTGGTGTCCCTCTGCCTACCCCAGTGGATCCCAGCCGGCCATTTTCCATGTGGTTGTCAAAGGGTGGTCCCCAGGCTTACGCAAAAGGGAAGCATGGAAATTACAAAACACGGGGTCCCCCAAAAAGAGATCACATCCACCTGTACAGGTCAATGGAATCACTTGACACTTTGGATAGTATGCTCATCTTTGAAGCTGAGCTTGAGGAACTCTTGGCGAAATGGAAGCATGAAATTGCCATGGAGCCACTAGGGGTCCCAGCATCATAGGTCACCGGGTGGTTGTGAGAGGGGGAGTCCCCCTAGTTACGCCAAATGGAAGCATGAAACTACAAAAAAAAAAACGGGGCCCCAACCAAACAAAAGTCACATCCATCCCTGGAAGCATGAAATTACCATGGAACCACCGGGGTTCCCCCCAAAAAGAAGTCACATGGCTGTGGCTCAAAGAGCCGGTACCAAAATGGAACCCTGGCAAGTGGAAACATGGACCAAAACCTGCGCAACCCGAGATCTTGCAATTTGGAGCCACAGCCACATCCCTCCCGCCGGGCGCAAAAAACTGGGTCCTTATCGCCCTTCTCGCCGCTTGGCGTGGCCTCTGTGCTGCTGTCGTCCGCCTCACACACCTGGCGGATGGAAAGAGCAGTTCTCTACGGAGGAGCCCAGTGTTCCACTTGCTTGAGCAATAAAACGACGGAAACGAAGATCTGGAATACAAGGAGGGAAACAAAGATCTGGGAGTCACCCCTAGAGCTATAGGGGGAATATCTGAGCCAACATAAGCCGATGCCGAGCCCTCGACGAGGCCTTACTAAGCGGGTACTGTGGATGGTTGCGAAATCCTCTTAGGCACCACCGAAGAAACCCGGATTTCTGATGATCCCCCGGTAAATGCCAACAGTGGTATCCCATGGAACCAAAAAGTGGTGCGAGATGGATTTGGCAACCCTCCACAGTACCCAGTCCCTCGAGCTCAAACCACAACCAAAAAGAGAGTTCACTTAATGTTGACGGTGGGGTGTCAAACAAAAGAGGGGTTCAAACCACAACATGTTGATTCCTACGGTGGTTGTGGGCCCCTCCAAAAGTGGTCTCTCTTTTACGTGGTGGGTTGTCAAACATGTTTGGACACCTTTGTGGACCCCTTTTAAAGGCGGGCCACACATAAACCACGGCCCAGAAAGGCACTCAGTCTTCACAACCCACTCAGTGCTTCCAGTTGCCATAGGTAACCAAAGGCATTCTTCCCTCGAGGTTTCACGTGACAATTGGCCCTGGTTTACCTACTATAGTGATGACTGGAGGCACTGTGCCTTTCTTCAAACTCGCAAGGAACCTTTTGTCTCTTCAACAGAACCCCCAAAGGAAAGGAGCTGGCGTTACTAACTTTGAGTAGTTTCAGATTCCCCGTGAATTTGCAGGCGCAAAATGGAGAATCCATTTCTGGTCTATCAGGTATCGCAAATTTTCTGCGCCCCGTCACAAAAACATCCAGCTGCGAATTCGACGGCCCGCACCGGCGCCGCCATCTTCACACTGACCTTGCAGGGCGTGAGCCACGTTTCGGCGAAATCAAACCTGACCCTCCACGTCGCCAGGGCACTGACCGATAAATGGCCCCTTCAAGAGAACCTTTGAGGTACCCTCCCGCAGCGACCGAGAATTTCAGAACATTGCTAAACATGAGCAGCATGTGGAAAACCGAAAGTCGGAAAGGTCGGGCTGGGGCAAGGGAGCAATGAAGAGATGCGTGCTGGGCCGTTTCCGCCAGTATGGAAACAAAAGAAGCCAACACCAAGCGCAGCCCAGTTGTTTGTGCCGGAAGGGTCGGCAAACTCTTTGCACATGTCCCCTTCTTTCAACAGATTATACAAAACAATCCCATCTTCCCGGGATTCGCTCGCACGTCTTGTTAGATTCCGACATCGTCAGATTAATCCACACCAGCTGAAATCTCTGGCTCCCCATCAGCTTCCGTGGTGGTGAATGAGTGGTTTGGAAGTTAGGGGATGAAAGACATGGAATGGGACCTTGCCTTCCAGAAAAAAAGAAAAGACAAATAAGAAAACAACAAGCCTCGCGCTTTGAGTCCTCTATTTCGCAAGCGTGTCCACACTCGCGGTCCCTCCGCTTTTGTGGAATCTCATACATTTGAGTTAGGTACCCTGTGGTGAGTTTGATCTGCGACGGGGGGCGAGGAGGAGCTCAGTTGTTCAGTGGGACCAATTATTTTTCCAACCTTCTTTTGGGTGGCTGCCCCACTAAAAATGGTCTTCCCCAAGAAGGTTTCCCTTTTTTTCCAGGGTCAGTGAACAACTGAGGGAAGTGGCTATATTCTTCCATTTGCCAAGAGGGATGTCTATTACTTTCCAATGCTTGTTTTGAAAGGGAATCTTGTGTCCAGGGGACTTATACAAGCAAAGCATCAATTGCGGCTCCGAAAATTCCCTGAGAAGCAGCATTGCAGTTGGGCCATTTGTTCCGCCCTTTAGCCCTAAGTTTGTTTCTGGGCTTCTGGTTTCCAGCAACAAGTTGACTTATAGCAGGTGGGCGCCCCAGCTGGCTCTGCCGCCACTGCAGCACTCACCTCCTCTGGCGGGCCTTGAGTGAGGCTGGCCGTGCCACATGGACCACCCCTAGGAAGCAAAGCAAGTAGCTTAGCATCCCCAGTGGTTCCCTGTGGGTGTTAAAGGGAATCGTGTTCACTACTGGAAATATGCTCTCATGTTTTCCAGGCGTTTCGCCACTATACTAGGCAACCCTTCGCCTTTGTCCTCTTGAATTTTAAAGGTGGGCAAGCCCTTGGATACCTACTCTACAGGGAAATAGAGTCTCTGGGATCAAAAAGTGCCCAAAGCGAGATTTACCAATAAGCCAATTGGGGGCCACTCAAAGGACTTGTGAAGTGGGGGATACCTGTGTAAGTGAGGCGGTCATCCAAGCGGGCCCCATGGTGCCTTCGTCACAAACTACGCTGCCCACCCAACCGTCAGAAACCGTCTCCGATTGGTTTCGATGTGCCGAAGTGACACAAACCTCACAAATGGTACCCTCAACAAAACAGGGCGTCCACGCACATATGGGTGTAGATTGATTGAACCAAGGACCCATTGCTGGACTTCAAACATACACAGGGAGGGACTTTGTCCACTAAGAAAATGTTGAGGGTTTTGTCCTTTCATAGCCATATTGATTCAGAGCCGACTCGCAAAGGGCTTTGCCGATCATTGCCCCTTGGCCGCAATAAGTCACTCATAGCCATCACCAGCCTGCAGCTCCCCTTATGCTCTGGATCAGGAAGTGGACTTAGGCCAAACAGCGGAAACCCATCTCTGAGAGTCTCAGATTGCAGTATACGGAGGCGCTTCGCCTTGTGATCATTGTGGGTTGAAAATGAAGTTGGAAACCTGGGAAAAGATGGCTATACCTTTACGGCTCCCTGTCCCAATCAAAAGGGAAGGGGTAGAGGGCTTACGCTTTCTGGGTCCTGAATAGTTGTGATGCTGGATGCTTGGGGGGGGGGGTTCTCAATTGGATGGCCCAGGCTGTGTAATGGACGGTTGACAGATTCTAGAAATAAAACACTTCGCCCTGGACATACTTCGCTGATTTGAAGTAGGGCTTTTGCTTTCACATCTCATGTAGGTCTCTGTGGGACCATGGTTTGGTTCTCGGCCATGTAAGTCCAACCTGAGCTGCAACCAGCTTGATCAAATCAGCTAGATCAAATCATCTCATGCTGTCCATGCTGTCCATGAGGGAAACACGTTCAACACCATGGCAGTTGGGAAAACACATGCAACGCGCACCGGGGTTTTGTTGGCGAACACAGCGCAACAGCGATATCGGTCATTCGGGGCGAATGACCCCTGCCTGAAACCGGCGTCGCCCACTGATCGGACCTCCGCAAGACTCGAATACGCAAAATCCCCCACTTTCCACTTGGAGGGGGAGGCTCCGTGACCCCAAAAAATGGAATCATGACCCCTTTATTTGGGTAATGACACTCGTTTTTTAACAATCATGGAGATATCAGGGAGGGGGAGGTGGAAAGGTCCTAAACTAAATGCCAGTCGTCTACTCCTCAAGGGACAATAGCAACGCAGACCCCTGATTAGTAAACTTAGTCAGGGGGGTCCTCCTGAAATTCCCCACTAAAAAGGGACCCCCCTTAATAACAAGTTGGGGAGGGGATTATTAATCAGGGGTCATCGGTACCCTGTTTCCAAGAATGGAGGTGGTCCGATTTAGGCAAGGCGCACCCAAAAGAGCTTCCATCAGGCAATCGAAGGAGCAAATGGATCGTCTAGCGAATGGACATCCGGCCCAATGAGGTGTGTCTTTCTTTTGGAGGGTACCAGGTTTTCACTTGAAACAAATAGTCATCACCGTTTTTGTTGGGGGAGGGTCCCCTAGACACACCCATATTGTTTTCGAGTTTCACCGGATCTTGGGTCGGTGTCGCTTCTTGGAAACACTGACGCTCTTGATCTGAGCAGCAACATAGTTCCTGACATGGAAGCGTGTTGTGAGCATGTTCGAGCAGGGTCATTCGTCAATGTGGGGAAAAGCATTACGACTCCCAAACAATCCGACTGTATGCGAAATATGTACCAACTGCAAATGAGTCAGTTCATGTTGATACTCTGGATGGACAAAATCCTGCACCACTTTGAACCATGGAAAATGGTTTGTTGGTATTTACAGGGGAAGCATCACCACAAATGGACTTCACAACCATCCACAGTCCCCTACCGTCGCCCCAGTGACTTGGTGGGAATCAGATTCCGCGCTCATGTCGCTGGGATCCCCGCTTGGTGCTGTCCTGCGAGACTTGAAACTTGGTCGGGACCCGATGTGCGTTGTTTGAGGGTGCTCCTCTCGGGTAGCCTCAGTTGCTCCTGAGAGGCCCAGAAATAAAAGGAGATCACCTGTTGGCACCACGAAAAATGGCTCCCAAAATTAGAAAACCAAAAGACCAGAAAAGGTCGGCTTTATACAACTGGGTAGTAGTTTGAAGTGGAAAACTGAAAGGAACGCCATCACTTTTCAGATAATGTTCACATATACCCAACAAGATTCCACAAGGGAGTCCCGAACACTCAAAACATATCTGTCCGCTTTTGGGGCCCCTTAGTGGAAAGGAAACATTGTGGGATATTTAGCACCCGGTCTGTCCCCAATGAGGCATGTCTGCAAACAACCCACTCCTTATCTGAACCAAACTGAGAGTCATGACGACACACACACACACACACACTCACACGCCCGCCCGCCCGCCCGCCACGCGCGCACCCACGCACGAGCGCGCACGCTCACACGCGCGCTCGCACGCACGTATGCACGCTCACATGCACGCACGCACCTGCCGAAGCGGCTTTGGCCGTGTGCGCAGCAGCCAAAGCCGAATGGATCCGAAACGCGCCGCAGCGATCCTTCGAGGGCTCATTCGCCGGCGCCTTCTTCCTGGTTGGAATTCGAAGCCGACGGACGAGGAAACCCTCGCCCAATGGCAAACAATTTACACCCGGAAGACTCCGTAAAACAAAACAAAAAGCAAGTGCCCGAGTTCCAGTCTACTTGGAGGCACCGGAAGCCCGCATGATATGGTAGATAATTATGGGTGAATCTTGTTTGGGAGTTGGTACCAGTACTTGTTGTTGCTTGAGAGGGGAGCTAACGGAAATACGCGTTTTGACAGGTGATTTCATCTTTTTGAGACAATCCCATGATCTGGATCTATCATGGAACGCCAAGCTAGAGAGAAAAAGCAGGTGTTCCACAGAACACGATGATTAAAACGCGGAAACGATGTGCGGCAAAACTTTGGAGCAGCTGGGGCCGCAGCTTCTTCTTCTTGTCAGCTGCCTTCTTCGCCGCCGGGGTCGGCTCTTTCTCCTTGCCTGACGAGACATGGCTCGACATGGCTCGACAATGGCCTTCCTTCCATTTGCTTGAGGCCCCTGGAAAAACACCTGGAGTTTCCATGACCCTTAAAACATGGGGTCATGACCCCTTTTATTTTTGGTCAATTTGTTTAAGGGTCATGGAGACTCCAGGCAGTAGTATCCAGTAGTGATAGATTCCATTTAACACCCTTCCGGCTCTGCGTTGGCTTCTCCCTGCTCTGCGCTGTTTCCGCTTTGGCTCTTGGGTTGTTTCACTTTGGGTACGTAATTATTTTATGGCTTGCCTTTGTCTCTGCCTTTCCCTTGACGCCCTCCCGAAGGGCTCTTTTAGAGATCGCATCTTCCAGAGATCGCCACTCCAACGGCGAGTGGCAAGTCTGCCACTCCAACGGGAAACCAAAAGGTCCCCCCTACTCCAAATACCTGCTGTTTTCAGTGTATTTTGGGGAAAACCTGGTTTTCCATGGTAAATACCTCCTTTTTTAGCAGAGGGTCGACATCATACCCTGAAAAACGTGGGTATTGGGTGTAGGGGGTCATGCTGAGTGTCTCTTAGGCGACCACCAGGGCGTGGATTGAACAAGAACACCACAGGAAACCACGGATTTTGGGAGCTTCAACATTCTGAGACAAAAACATGGGGGTGCACCCGGGTTTCCCATGTATCAGGTGCCATAGGATGGGCCTTGACCCATGATCTCATCGCTGGACCCATCTCTAAGGATCCAGTACTTTGATCCCTTTAGCTAAGGCATAGGGACACTCTAGGCATGGTGTAGCCAGCCTATTGGCAAAGGCCCGCAAGGGACCCTAATGGATATTCGGCTCGGTGCTACTGATGCAGAAACCCTGGGTTTGTCTGGATTCCCCGGTAAATACTGACAAATTTTATGGTTTCAACCCCCATGTCGAAATGGATGAGTCGCAACCATCCACACCATTGGCCCCTACTGGCATGGGGGAATCGGCCGGAGGTGGTTGGCCTTTGACGTCCTCCGGCAGAGCGGGCACCTCAACCTGCGGAGGGTAGATGTGAAAATGGTGGGCTTGAAATGGGCTTGTTACTAGATCTCTTTGTCTCCAGGGTACCGGGAGTCTCCTTCTGTCTCTTTAAAAATGGGGTCATGACCCCTTTGTGGCTGATGAGCCCATTTTCTTGAGGGTCATGGAGTCTTCAGGTACCCATGTTGCCCTGGTTTACAGGGAAGCAGAAAGAAACGCCGAAATCCATGTTGGGGGTCCCCCGATTTCGCACATTGACGAACCTCTGGTTGACACAAGGGGGGTGGCCATTGAGAAGATCTGTCACTTGCGTGCTTTCCTTTATGTGGATGTTTCTTTCCGTTGGTATGCATGGGTTTCATTGCACACATCCACAATCCTTGCAATGGGGAAGAACCAAGCAAAAGCAATACACCACTTTTTCCGCGGCCAAATTCTCCTTTTCGACCCCACTTGGGAGGGGAAATATTTTTTTTGCCTCTCTCCGGCTCCGGCCTCCGGCTGCACCTCCGGCACCTGCGGCTCCGGCGGCTCCTTTGGTGCCCACGGCTCATCCGCCTCCGCCACTTCCAGCTCCACCGCCTCCTGCCCCGAGATCTGGGGGGGGGGAGCCGATGGGTTCGACCGAGGTTCGGAGCTTGAGCTGGGGTCGCGACCCTGAAAAACGGGATGACCCGAATCTTTAGTTTGGGTAATGTCCGCCGTTTTGTTTAGGGTCACGGAGATGTTAGGGATATGTGGGGCTGAATTTTAACCAGGTTTAAATCAGGGAATTCCTCAGAAGGGGTAGTCCCTAAGGACCTTAGAAAGAAACCCTGGGGCTCTCCACTACCCACCCCCTTGTACCTCCTTAGGGATTCCTCCCTATTCAAGTGTTGATTTGTGTGGGGCTGAATTTTGACAATTCATGGCCATATCGCCCCTACCTTTGAAAGGAAATTCGGGGCAGGTTTGCTCACTCAGAGTGGTGAGGGAAAGCTCACTATGCGGAATTGTGACCCATGTTCCCGCCTCGGGTTCCGGAAATAAGGGTTGTCCCAACTTGCCATGGAATTGTAGAAACTTGCCTCGTTTTCAAATTTGACTTGAATCCCGCCCTATCAATCTCTGACCAACAGTAGACTACCACGGCGTTTGTCAGTTGCTTGCCTACCCATAATGCCAGAATCCATGGTTCCCCTTGCCGCCTGTTTTGGAAGTTTTTACCAATCCAGAACGCCCTCTGGTAGAACAACACAGGGGCCTCAGTCATGTACCACTGGGGAGCCCAACTCCAAATCCGGAGTCCCAGGTGGGAACCGTTTTCTCTCCTGCTCGAGCGGCGGCTCCCCACTCAAAGCCTCAGTGCGCCAAGGCTGGCGCTGCTGGTCTTCACAGGCGTGAGGGTCTTCAAACATTTGGCCCATGAGGGTGGTCTTTCCGGTGGGTCATACTGTGGATGGACAAAATCCATTTCGCACCACATAAGAAACTCCCTAAAATTTCGATTCCCCCCGTAAATACCAACAAACAATGGTGTCTCATGGTTGCTTAGGTGGTGCAGGATTTCGTCCATCCACAGTATTGCTTGCGTGGGATTTTTCGGGACTTAAAGTCATGAGCGGGGTTATGGAGAGGGGTCGCTGTCGCTTATTAAGCCCTTAAGGCCTTGTTGTGTTGCCCTTTCCTTGGCTCCTAGGCTTATCCAGGGAAAGCCCCCCCCCTTTAACGCCCCCTTAACGTCCCCTTAAAGTCCAACCGAAACTACCGAGAAGGACTCGCCACAGCTCCACACTGGCCCAGGGAAGCACCACAAACATGGGCTTTAAGGCTCCTGTCGGCGCTTCAAAAAAGGAGTCATATAAGTTCATGCCCTTCCACCGAGAAAGAAGCCAACGAAACGAGCTGTGCATCTTTTCTCGCACCCTTCCACCAAGAAACCTCAAACCTGCATGCAGAAACCCTTTTGGAAGACGAAAAACTGCTCTTTTTGGCTTTGGGTAGCTAATGCAATTCCAATGGTGGAAGGGTAGCTGATCGAGCTCCAAGGCAGCCTGATGCAATTACCTTGTTTTGGATTCCGGGGCCCCCAAGAGTCCCTTTTGCTCTGATGGTTTTGGCCTTGCATGGGCGGCCCTCTTCAGATCCCCTGCTAAAAGTTGTTCACTTTTAGTGGTTTGCAGGAAACTATCACTACACCCCTACAAGCCTAAAAACCTGCTAAGGAACCGGACGGCTGGGAACCACCAAGCTAAGAGGGGTTAAAGTACCTCCCAGCTACTTGGACTCTCCGGGGTCCTCTTTTTGAACAAAATGCCCACCAAAAAGCATGCTCCCACAAGCATGGAACCTTCCAAACTCCAGCTCTTGAAGGAAGCCAGTCTTCCAAACAGAAGTCCGCACACCTTCCATGTTTGTTGTTACAGGACACAAACATCTGAGCCATGGTCAAAAACTCCTGAAATGGCCTATGTCATGGTTCCCTCAATGGGAATCCTCGTCATTGTTAAGGATCCTTACTACCAGGAGGATGACCATCCTGGCAAAACCCAAAGTAACAAAAAAAATATCTTTTGACCATGGCACATGTAGCATCCAAGCTTCCCATACTTATCAGCGCGGCCGTCTGCCCGGGGCAGCGGCTATCTGAGGTTCTGGTGCTTGGCCGACCGCGCCCTACGCTCGCCGAGAATACCCGGGCGCCATGGCCCAAAAAAAAACAAAACAACCCCTTCAGCTGCCAGAATATTTTTGGGGTTCAGGCAGGCCACCACTAAAACAAGGGGGGGTTAATCTACCAACCAGTTTTATTCTTTCCTAAAACAGGGGTTAGGTTAACATAACCACTGTTGTTTTCCGGAGGATTTTCGTCATCCAAAATGGGCCCTTGCCATTCTTTTAATGGGGAGTGAAGCCCAGGGAGTATATGGGTGTGTCTTGTTCTTAGGATACCCTATGCTTGTTTAGGGTACCCCACGGTTGGTTGGTTTACAAGGGAAACCAAAAGGAAAGCCCCCTGAAACGGGAAGCAAGGGCGCCACCGAAGCTCTGTTGTCACCACGTGCTCTGTGCATTCCCTCCTAAACATATTCAGCTTCCTCGCAAGTGGTTGGAGCCGAATCGGCGGTTAGGTGTTGCAGGGGCAACCCTACCGTGGATGTTTGCGAAATCCATTTCGCACCACCTAAGGAAACATAGTTTCTTTGCTTTTGGACTTTCCAGGGAAATCAAATCATGCCCTTGGGTTTTGTGAACGGTGCCTAAGGGGAGTTCGCAACCATCAGTACCCACAAGAATTGTGGGAACCTGTGCAACTTGACGAAAGAAAGAAAACCAACCAACCAATCAAGCAACCAAACAACCAACCCACCAGGCAAGCAAGCAAACAACCAACCCACCAGGCCAGCAAGCAACAACAATGGACATTTGGGTGACCAAAATGGCGACCTTTGTTGGAGCTCCCCCTGTAAGGCGGCAAAGGGTACGGTTTCCGTCGGATCCCTGGCCTGGTCATCACCAAAGTCCTGCATCAGAATTAAGGCTCTTTCGGGATGTTTGTACAAACCCTTTAACGTTGGCCCCGGATTGAAGTAGAACCGGTTCTGCTAGGGTGTTCCCTCCAAAAGTGGTATGAATTCCCGCTCTATAAAGGGGACCCCTATCATTCAATCAAGTTTAGGAATTCGGGGTCCCATTGAATGCCCCTTGGAAATTTGTCCCCGGAAGGCTTGTTTTCTCTTAAGCATGATAAATGCCAAGTGAAGCGGGCAACCAGGAAACAAATCGGTTTGAGCAAGGCGTACCTCCACTCGTAGAGACTCCGGTGACCTTTGGTCACTCCCCCCCCCCTGGCCTTAGGGCAGATGCAAGCTGATCATGACCCAACTGCAAGTAAATGATTGTGGAAAAACAATTGTTGGAAGGAACCCTGCTAATTCAAGATTGGCGAGGACGAACCAGAACAGAACAGGAGCCTAACTAATGAGGGTTTCGTCGGTTGCGCGGCACCCATGCTATTCAAATGAGCCAAGCAGGGAAACAAGTTGGAGCGGTTTTGGGGTTGGACATGTTTAGTTGCAGCATTTAGGGACTTTCACCAACTGCACTTGCAAACCGTAGGAAAAAGGGTGCAAGGGGCAAAACAAGCAGGGGTGCTTCCAGCTTGAGTTGCTAACCCTTGAAGCTGAGTCCGAGAAAAACGTGCAACCAAAGAAAAAACGAAACCCGTTGGGTTGGTTGGGGAACCACTTTTAGTGGGGAGCCAAAGCAATCAAGGGGATTCGAGGGCGACTCTGAAATACACGGACACCAAAACCCTGTTTGGGTCCCGGAGTCATTGAGAGCGACTGCTGAAGGCCATTGAGAGAACTTAACGTAATGTTGTCGGATGATGGACGCCTGGGCCAAGAAGGGAATCGAGGACTCATATTTGTATTTGTGCGTATAACGACATATATATATATATATATTATGGCTATGTTTTTTAAGGGTCTGCAACGCGCGACGCGCCACGAATCTTGTTACGGAGGTCTGTAACGGAGGTCCTTGTTACGCAGGTCTGTAACGGGAAAACATTTCCTGACAAGCAGTATCAGTATATAGCACAATGTAGCGCAGAACAACGAGGTATGTAATGGCTACGAAACGAGGTCTGTAACGAGGCAAAGCACAGCGCAGGACGCAAAGCGCGCCTCCGCAGCTCCAGCTTGATTGCAGCTACTCAACACAAGCCAAGCTGCGGCAAAAAGCAGGGTCGCTCGCCCGGGCTGGGGGTGGGTCTGCAACGAGGTATGTAACGGCCATGTAACGAGGTCTGTAACAAGGCAAAGCAAAGCGCAGGACGCAAAGCGCGCCCCCGTAGCTCCGGCTTGATTGCAGCTACTCAACGCAAGCCAAGCTGCGGCAAAAAGAGGGCAGTCACGTCACTGGGCCGGTTTGTTCATCTGAGGTGTGTAACGAGGGTGTGTAACGAGAGTGTGTGACGAGGGGTGTGTAACGAGCCAGCTGGTCTAGTTACAGAGGTCTGCAACGAGGTCTGAACGAATGTCCGCCGCGGCTCTGATACAGACCCCTCAAACAAATCCCTGCCATATGTGTGTGTGTATGTGTCACGGGGCCCGGCAGGAAGGTTTGCGTGCCGGGTGTGATTTGCGGTATGATTCGGGGGGATGATTCGCTGTTGCAGCGTCGTAGCAGTAGCAGTAGCTGCAACGTAGCAGTAGCAGTAGCAGTAGCAGCAGCCGTAGCAGTAGCAGTAGCAGTAGCAGCAGTATCGGTACCAGTAGTGGCAGTAGTAACAGTAGTAGCCGTAGAAGCAGTACTACTAGTACTAGTAGAAGTAGTCGTACTAGTAGAAGTAGTAGTAATAGTAGTAGTAGTAGTAGTAGTAGTAGTAGTAGTAGTAGCAGCAGAAGTAGTAGTAGCAGCAGTATTGGTAGCAGGTTGCGCTGGTGGTGGTTGTGGATTTACTAAACAACACCAACGGCAGAAGAAAAGTAGCATCTTGCAGCATACGTTTTGAAGGGCTATGATTCGGGGGTATGACTCGGGGGTATGATTCAACAAGGTCCCACCTTCTACCTTTTGCAGCAACTCAACACTGCAAAAAAGAGACAAACCCACACATATATATATATATATGGGTCTGTCTTTCTTGCGGGTACCTTTCTTTTTGTGCGTTTGCTAAAGGAAAACCAAAAGAACAACCACCCATTTGGGAGTCCCCGCAAAAAAAAACAAAAAAAACAGACGCACACACACACACAGTATGGACATGTGTCAAAGTGAAGTCTTCTTCTCCTAAATGGCTGTTCTCCTTGATACATAGCTACGTAATATTGCATACTATTGCATTACACATAATAGCATGTGTGACCCGCCAGCAACCCGCAACATATGGCAGTCTTTTGCGACATGCAGTCCTGACTGGGCGCTTCACTTGCATCGACCTGCAGCTACAAACCGCGTGCTTTGGCCCCTCTCTCAGCTCCTGCCAGTTCGAAATTTAGGCTTCTAGGATGGTCCGAGCCCGAATTATTCACTTGGGTCCACGCACTTCCCCACTGAAACGGCCAAACGCCAACCTTTGGGCTTCCAAGTCTATTTGGATGCCCTGAAAAAGAACGACGAAGCCAGTTGGGCGCTTGTAATTTCACCGCTCAAGGCAAAGAAAAAAAAGCGCGGGGCTGTTGCCAAACGGCGCGTGCTTGGTTTACATGCAATCCACCCTTCGGGTTCGAAAGGCGAACCCTGAAAACCAAAGGGACACACATTGGAAGACCACACCCATATAGACATACTGGATGGTTGCCAAATCCGTTTCGCACCAGCTAAGAAACCTACAATTTATAAATGCCGTATAGTTGAATACTAACAAATGGTTTCGGCCATTGGTGCGAAGGGCTTTCATCCATCCACGGTATCTAGTTTCGGTGGATGCCAATTCCTGCCATATTGCCAGTAGGCCAACCATACGAACCCAATCAGGGTAAATTGGAACATTGAATTCCATACCATGTTTCCTTGCAATATGGGTATGCGTCACAATTAAAACCCCCAGGATACGGACCGCAGGATTGCGTCCATGGTTCCATTTACCAGGGCAGCCCTTTTTAGGGTTACCCGATTTTGACAACCAGGGCCACATTGCTTTGCTTTCAAGTAAGGTTTTTGGCAGAACAAGTGTGAATCAGGCTAAATTGGAAGATCAGATTTTCCAAACCTTCCATTTGGTTAAAGCCCAAGGAAAAATATGTTGTGATGAATTCATTTTAAACCCAACAAGGGGAAAAAACAAACATACTCTTAAGCAAACAAAGGAAACCAGGTCCCTTGGCAATATGGGAATCTTGGCCCCCGGTTCAAAAAAAACCTGCAGGCCCTGACCGCAGAGAGGCCCCGGCCATCTCGTCGCATGAGAGGATTGTGGGTGTAGTCCTGGGACTTTTGGGCGTGAATCCAGGGTTGATTCCTTTTCCATTCTGTTCAACCATCGTTCTTTTCAAAAACCAGATCCGTTTTTGACCGGTTTTCTAGAAAGAAGGATTCCTGGAAAGAATGGGGAAGGTAGCCCCAGAGTGAAAACCGAAATGCGGAGCGACAGAGGGTTCGAAAGGAACCCCTTTCCAAAAAGCAAATTCTCTCAACACAACGCACACTTTTTTGGTAGTAGAGTAGTTCGGTTCCAACTGGAAGTGAAGTACTTCTTGGAAGACTGGTCCTAAATTGGAACCCCCTTTCCCAAAAAGCAAATTCTCTCAACACAACGCACACTTTTTTGGTAGTAGAGTAGTTCGGTTCCAACTGGAAGTGAAGTACTTCTTGGAAGACCGGTCCTAAATTGGAACCCCTGTCCAAAACGCAAATTCTCTCAACGGAACGCACACCTTTTTGGTAGTAGAGTAGTTCGGTTCCAACTGGAAGTGAAGTACTTCTTGGAAGACTGGTTCTAAATTGGAACCCCCTTTCCCAAAAAGCACATTCTCTCAACGGAACGCACACCTTTTTGGTAGTAGAGTAGTTCGGTTCCAACTGGAAGTGAAGTACTTCTTGGAAGACTGGTTCTAAATTGGAACCCCCTTTCCCAAAAAGCAAATTCTCTCAACGGAACGCACACTTTTTTGGTAGTAGAGTAGTTCGGTTCCAACTGGAAGTAAAGTACTTCTTGGAAGACTGGTCCTAAATTGGAACCCCCTTTCCCAAAAAGCAAATTCTCTCAACGGAACGCACACTTTTTTGGTAGTAGAGTAGTTCGGTTCCAACTGGAAGTGAAGTACTTCTTGGAAGACCGGTCCTAAATTGGAACCCCTGTCCAAAAAGCAAATTCTCTCAACGGAACGCACACTTTTTTGGTAGTAGAGTAGTTTGGTTCCAACTGGAAGTGAAGTACTTCTTGGAAGACCAGTCCTAAATTGGAACCCCTGTCCAAAAAGCAAATTCTCTCAACGGAACGCACACTTTTTTGGTAGTAGAGTAGTTCGGTTCCAACTGGAAGTGAAGTACTTCTTGGAAGACCGGTCCTAAATTGGAACCCCTGTCCAAAAAGCAAATTCTCTCAACGGAACGCACACTTTTTTGGTAGTAGAGTAGTTTGGTTCCAACTGGAAGTGAAGTACTTCTTGGAAGACCAGTCCTAAATTGGAACCCCTGTCCAAAAAGCAAATTCTCTCAACGGAACGCACACTTTTTTGGTAGTAGAGTAGTTCGGTTCCAACTGGAAGTGAAGTACTTCTTGGACGACCGGTCCTAAATTGGAACCCCTGTCCAAAAAGCAAATTCTCTCAACGGAACGCACACTTTTTTGGTAGTAGAGTAGTTCGGATCCGACTGGAAGTGAAGTACTTCTTGGAAGACTGGTTCTAAATTGGAACCCCCTTTCCCAAAAAGCAAATTCTCTCAACGGAACGCACACCTTTTTGGTAGTAGAGTGGTTCGGTTCCAACTGGAAGTGAAGTACTTCTTGGAAGACTGGTTCTAAATTGGAACCCCCTTTCCCAAAAAGCAAATTCTCTCAACGGAACGCACACTTTTTTGGTAGTAGAGTAGTTCGGTTCCAACTGGAAGTGAAGTACTTCTTGGAAGACTGGTCCTAAATTGGAACCCCCTTTCCCAAAAAGCAAATTCTCTCAACGGAACGCACACTTTTTTGGTAGTAGAGTAGTTCGGTTCCAACTGGAAGTGAAGTACTTCTTGGAAGACTGGTTCTAAATTGGAACCCCCTTTCCCAAAAAGCAAATTCTCTCAACAGAACGCACACTTTTTTGGTAGTAGAGTAGTTCGATTCCAACTGGAAGTGAAGTACTTCTTGGAAGACCGGTCCTAAATTGGAACCCCTGTCCAAAAAGCAAATTCTCTCAACGGAACGCACACTTTTTTGGTAGTAGAGTAGTTCGGTTCCAACTGGAAGTGAAGTACTTCTTGGAAGACCGGTCCTAAATTGGAACCCCTGTCCAAAAGGCAAATTCTCTCAACGGAACGCACAGTTTTTTGGTAGTAGAGTAATTTGGTTCCAACTGGAAGTGAAGTACTTCTTGGAAGACCAGTCCTAAATTGGAACCCCCTTTCCCAAAAAGCAAATTCTCTCAACGGAACGCACACTTTGTTGGTAGTAGAGTAGTTCGGTTCCAACTGGAAGTGAAGTACATCTTGGACGACCGGTCCTAAATTGGAACCCCTGTCCAAAAAGCAAATTCTCTCAACGGAACGCACACTTTTTTGGTAGTAGAGTAGTTCGGATCCAACTGGAAGTGAAGTACTTCTTGGAAGACTGGTCCTAAATTGGAACCCCCTTTCCCAAAAAGCAAATTCTCTCAACGGAACGCACACCTTTCTGGTAGTAGAGTAGTTCGGTTCCAACTGGAAGTGAAGTACTTCTTGGAAGACTGGTTCTAAATTGGAACCCCCTTTCCCAAAAAGCAAATTCTCTCAACGGAACGCACACCTTTTTGGTAGTAGAGTAGTTCGGTTCCAACTGGAAGTGAAGTACTTCTTGGAAGACTGGTTCTAAATTGGAACCCCCTTTCCCAAAAAGCAAATTCTCTCAACGCAACGCACACTTTTTTGGTAGTAGAGTAGTTCGGTTCCAACTGGAAGTGAAGTACTTCTTGGAAGACCGGTCCTAAATTGGACCCCCCTTTCCCAAAAAGCAAATTCTCTCAACGGAACGCACACTTTTTTGGTAATAGAGTAGCTCGTTTTTTTTTTTTTTTTTTTTTTTAACTGGAAGTGAAGTACTTCTGGTAGATTGGTCCTAAAGGGACCCCTTTCCAAACAGTTAGCAGTTAAGTGGGGATGTCCCACTAAACCACAACAAGCGAAAATGTAAAATGTTTCCCAACAACAACCATGCTAAAGGGACCCCTTTTCCAAAAAGCATTGACATCTCAACGGCACAAAAACGGGAAAACACGTGCAGCGCGGTCGGAACCCCCCTCCTGATGTTCCGGCTCAGCTGCAAGCGGCCATCCGAGCTGAGATAAAAAGCGTGCGCGTTGCCGGATAAACGCTTGAGACGACCGTGTTCTCGGTCGGCTTCGGGGACTTCTTTTTTTTGCTGCACCTAAACACCCTCCACTTCAAACGAGCGCTTTCTCGGCTTCGAGGATTTTTTTTTATGTTTGATGCCAAAAGAAAAACCGCTCGGAGAAAATCGCAAGGAAAGATAACAGACATGGCTCGTGGAGGCGCGAGACTTGAGCACATGGAGCTCTGGAAAGGTCTTGGGATGGGGCTCTGCTGGCAAATTCGATACGCTTGAACCAGCCGGCATTCGGGCCCCGATGTGCCAGGGCTGTGAGCAGGCGATGGGGTGTGGTTTGAAGGACGCCAACCGGTGCTTCCATTTACCGCGAAAAAGTATGGCATGCTTAGCTCTGGGTTCTCTCCTCCGTTGCCAAGGTTTCCTAGAACTGGAAGCACTGGGACGACTCAAATTTTAGATTTCACATCGGAAGCTAGGCACTTGGAGAAACCAGACCTGTGGTTCAACGCCACGGGACAAAATCCTATGTCCCAAAGAAACACATCCTCGTTCACGCTTCCCTCAAGCTGCCAAGCAGATTCCAGAGTGGTTGATGGAATGGCAGAAAAAGGCAAAGCGACGCCTCCTTCTGCCCCGAATCAAAAATGGGGCCATGCCTCGAATCTTTCCTTCGGGTCATCCCAATCAATTTTTCGGGTCAGACTCGGAGACTCCAGGCAACTTCACACCTTCAGGGCCTTTCACAGATTCCGATTTTCCCGAGAGGTGGCTCGAGGTAACGCAAAAGGCGCCGCGTTACAAAGACCTCACTGCAACCAACTCCATCTCCATTGACAACATCAGCTCAAGCAGACCTGGCTCTATGAGGCTTCATCAAAAGGTCCCATTTGAAAACCAATCTAAGCATATGACATGTCCCACTAAATGGGAAAGGATACCCATGGTTACTTGGGGGCCGCGAATATTGATCAACCGCAAAAGCCGCGTCAAGTCCTGCGGCGTAAATATATGATCTGGAAGCAAGAAAGGCAGCTCATGTGTCCTGTGGGCAAACAAACAGAAGCTTGTTTTTTTCGACCTGCCGAACATGCTTTCATTGGGTCACAAGCAATCCCGGTTGTTTTTGATGTTGGGAATTCCGGACTCTCCGAAGGCGTACGCACTTTCTTTGCGCTGGGCGGAGATCGCAGGTCGAATTCCAAAGCCCAGAAGGGCCGCTGCATTATCGTCAGGCGACCAATGGCTTCCCAGCGGTCAGAAGGGATGGGGTCGCCAGGGATGTGTTGGGGTGCCAGCAAATGAAGGGAACCCGGCCCCAAAAGAGACAAACATTTCTGGGCGGAATCCACGGGACGTCAGCCTTCATCAGAGGCTTGGAAAGCCGAACGAAACATCAACCAAAAGTTCCTTGAGCAGTATGCCTTCCCTTTTTAGGGGGCGCGTGTCTTCAACCAAAGAAACAATATCCGAGGCCCTTACCCAGACCCCAGTTGCCACAAAAGCTAGGGAACCCTTCGCCATGTTCATGTTAAATACTCAGGTGGTGTCCTTGGTTGCCTACAGTCACTGGCTTTCATCTTGGTTTTGTGATAATACTACCGCTGTTTTAGGGCAGCAAGGCCACCTGCCATACCTAATCTTGGCCATCCGTAAGGTTGTTTGTAAAAGCCGACGCAGCGGTTTTTGGTTGGTGAAATGGGGCATGTTGGCATAAAGTGGATGACCGTGGCTTGTGCAACAAAACGTCGTTATCAATGGAGTTACAGGGCTGAATTTGTTCGTTTGTCAAGCTGGTCGCTATGTGGAAAACAACTTTTGCCACCACTTTCCGAGCAAAGTGCCGACTCAACCGCAGGCGGGCGAACCGCCGGCGCGGAGCAGAAAACAAAACGGCGCTACACCTCGTCACTTTCGATGAAATCCTCCGGAGGCCGTCCTCGGGATGGTTGGAGTCAACGGTTTAGGTACGTCCTGTTTGGGGCCCAGTGGTTCCAGCTACCACTACCTCACTTGCACAAAGGACCCAGAAATAAAAGGTTAACCTGTTGGGGCCATGACTAAAACTAGACCAAAAAGGAGAAACCAAAAGGTCAAAAGGTCGGCTTTGGGCAACTGAGCTACACTAGGTAACCAGGGCCCCTCTAGTTGTTTTTTCATGATGGTTGCACTGGGTACCTGGAAGCACTGGCCCTTGTTGACCCTTGGGGGTAGACTACTTTCCATTTCAGAGGTTGGACAAAATCGCCGCCCCTATGTAATTACTTTCGTTCCCCCCCTAACCCCCTAATTAGTGTTAAGCTCACCCCCAACAGAAAATCCAACACACGCAAAAGCAGGTCTAAATTACAAAAGCTGTTGCCAACAAGTCTTCCGATACGACTTTATTTCATGGTTCCACAGATTGCTATAACAGATCACCAAAACGCTCCAGAAACAGGAATTCTACGACCATACAGCTTTGTTGGAAAATCCCTACATCATTGTGGTTATATTCATCCCCATTGTTTTACTGTCGGTTTGAACCCGCGGGGTTTGTTAGAAGCAAACAACACGAAGGTTTGACAAGCTCAGGAAGGGCAGTCCCCCTCACCCCCCCCACAAGGCCAGTCCACCCCCCAGGCCCTTGGATTCATCTCGACTCTGTCGAGCAGTGGAAAAACATACCCTCCTGTCCACTAACCCATTTAAGGGAAAATGGTCTTCCGACTCAGGTTCCATGTGGAAAGGAGGGTAAACACAATTTCCTATGATGTTCCTATTGCAATGAAGAGATCCGGAGAGGATCAAAGGACCCGGGAATTCGGGGGGCAGCTTGTTCGGGATCAGGGGACAACCTTAAGAATGGGGGAAGGTTGTTGAATCGGGGGTAATCAGTACATGCAGCGTTCTTTTGACATCAATCTACATGAACCAAGGCCCAACCTGTGTGACACTGTACCCAAACAAAAGCGGCGCCTGCTAGGATTGTAGAAGGCATCTCAACACTGATTGCGAAGTGAGAATACAGTGTATTCCCTGGGGTGCAAGCCACCACTGAAACAACGGGGATTCATATAAGCACCAATGTACCTAAGGAATTTCATCATCCAAATTGGGTCCCAAGGCCATTCTTTTAATGGGGGTTTAAGCCCAGGGTATTCGCTGACGAGGCTGCAACCCTCGAAGACTTCCCAACGGAGGTGGGGAGTCAGTGTCAAACCAGCATGCTTCAAGTGCGTGTGACACAACTGTGTGTGTGTGTCATTTTGGGGACTCCCAAAAATGGCGTTGTTTTTGTTCTGTTTTCCTGTTGTTGTTGCCTCAAACACGACAAACAAGGGGGCACCTCCTCAAAAACGACCCAGGCGTAAACCCCCTCTGACCGTCCCGAGGCCGCAAGCGGCGTTTTTGCGCATCCCTTTGAAAGGCGACAATGTGAAGACGCACGACACGACGCCGGTCCAAAGAGGAGTTTTTGTTCCATGCTGTGGATGGACGAAATCCATTTCGCACCACCTAAGGTTTTTTTTTTTTTTTCCGATTCCCCTGTAAATACCAACAAACAATGGTGTCTCACGGTTGCTTAGGTGGTGCCTAAGAGGATTTCGTAACCATCCACAGTATCATTCTCGCAGGAGCTGCGCGCTCCCGGAGTCTTCAAGTAAGCCGGGGAGACCCCGAATGGGCCCCTGCCTTCTGGACGTGGTTGGCGCCTAGGCCTAGGCTGGAAGTCACTGGGAAGCTCAGCTTCCCTCCGGTGGTTTGGTGGGTTTTCAGCCGAAGCCGCAGCCGAAGTTCGGTGGTTTGGTGGGGTGAAGGGCTACAACCAGAGGTTCAAATCCAAGTCCAAACCAATCCACCTAGAAGTTACCAGGGAAACGGTTCAGCCCTCTGAAAAATGACCGGCGTGAAGAGGCAATCGCTCTGCACGCTTCGAAGCAGACTCAGCTTCAAAGCAGAAAGCGGGCTAAGAGACCTGGTGCCACACTCAAAGAAAACGGCCTTTTTTCTTCTCCGACAATGGCACCTGGCCGAAAATCCATGGGTCGTCCTTTCGCTTCCACGATTCGCCTTTCAAGCATCAAATGCTCGGTGCCACTTGGGTCAAGTCGGGGCACAAATTCCTGCTGGCAAGCCTTTAGTATAAAGTCGTTTGGTTGTAGAGATACGAGTCCGCAAAAAACTTCCAGCCCCACCAAGAGGTTGGAGGGGTTTGGTTGTAGAGAAATTTATACTCCGCTACCCTTTGGCGGCATGTATCCCCCATGTGGGCACAAAGGCCAGGCTTCAGGTACGAGTCCAGATCGAACCTCGGTGCCGGATGCAGCAGTTGAGGAAAGTCTTCTGCCGGGATATGGTCATAATTCCATGAATACCTCAGTTGTTCAGTGACCCTCAAAAAACTAGACCACGGTTGGCCCGAAAGCATCACAGCCCGGCGATCATTCCCGTGCAAGTTTTTTGCTCGATGTGGTCACGAGCAACACACAGCAACTAACCTTGTTCCTGCTATCTTGCCACCTATCGGACCCCCCTCACACGAGTTTGCCAAGCACGTCAAAGATGACACATATACCGCGCTCGAGCAAAACAGTGACTACAACGCAAGTGACTCTCATGATGACTCTGCGCAATGACTCTCATGATGATTCTGCGCAACGACTCTCATGATGATTCTGCGCAATGACTCTCACGATGACTCTGCGCAATGACTCTCGTGATGACTCCGTTTAATGACTCTTCTGTGGTGACTCTATGCAATGGCTGTCATGATGACTCTGTGCAATGACTCTTGTGTGATGACTCTATGCAATGGCTGCGGTGACTCTGTGCAATGACTCTCATGACGCTTCTGCGCAATGACTCTCATGATGACTGTGTGCAATGACTCTCATGATGATTCTGTGCAAGGACTCTCATAATGATTCTGGGCAATGACTCTCATGAAGACTCTGCGCGATCACTCTCGCGATGACTCCGTTCAATGACTCTTGTGCGATGACCCTATGCAATGGCTGTCATGATGACTCTGTGCAATGACTCTCATGATAATAATTTTCCCAACAGAACACCTGACTTTTGGTCTGCCCAAGTTGCCCTGCGCTAGCCGCTATGTGCAAGTGCTCTGTGCAATTGGCTTTGCGCAGGTTGCTCTGCGCAAGCGGCAGCGCTCTGTGCAAGTTGCTCTGCGCAAGTGCTGCCGGAGCTTTCGGGAAGTACTTCGCATACTAGTTTTCTGATTGAAAAGTTCCATTATGCAGCCGGAGCTGCAGGACTGTACTCCGCGTACTACAGTTGTACTTGAAAGTTGCGATTTTCCAGCCGGAGCTGCGTCCGCGTACTACCCTTGCACTTAAAAGTTGCGATTTCTGTCTAGAAAAGCTTCCGTGGACCAGACGGGGATCGACCCCGCGACCGCGCGACTCCGAGAGCAGCCGCGCAAACCACGCGACAACTTCCAAAGACCACTTCGCAAGCAACAAATTCGCACGGCGCCGCAGCGAGAGCGCTTCGACACGCACGATCCTCGCAGAGGATAGCGCGAGCATATTCGATTTCAGAATCGAAAAACCCTTAGTTTTTGCACATCGACCACGCCGATCCCCGCAGAGGGTTCATCCTGGAATGTCAAAATCGCAACAAACCCTCAGATTTTTGACCTCGACCACACGAGTCTCTGCAGAGGGTCGCTCGCACAGATCAGAAATCGAAAAAAGTCCTCAGTTTTTTGACCTCGACCACACAAATCTCCGCAGAGGGTCGCTCGCGCGCCGCAGAAATCGTAAAAAGTCCTCAGTTTTTTGACCTGCACACGAATCTCCGCAGAGGGTCGCTCGCGCACCGCAGAAATCGTAAAAAGTCCTCAGCTTTTTAACCTCGACCACACGAATCTCCGCAGAGGGTTGATTTTCGTAGAGTGCTGTCGGCCCTACCCCGCCGCCCTAAGAAGAGAAGAAAGGAATTTAAAACTCGTCATGAGTGAGAACTCTCATGAGCATTGCTCCTCGCCAGTGACTCTCACGAGCATTGCTCCTCGCGAGTGACTCTCATGAGCATTGCTCCTCGCCAGTGGCTCTCACGAGCATTGCTCCTCGCAAGTGACTCTCTGCTATGACTCTGTGCAATGACTCTCATGATGATGATGACTCTGTGCAATGATTCTGATGATGATGACTCAGTGCAATGACTCTGATGATAATGATGATGACTCTGTGCAATGACTCTGATGATAATAACTCTTTGCAATGACTCCCACGAATCCAACGGAAGAACCCTTCGCCATGCTTTCGGGTAAAAGGGAGAAAGGGAACCCTTTTTAGGGAAGACCATTTTTGTGGGGCAGCCACCAAAAAAAAGGAAAAATGGCGCGAGATACCTGTCAGTGCCATCACCGGCATCTACGTCGCATGGCCGTACCTCAGGATGCGAATTGACCCAGTGCTCGAGGGCATAGCGTCCCAAGCCGATGCAAGAAGGACCAATCCCTGAGAGCTCTCGCCGGAACGCCGCGAAATTGCCCATGTTGGTCGGAAAATGTACTGGATCCTTCAATTTGGCAATGTACCCGCACCGGGCAGTCCACATGTTGCCCGAATGATGAGGGTGTGGTACTGGAGACATGCGGGATGAGCATACGTCGCACTTCGAGGGTAGGTTCTGACATCCTTCGGAAAGCACACCTCGTGTGAGGTACTTTCGCAGTCGGGTGTTGTTTTCCGTGTTACTGTACGAGCCCTTGGAGTGCAAATAGGCAACGACTTGGGAAGGATCGGCATCTTTGCAGAAAGACCAAATCCTGTGAAGCGTCACGTCCTCCCCTCCGTCGACGTAGGAAGAGAGTTGCGCATGTTTCTCAACTTCAGCGGGTAGGTCAAGATCAGCTATGGCTATGTTCTTGAGCGGCCCAAGTGAGCTGATGAGTACGTGTTGCCGCTTGGGGTTGACAACTGCTCCCGAGCTATCGCTGCAACTCTTGAAGTATCTGTCGGACCCCTGAGCCACAGATGGTAGAAGATCACCACTTTCGTGGCTTTTAAGGACAGCAAGCAAGACACATCTTCACCAAGTGCGCTAGCAAGAAAGCAAAACCATGCCAAGAAGCCAGGCATTGAGATACGGAAACTCGGTTGCTGCAGAATGCACCAAAGAAAAGGGTTCGGTAAGGACTTGAACCACAAGACGCTACGGACTGGCAAAGCCTTCGCATCGGTCTTTTCAGGCCCGACATACTACTGTGGGTCGAAATCCAAAATCCATTTTGCACCAGTTCTCAGTTGTTCAGTGACCCTGGCAAAAAAAGGGAACCCTTTTTGGGGAAGACCATTTTTAGTGGGGCAGACACCAAGAAAAAAGGACAAAGGGTGCCACTGAACAACTGAGAGTTAGTCGCTGATTTATCTTAAGCGGTGCACAGTTTGTTTTGTTCATCCACAGTATTTCTGAGTAGCCAGCCGTGTCATGGGAGAGAAGTGGAAACATCAGGGGTTTCTCAAAATAGAGGACTCCCCTTCACGAAAACCATCGAAGGGAAACCAAAGGAAAACATCTTTATGTAGCGGGTCCTGTACTCAAGGCATACCCCTATATTTCGGCACCACACATTTCTGCAATTCCATACTTGCAAAAGGGAAACTATGGTGAAGGCCCGCAAACCACACAATCTAATTAGCCCTTAAACTGCATAATCCACAATCCGCGAACTACTAGTCATGGGGGATTAGGTTTTGAACAAGCTTTCACCTGCTTTAGGAGGGAATCCTCCAAACTACCTGACAAAGGTGACTTTTTGAGTATCCTTTGCGAGACCTTGTATCAGTTTACTTGGGGGTCGAACCCTTGATTCTTGTAGAGGGTAAGTTTCAGGGGAAACCACCCTCGGAACACCTCCAACCCAAAAACATTACAGGAAAGCTGACTGTATCCCTTTGGGCGTGGCTTCAAAACCCAACCAACACTAGAGCCTCAACAAAAACATAAACCCCGTCAAACGAGAACCTGCTTGGTGGTCAAGCTACTTAGGTGGGATACCTTGGCTATACGGGCATCCCCAGCTACCCCAGTTATAACCTACGTTGGTTGAGAGCCAAGGTTATGACCTCACCTGACGTTAGTTCAGCATCCTATGTCAACGCTATGACCTACTTGGCCCTTGTCCAGGTGTCCTTAACAAACAGATGGCAAACAAGGCCCAAACTGCCACCGTCCTGGGCTGCCCGTTTTCGGATCCCGCGAAAAGTGACTAACTCTTGGTGTTAAACTGAAACTACCACCAAACACTAAAAGGCCAAAAGGCTCAGTTGAACCCACTAAGAGTACACTAACCCACTTGAACCGGATGGCGGGGAGCCACGTGTACAAGCGATGGTCAAACGCACTAAGCCCAGCACGGCGCAGCCTCTTCGCTGGACTCCTCGCCTAGCGATCGAATTCGAGTTGGGGGTCCGGGCTGTCCGCCATAGGCAAAACACGACGCCCATTTCTTGGGGGGTGGTTGGCTTTTTAGGGAAAATCCAAACACGTTTTTTCGTTGCTTGGTTTTCAAGGGGGAAGCCCTCAACAAAACAAATGGACAAACGGGAATGCACTTCCTGAGTCTGGGTGTCGGTGCGAATTCTGCAGGCAAATTGAACTCCTCTCTCCACTGCAGAGCGACATGGAACCCAAGAAACGCTCGCTGATAGAGGACGTTGATTTCTCACCCAGAGGCTCCTGGAGCTTTTAGTGGAAGACCCCTCCATTGGACACCCCAGAGGGTCCCAAAACCTGGCTGTTTGAGGGACCTAAATGAATCGGGAGCTGGGCAAAGAGGTTTCATGTATGTTGGAGGCGGGGCAAGAGTTGGATTTTGGACAAGTCAAGCTGTAAGGAAAGCAACCAGGAGGAACCGAAAACGATCCTGAGTAGGCCAACCTCTGAACGCTTTCTGGCATTCCAACTCGGGATTGCCCTTCATGCACCCAGTGCTTCCATATAGTCATAACTGAAGCACTGCGGCATCCTATTATTCTCTTTCAATTCACCCCGAAAATGGCCGCTTGGAATCGAACCGACCAAACACCTAAGGCTCATTTGGGGGGCACAGGGCAAGGACAGGGGGCCGTTGGCTTTCCAAGTCACTTTTGGAAACTGTAAAAAGCCAGGTGCCAATGCAGAGTCTGGAACACAAAACGCGCTCACTATCCCGTCGAGTTTTCCTTTCTGGCAAATCAATTGATTGCACCCTCTTTCCAGTCAACGTCGATTTCGTGGGCTCGGCAATCCTGTCAGACCCTTAGACTGGCGGCAAAAAAAAGTAAGTTTTCATGGGACACCCCTCCAAACAAGGCAAGGCATTGGAGACAGTACCTAGGTCCTCCAGTAGAGTGGTTAGAATAAGGGTACCCTATTTTTTTTTCTGTAGTCTATTTTAGTAGGGAATGAAACCCTCCCAACCCAAAAAATAATCGGTAAAAGGGCACCTAGCTGGGGGACCTAGGTACGATTCACCGCCCACGCAGTTTCTTGGTCGTAGTGGGTCACACGCTAGCCGCTAGCGCCCGGCTGGAGGTGTCAGCGGCAATTGGCCCCTGGCAAGAGAAATGCGCAAGCGCGCTTGCCCATCAATGCGGGGCTTCGGGCCTTGTGCAGGTCTTTGAAACACACCTCAGTTTTTCTGTGACCCTGGAAAAAAAAGGGAACCCTTTTTGGGGAAGACCATTTTTAGTGGGGCAGTCAAATGCCCAGTGCATTTCCATTGGAAAAAACAGGGTGGCCATCGGAAAAAATGGAGTCCTTGTCTGGTGCTTTGACTTTAAATGGGGAACCCTTCCCCCCCAATAAAAAAAGGAACAAAAGAGCACCACTGGGCAACTGGGAACATGGATCATGGCTGGGGGCTGTTGGGCGAATTTGTTCGGAAGAGCTCGGTTCGAATCCGGTTGGCTACTCTCCAGGAAAATGGGCCTCCAGGAGCCCTCAGCCTGGTTCCATGTGGCCATGGGTCAAGAGCCAAATCGTACCCCCAGTGAACATCCCAGTCCCCACCAAAATAGACGAATATGGGTGGTGCACCTACCCCAAAATGGTACCATTGGTTTTGACCCACAGCCATGTTAGTGGACATGACGCTATCTTGCCTGGGAGTTCGCTATTTTGTTTGACCGCCATGACGACCGATTAACCCTCACCGGAATTTCTGCCTTGCCAAAAAGCAAAGGGCGAGATGCAACAGGGATCCTTACATTATACACATGAACATTGCAACTTGTAAATGGTGGGTTCCCTTTATTTTGGTGTTGAAAAAGCCATGTTTCAAATGGGCAACATGGAGATCTTTTAAGGAGCCCAGTGCAAGCCCCTTCAAGGCCACGAGCCCAGGAGTTGTCAATCGGCCAAAGGCCTCTTCCCTTGTCACACCAAACCCGGAGGAATCGCCCGTGACGTGCACAGCGCCTTTGACAGACTTGGGATGCTGCCGGCTTGAGCGATGCAGAAACAGGAGGAATGGCTGGGACCAAAACCTGCGTAAGCCGTCCTGTTTAATTTTGAGCCACACCCAAGTACCTTGTGAGGAGAGTTTTGGGGCTTCAAAGCTCATAAAGCACCTCCTTAGGCCCTGGGACCCTTTGGAGGGTTTGGCAAAACAGGGCCGGCTTTCTTCCGTACATTGCAACCCAAGCAGGGCCGTGTTGAAAACCCACCCGAGCCGGAGAGCCGAAGTGTGCCCCTTTTCCGGGTTTAAGCCCGAGAAGTGATCAACCAAGTGGTTATAACGCAACCAATTCTGGCTGACCAACTCTCATTTTCCGGATTTGTTTGTGTACTTGCTCAAACGATGGTGTTACAAAGTCAAGCAAGAACTCAGACTTTGCTGTCCACTGAAGTGACTCGGGGCTCCCCGGAAGGTGCCGTAAACAGCATGTGATCAGCAGACTCCCCCATCCTCTGCCCCCGTTGTCTCAAAGGGGAGAGGAATACTAGTCATTGCATTCCCCTAGCCTGGATTTTTGCTGGGTTCCAACGAAACTGCACTTCCAGGAGACCAAATTTCATTGACCGCTTCAAGGGTCCAAGTACCCGTGTTCTGTATCTCCTGTTAACCTACAAAAGGCGTTGAAGCGTACCAGCGTAGCCCCTTCCTGAGGCCAGCTGCAACACAAAAACGACCCAAACAGTTGTGCGGTCGTGCTTAAATTTCCCCGACCTGCCCAAAAACTGGGTGCGGCAACCAATAGGAAAGAAACAGCAGGTGGGACTTCCGCAGGACCGTCAAGCAAACCTGACATGGCCTGAGAAACTTCAGGTGAAGGAAGGTCTGCACGTGAAACTGACCAAGCCCTTACTCCGTAGGCACACGACATGATGGTCCTCAGTTTCCACTCAAACTGAATAGAACCAAGCAAACGCTACCCTTTCCCTTCCCTTCATTCCAACAATCTCGTTTCAAGTGGACATGAGCTCTTTTAGGTGGTTTTCCCACGATTGGACACTGAGAAACGGTGGATTCCCTAAATATTGCAAGTGAAACACCGTGCGCAACAAGGGTAAAGTGCATTTAACAAGGTCTTCCAACAGTTGCAACATAGTTAGTGAGCCATTCCCAAAGGTTTACTCTGTTGTTCTTTCTTTTTTTTTGTGGGGGGGGATCCAAGATGATGAATGTTGGCCCCATATTCATCGACCGCAGTTTATGAGGGGGTGTGTCCCGGGGTGAGCTGTGGGGAATTAAACCACTTGCAGGAAACTTCCTCCCACTCCCTATGATCAGATGGTCGGTTGACCCAATTTGGATGATGTAAATAAGGGCGGTTTACACTACCCCCCATTCTTTTACTGGTGGCAACTGAATCCCAGAAAGAAGTTACCAAACACATGTTGAGGCGGTCAACCTAAAAACCGAAAAGAAAAAAAAAAAAAAGAAAAAAAGAAAAAGAAAAAAAAACAACACGTGGGGTCCAAGTGATCCTCGCCCATATTTCCCGCCTCGCGCTTAGGCAGCGATGGGGCTCCACCTTACGGACTCAGGGCGAAGAGGAAGGAAGGCACCCCATGGTGTCAACCAGAGGCCAATCCTAAATCCTTGCTTGACGTTGGAAGCAACCAATTCTCAATACATGTAATGTTTTTTTTAAAGCAGTTAAGTGTTTTTCTTTTAGCAGTTGAGTGGTTGGATTTCAACCACTCAACCACAATAAGAAACAAATCTAAAATGTTTCCCAACAACAACCATGAATATTCCCTGGGAGGTGAGGCACCCTCACCTTTTAGTCAACCAGAGGTTCTCATTTGGTTCAAAAAAACGGGGGGCAACTGGAACTTAAGACTCACTTACTTGAGTGGATCGGCGGAAAACAAAAGGTCAATTGGTCTTCCCATATCTTCTAAAAGGTGTTTAAAGTCCAGGAACTCAGGAAGTCAATATAAGTGAGTTTAATCCTTCTCATTTGGGCTGAAAATCCCCTGACACGAAGACCCATATGAGTGCCCGACAATGGTAATATTGGCCGTTGCTCCAACAAACACCGCTTGGCTTTGTCCGTGGAAAGGTACCCTTAGGTTGGGTCTTCAAAGCCCGTGTTTGGGGTCCCCATAGCCCGCTTTTTGGACTAGAAATTACAGTAGATGTCTAGATGTCGTTTCTTTTAGCACACCTCAAGATACTGTGGATGGACGAAATCTGCTCGCACCACTTTGAAACCATGGTTGAAACCAGTGTTTGTTGGCATTTAGCAAGCAATCATCATTGCAGGCTTTCTTTGGTGGTGCAGGATTTTGTCCATCCACATAATGGTCAAGTTGCCGGATGCTTGCCTCTTTGTACAGTTTGGTGGTTATACACAAGAAATACACTTGAGGTTTGTTGAAACGATCACTCTACCATGACTACCCATACAAACTTTGCACAACCGCATGCCAACAAAAACAACCTAAAATCTTGACCAAACTCAGACCTCCTGCCAAAAACTTTGCTTTATTGCTGGCTAAAAGGGAACAAACAGCTAGGCTAAGTGTGCTTGCAAACCTCGCTCCTTTCGTCTGAAACCCTCACCCCTGTGGCAAACCCCAGTGAATATGGGACTTCTCAATACAAACCTTTCATAACCCCTGCACACACTTGCAACGAGATGCCCACATCCCTGGAGAACAAACATCTGACAGAATGTGTAAACCTTTCTGGGAAACAATCACTGGACAATATCTTTGGTCCTTGGAACTGCTCCATCTACAACCCACAAAGATACCTCAAGTCTTTTGCCACAAAGCCGGGTCTTTTCTTGGACTTGGTGCCACAACTTGTGGGGTAAAACGGTTTTCCTCTAAGTGGACCAGAGTCTGGTTGCAGAAGCCATGGCCCATCTTGCCAAACTCGTTGCATCTAGGGCATCCGGCCACGCGGGGGCTGCCTCCTGCGGGGGCTCAGAAGGACAAGGCAGGGACAAGGGGCGTAGCTCTGCAACAAGCGGATTGCCCACGGCACAATGGTACCTGGAGTCTCCTGGCCCTTCAAAAATGGTTGGTCATGACCTCTTGTGGGTAGAGAGCGGCCCGCCATGGGGCCTGTGTTTTTGAAATCAACCTTTTTTACACCTTGGCATAGATGGATGCACCTTTTCTCGCACATGCGGTCTTTGGTGATTTTTGGAGAAGGCCACCCACTGCAAGCATCTTTCCTCTCCCCCCGCTTTCTTGCAATCAATTCCCTTGCTATTCCCTTAGTATCCCCCTAAAAGATCCTCAGAATTCCCTCAGTATTCCCCTAATTAGTACCCTCCTAGTAATTCTGTCCCTAGCATTACCCCAGTGTGCCTATATCTCCCCAGAAGGACATTCATTTGACCCCTCTACAAAAGGTAGTGTCTAAAACCATCAAACGGGGGAATAGGAAAAATCCGTTCCACCTCCTTCCTGACTTTGCCCTAAGGGTCCTGATATGAAGCCAAACACCATGTCCTAACCAAAAGGCAAGACATGTCACCAAGTCCCTTTCTGGGTAACCTAGCTAGGTCCTCCAGTAGAGAGGTTAGAATAAGGGTGCCCTTTTTCTGTAGTCTATTTTAGTAGGGGAACCCTCCCCAAAAAAAGAGTCAAAGGGAACTACTGGGGGACCTAGCTAGAGTCTCCTTCTGACCCTTGCAGAATGGTTGGTCATTGCCCAAACAACGAAAGGTTCGGGTCATGCATGACCCACCTTCTTTTTTAGGGTGCGCGCCGAGAAGAGCCGGCGCAAGTTGCCAGTTGCCCATGTTGCCCCTCCGTTTCTTTGGAGCCGGGAACAGGTCCTTTCACCCCCAAGAAACCATCCTCAACGCATAAATTTGGGAGGGCTTGGGGTTTCCCAATCTTCAGGCGTTTGGACCCGGGTTCAAGACGCCGCTCGAAGTTTTGCTTCCCCTCAGGCTCAAGCTCCGCGTGCAAAGAGGCCGTCCTCGCCCTGGCAATTGGACGACTCCGATTTCCCGGAGCTTCCATTTGCTTTTCCGCCAGAAAAAGTGAGAACATACTGTGGATGGTTGCGAAATCCATTTCGCACCACCTAAGAAACCCTGAAATGTTGATTCCCCTGTAAAAAGCAACAAACAATGGTTTCACATGCTCTCAAAGTGGTGCAGGATTTCGTCCATCCACAGTATGTCCAGTGAAATTGATTCCCTTTCAAGCCAGGGGAACATACAACATATTCATTTCAGCAAATGGTGCTTGAAAGGTAAACCGCCATTCCAAGATTGATCGAACAAATAGTTGTCACTTCATAATCACCCTCTGAATGGAGGTTTAAACGGGCTTCCCACGATGCACTCCTGAAATGAATCTCTGGGCTAAAAAGGCTCTTTTGTGGCCACACAAAACGCACCTAGACGGAAACGCGCCTGCAAGTGAGACCGTCGCGATATTGTATTTTATATATAATATATAGGTGAGGCTCAAACTTAAAGAGGTAGGGTTACGCATATGTTAGTCTTTGGTTCCATCTACCAAGGTGCCATATCTTTGTACATTGTTTGAGCCGACCCATGAAGGCTCCTGATCTGTTGATCTCTTATTGGCCTGTGGAATTGATGCATTGTGTCCAATTGTGACACGAATGGGCTATGGGCAATAAACAAAGCTATGTGTTTCCCCAAACAACACGCATAGAAATTACATCGGATGGTCGCCCAAGTCCTAAACCAATAGTAGGCTACTGGTAGCATTTGTGTCAACAGTGTCATGGATTTGCCCCTTCAATGGGGGGACCCAAACCTCATGGATACCCGACAATTACCAACAAAATCTGTTGGACCACCCAAAACCGATACCTAGCCTGCAAAACCGACAGAGCCCAGCTGTTTGCCTGGTGCTCATGTATCCCTAAGGGTCCCTTGGTACGCTTGAAGATGTTTTGGGAGTGTTAAGGGACCGAAGTACCTCTTTAGACGATGATAGGGCTACCATTCGAATAAGCAACCAGCGCAAACTATCGGTGGTAAACCCTGGGAAGAAACCAGCATGTGAAAACATGCAAACCTTAAATACGCCTCAGAGAGGCCCCTTCGCCGATCAAGCTGAGGTGTCGAAACAGCAAAAAGCCTCACTTCCTGAGTGGATGGCCCAAAAAAAAGTAACCAAACTGTTTCATGTACCACTAAAATGGCCACCTGCCCCCCCCAAAAGTGACTCTCAAGTCCATGATCTCAGTGAGAAACTGAGGTTGCCTATACAAAATCAGAGCAAGTACAGTATCAATGAACAAAGCAACGAAACAGAACAAGAGATGAACATAATTTTGGTTGCTGAATGCTACCCCAAGGCCCATTTACTTACCTTTTCGAATCCGAGGCGAGCAGTTGGTGCCCTCTCTTTTTCCGAAAAACGCCGACACCTCTCTGGCGGCGCAGGTGTGGGCGGAGGCCTCGGCTTGAATGGGAAAAACGGTATGGGGCTAGGGGTAACGTCTCCTGGCTAAATGTCAGACAGTCTCCTGACCCAAATAAAACAATGGTGGGTCATTCCCCAAAATGAAGATTCGGGTCATGAGTCACGAGCATTTTTTCTTTTTCCGTGGGTAACTTCCAATTTCATTCTTTCCGGGGATCCGGATCTTTCTAGAAAACCACCAAACACCCGGGGAAATGGATCTGGTTTTTGAAAAGAACGATGGCTGAAAAGAATAGAAATGGAAGCAACCCCTAGAATGGGGCGGTTTTTGTCTTCATTCACAGAGCTAAGTGATTACACAAAACAAAGGGGTCATGACCCGATTTGTAAAGGGTCATGGAGGCTCCGGGAACCCTTTTTTGCTCAGTGTTTTGGTTTTGGTTGCCCACCAGGTCCAAGTACCTTGCTAGGGAGTAGCTTCACCCCGTGACCACCCAGACGGGTGCAACCTGGTGCAAGCCTATCTTACAAACGCACCATATGCGTGTGTTTTTTTTTGAGGGTACACCTTTTGGTGTTGTTTAGAGAGAAACCAACAGGGCCCCAAAAAAGACTAGAGGGTTGTGTTTTTGCGGGCTTAAGCCATGTTGCTTAGAGAGCAACTCGACCCTGTCTTTTTGGGGCTCTTTTGGGATTTGTGGCTCGCAGGGTTGAGACACACAATGTAAAGGCTCCCTTTATGGGAGATATGACCATGGCCCAGACTTGTAAAGTTTAGGCGACATGGCACATGACACATAGGTGCCATTTTTGAGGCGCATTACCAGCTGTTTGCCTTTGTTCAAAAGGCAACCGACAGGAAGACCGAAACTCATGTTTGGGAGGTTCAAATCCTGATCTTGACTTAGATATCATAGGCGTGTTTTAAGATGCGGGAACCTCTATGCGAGGTTTCTCTTTGGTTCTCAAAGAGGAAACGTTCAAGAGAAGACAGGGGTTCCTCAATTTCCCTGTTTTGGACCTCCAAAAGTGGCAGCTTTAGAGCAAGGATGAGGAATCCCCATTCTGAAACTGCGAAATCGGAAATGAACTGGGAACATAGTAGGGATGCGGGATCCCTATTTCCCAAGATTCCGTGTGCTTCAAAGACAACCACCAAAAGGGGTCTATCAAAGCAGGTCACCATGTGGAACCTATGCAGCTTTGATCTGAGTGGATGACTCCAATTCGACCAAGTCTGCTTGAACCTGCTAGGGGATTTACAGAGTCACCGTGGGCTCCTTTTTGTAGGGGACCTTCTCAAATGTTCGGCTTTCTTCTTCGGGTGCCCTCTAGAACCATCAAAACCACAGGTACCCTCACTCATCATGTCCAAACTCGTGCAACCCCAAAAATTGGGGAGCCTTAAACTTGCGGTGGTTTCCAAAACCACGATGACATGTCAACTTTGCGTGGCGCCCCACCCCCGACCCGCCCCACTGCACATTGAGGTTCCGGCAAGGGCGGCTGCGTGCGCGGGAAGAGGCACTGCAGGAAACTCCTCGAGCGCCTGATCAGAGCCAACGCCAAAGCAGCGATCCCGAATCCGAAAGCGAATCCCAAAAATGCCCGCTGGAGGATTCGGTGGGGGAGGTGGTCCCGGGACAGCCCCATTTTTACCAATATAGAAGCCTACACGGGCCATGGTAAACTAGTTGGCTAAACTGCGTCCCTGATAGCCAACCAGACAGTGCAAAAGAGGCCATGTCGGACGCAGCTATGAATTACTGATGGGTATACGATCTCACTACAGGTTCCTAAGTGCATCAGGGATCCTTACATTATACACCTGAACATTGCCTTGTAAATGGTGGTGTCCCTTTATGTTGGTGGAAGAAGCCATGTTTCACATGGGCAAAATGGAGATCTTTTCAGGAGCCCTGTGTGCATATATATATATATATACGTACAAAAACAGCGTAACATGTGCATGTGTCTACATCTCCACAAACGCACATAGCTACTGGATACATCTACTGAGCCAAGAGGCCTGGCCCCGCCTGGCGGAGTCCAGTTCTAGAAACAGCTCCTCCTGGCGGATGGCTTCCTGCTGCACCTGGCGCCGGGCGGCTGGTTTGGTCTGTGTGTTTTGGTTCGCCATCCGCCTTGTCACTGGCCAGTGAAAACAACCATAGTTGAAACAGTGCCATCCTGTTGAATCCCGCTGATCACAAGAAAAGAAGGTTGGGAAGTTGAAGCACCCCCGCCCCCTCCCTCCTCCCATATAAACGGAGCCAGGGGTTGCTTCTGTTGGATCGACCCCATTCCCCGCAGCCGGTCACACCGCTCAACAGATCTGCCTGGAGCTTGTATATCAATTTGGCTATGGGTCAAAACCCCGCATTCTCAGCGCACATCCCAATCCCCACTCAATTTAGACCAAACTGGGTGGTGCACCTGCCCCAAAATGGTACCATTGGTGTTGACCCAAGGCCATATGTAAAGAACAAGGGACCAGAAGAAGAAAACTTCGAAGTAAAACACCAATCGGGTGTGTCTTTTTATACGCGAACCTTGCAAAATGCGTTTGTTCCTTCTGGCTTCCCTTCAAACCAACCCAAATGGGTAATTACCAACAAGCAAGACCGTGCTTGAAATGAAACAGTTGTCATCAAGACAACGATGAATTGTGAACTCAAAACATGAACTCAAAACCCTAAAAGAGCAAAAGCGATGAGCCACGCGTAAAAAAAAAAGAGGCACATGAATGCCAGGTTTCTTGGTTTCGAGACAACTGAGTTCCCGGTTCACCCCCAAACCTTCTGTGGCGTTCTGAAATCTTGTTTGGTACGCTCGTTGTTTGGCTGGTGATCTTACAGGGAACCTCCCTCCGGAACAAACAAAAGGAACAACCAGGGCCAAAGGTTTTGGAACATCTGGGCGGCAGCGCAACGCAGCGCAATCTTGGTTGACGTTGGAAGGGGAGCAACATATAATTGTTTAGCAGCTAAGTGGTTGGATTTCCCACTAAAACCACAATAAGCAAAAACACAAAATGTTTCCCAGCAACAACCATGCAATAGTCCTCGCCTCCTCATTCAAAAGGTCACGCTCACCCTTGAGCTCTAGGGCTAGGTGGTCCTGGCACACGAAAGCTGGCCGAAGCCTTCAAAGGCACTCAAAACAAATGGAATCGGAACCGCTGTCTACGGGTTGCCCTGTAAACCACACCAACAAAAAGGTACCCTCACATGCTCAGTGGATGGGAAAAGTAGGAGCATCCTTTTTGGGTTGACTTTGCAGGAATTGGAAGCCTTCCCACCAAAAGAAGCTGACAACAGGTCGGAACCCACTGGGCAAGTGGGTACCAACACGAAGAGATCAGCCCTTCAAACAGGCTCCAAATGAGGATCTTTCCCTCCGCGTGCAACTCGATAGTTTGACTTCTCCAACGTGCACTGGCCAAAAGAAGCAACCAAACTGTTGGCTTATCACTCAAATGGTCTCCACAAAAAGTTAAGAGTGAAGGACTGAGGGAGCAGCTGGTAGGTAATTTTTACCTCATGGCTTCCCGTGGTCACCTACCACGATGGTAATTGAAAGCACCAGGGTTGGCATGATTCGGTTTTGATTGCAGAGTGCAATCCATTCTAGAAGGCATCCAGATCGCAGTTGGGCAACACACCAGATAATCATCTGCCAGATTGATCGATCCGGGTTAGCATTAGTAGCAAATGCAAACCATAGGCAAACCAACACATGTCCGGTGAGATGTCAATCACCAGACGAGTGAGCTGCTATGCTCAACCTCGCACCCCACACAAACCTCTGCTTGGTGGTCGACGGTGACTGTTTCACCCTGCACCACCTAAGAAACCCTGCAATAATGGTTCCCCGGTAAATACCAGCAAATAAATTGTTTCCCATGCTCTCAAAGTGGTGCCTAAGAGGATTTCGCATCCATCCACAGAAGGGACACCACAAACAACAGTTCCCACTGCGGGTGTCCAGCGCTTGCGGTTTGGCCAGCCCTTTCTTCGCACCAACCATGCCGTAGGCGTCGGAGTCCGGAGTTGCGTTTTCCCGAAAATCCAAGGGCACTGAAGGGACCTGAAAACTGGGCTCTCAGATGCCCGGCTAAACTCTTTCTAAAAACAAATAGTGGGTTGAATTCGGAAACCCAACCACTTTAAACTCACTAAACCAACTGAAAACAAATCTAGGTTGAACCGGATGGCCGGGAACCACCAAGACAAGAGCTTCACTGCCCTTTGACTTCTTGGGCTACGTTCGAGCCTGCGTTCCCCTCTTTGGAAAAAAACAAAAAAACTGACGAGCCAACGACCCTTCGCCTGGCGGCACTGCAGAATGTCCTGGCGCGAATGCAGGCTCGTCTTTTTTTGAGTTGGTGACTTTGCTCTGTAACAGCACATCAGCATAGAGCCAACTCAGACACGCTTGTATCGCACCCCGAAGATGTACAGCAAGAAGTGCGAAGTTGGAGGACGAGCCAGCAGCTTCAGGCTGTTTTTTGGGCTGACCCTATTCTTTGTTTTTCCCATTGCTCACAGGGATTTTGTTTTGCATGATAATTTACTGTTTCACGCAGCTAGCGGGCACTGCCCTCGGACAGCAGCAGAGGAGACACACCCATATTATGATCCTATACACCTGTGAGGATTCATTAACTTGTTGATTCGGGGAAACCATTTTGGCGGAAAAGCTTCTCTTTGCGCTTGGGGGAAGACTCCCCCTATTTATCCGACAGGGTGATTCAGGCGGGTTCAACATTTCCAGACCAAGCCCACCCCTCTTCCAGGACCTCTTTATGGTTCCATTAGGCCTTACAGTGGAAGCCAGCCCTGATTTAGGTCTCACTTCAAGGACATTTTGCAGAACGGGACCCGTGAGAGGGATTAATTTTCCATGATCTCTCCACTTTCACCTTCAGCCGCGCTTGTGTTTTGACATCCCAGCTTACCTCCAAACGTTTAGGTTCATGTCGATCCCTACAAACGGACCCCAAACAAAACACATCGCTCGTCTTTCTGGTCCCAGTGGAAAATGACCTCATCCCCACCGGGCGTCGATCCAAAGGTCCTTTACATGGGATGACCATCGGGGAAATTCAAGATAACGCTCACAGCTGAAAGGGAAAAGTACCCATCCCAGACACTCCCGATCAATTTAGGGCCCTCAAACAGGCGCAGGTTTTGAGACCTCCAAACCTCTCCGGGGTGTCTCATGAGGCATCACGTCTTCCATTGCAAGCCCCCAGGAGCCTCTGGGATGGTCATTTTGAACCCGAGCAGAAAACTTTGATCAACCCCCAGAAATCCTACCCCAACGTGGAGGGGTCGCGCCTCCTTCATGCTATCCAGCTGCTTCTGCAGATCTCTGGCTCGCCTGCACGGGTCCCTCTAGCTGAAAACCAGGGGGGGGGGGGGGCCTCTTTTGGAGGGGAACGGGAGAAACACGGACGGGTACAAATGCATGGCCAAGAAGGTGGGGTGCTATCTTGAAATAATCAGTGCTTTTTCCTTGCGGGTCTTCTAGCCGGTACCTGCGGGTCGTTTCAGCTGGTTTGAGGTTCGCGTGTTTTCTGCGGACTGAGGAGGTAAGTCGCGGTTCCCCTGTTGGGAGCTAAGAGCGCTTTTCCCGGATCCCACATTCGCTGGAAACTTACCGAACAAATGTCCTGGCTACGTACCAAATGATCAGTGAATCAGTGAGGACGCCGGGTTTTGGTGGGTTTCGTGGTTGACAATTTGTCAAGCCCATTACACAAAAGCGGGAAAACAAAAACATGAGCGTTCCGTATGTGGCTTTGCCTCGAAAAAAAACAGTAACCTGATCGTCCCGCAAAGTCCGCCCCCTTCTAAAGGTCCGTATCGATAGAAACTAGGTCCTCCAGTAGAGAGGTTGGAATAAGGGTACCAACTTTTTACAGGACTATTTAGTGGGGGAACCCTCCCCCCAAAAAGGGTAACAGGGCACTACTGGGGGGGACTTGGGTAACCCGCATGTGCTAGTCTTTCAGGAGCCCCCAACACGCCTGCCCCGGATGGCACTCGCTCGTGGCCATTACCAGCGCCAGCGGGTGTTTGAGTCCTACACTCGGGGGGCATGGATTTCGGTCCCAACTTCGTTTGCCTTCCACAAAACGCGGAATTTGGCCTTCCCGGCTTCGCCCCAAGATATGTATCCTAAAAACAAGCCACGGGACGTCCCCTGTTCAGCTCAGTTTTTTCAGTGCCCCTAAAAGAAAAGAGAATTGGAACCCTTTTTGGGGCTTGGACCATTTTTAGTGGGAGCCACCAAAAATAAACTGGACAAATAATTGGTGCCACTGAACAACTGAGTCAGGTTCCGACTCCAACTTGGCGACGCCGCAAACGGTTCCGCCTGTTGACGCCCTCCAGCTCTGCCTCCTTGCTGTTCGCCAGCTCCACTGCCTTGCGCTTTCGGCGTTCGACAGAAGTCTCTGGGAGCCACCTTCGACCTCCAAGGGATACACGCACAAGCAGAAACTCAAACGGGTTTGTGAATTCTAGCAGTTTCTATTTGAGGGAAGGGCACCTAAAAACCCCAATTGAGACTTGGGACCTATGGTGGTGCCTTCGACTTCCAAGGATACAAAGCCGAAAACCAAAGGGGCTGACTCAAATGGGTTGGTTCCTCGAAGGCCTTTTGATATCAGAAATGAATGGGTGAAGTTAGGTCCTATCATTTGCGGGGGGGGGCTCCCTATGTCGACTTTTATAGCATGTCTCGAAATGAGAGAACCTTCCAACTGGGTGTTTTCCAAATTAGCTTTGGCTGTGGCTGGGGACAGCTCAATTCTAACATCCTGCTGGAGTCAGCTTTGAGACCCCACTTCCGTGGAGACAACTTGAACCTTTGCACACCTGCTAAGGGATTCGCCTTTTTGAGCCGCCTCAAAAGACCCGTCACCCTGCGATAGCTTGCTGCGTTTGGCCCATAACATGATCACCTTTTGTCCAACTAAGTAATATATGCCCACATTGTTTACCAACTCCAACTGGGTGAGTTCTGTTGGCATTTTTTTGCTGTCGGATTGTCTATTGACCAATCAGTGACTCGGGATCCAAGCAACCCCTGAACATGATTGGGAGGACGGCTCCCTGAAAAAAGCCCAGCCCAAGCTGTGGGTTGCTCTCATTGGACCCCAGGGCAGACCAGCACTTTGGTCACCGAGCTGGAGTTGGAGCCCTGAAACCCATGGTCAAAACAACAAATTCCCGACCAAGGCCATACCCATGACTAGAGAATTCACTTTGAAAGGGATCCCCGTGGTATAGAAAATGGCCGTAAAACCACTATGTTTGCTCCACAACCAGGATAAACATATTCAGGTGGGCGTGTCTTCCCTAGCCTACCTTTTTGTGACTTTAAAGGGAAACCACAAGGACAACCACCATTATATCTCTTTGGGCGGTGTCCGATTTCAAAAAACCTGACACACCCATCTATTTCTTGATGTCGTCCCAGCCTCGGCCGCCTCCTCGCGCAAGAGGGGCCACTCGCACCTTGGCGAAACCAGGTGAAACGAGCCGCAAACGAGCCCTAAGGGACCATACCCCTTGAGGGTAAAAGGCTGTAAATAAGACCAGCAGCAAGTAAGGCTAGAGGGTAAATCAATCCAGCTTGGAGTTTTCCTGGGCTTTCTGGGCAAACAGTTGGAGTGCGCCCCTCACTTCCTGAGTGGCTTGGCAAACAAGAACTGTTCGTGTGATTGGCCGCTAAAATGGCTTCCCCAAAAAGCTTTACTTCCAGGAACACAGGGAGTGCGCCCTTTTAATCGTGACTTGCGGTCTTCGGTTCTGCCCTCGGACTCGGACTTCTCTTTTCGGATGGGACTCCGGGCCCTACAGCGCCCAGGGCGGCCAAAGCGCGCTGCTTGTTCTCCTGGCTCTCTTGCAGCTCCTGGCCGATTCACTCATCGGAACCCATTTCTCAGCCAGGACCAGTCGGCATCCCCGTGTTTCGTTGCGCCACCCCAAACGCAAATTCTCAGTTCCGGCTGGGGCCCGGCGGTTTTTCTCCCGGCAAACGTGGGAACCCAACCGGGGGAAGTTCCCAAGGTCAAAGCTCCATCCTCAATCCGAACATGGCAACTGAGAATTGGCCAATGGCGATGCTTAACACCACATCGGCAAAAAACGGTGAAGGGGAAGCATAGGGAGCACTGCACAAACTGGGGGACCACTGCAAAACCTAGCCCAGGGACCTTTCTACTGCACCGAAAAAAAATCGATCACGGATCCGAGGTTTGGAAATGGACGGAGCAGTTGTGGCTTCCGATGGACACAGCTTGCAGGGAATCCTCCAGGGTGGTCATGTTTTTCTCATCCGGTGGACTACAAAACCATTGAACAGGGATGGAATTCCCTTAGTTGCAATACTTAGGGCGTCGAACCTTTGCAGGAAAGCCACTTGATCCTGAGGTGGAGGAAGCCCCTTCAAGCATTTGGTCCTTGGTTCTAGTCATTTACCACCATCCATTTTTAAATCAAAGAACACTTCGGCTTTCTATCAAACAACTACTGATGGACAAACTCCTGAACCTAAGCCCTGGAATGATTCGATTCCCCTTTTTTATGGGTGTGGCTCAACAGTCAAGAGTCACGCAGGATTTAGCCGATGGCTCCATTTACCAAGGGGCCATTTTTGGGGGGATTCCAGTTTTTGCCCCACAGCCGCAGCCAAATACTCCTGAATTCCTAAGAAGGTTTGGAATGATTTGATCCCCCTGCAACTGGGTGTGGCAAATACCTGCAACCCCATGCAGGATTCCGTCATTTCCATGTAATGCTAACCCCGGATTAAGAACCCGCTGGTTGATTGATAGGGGGGTGTCCCCTTTTAGTGGGGATTCATTCCTTTTGGAGGGAACACCCCCCTAATAATGGGACGGGTTTATTAATCCTGGGTCAACATTACCAAGGGGCCAAATTTGGGGTATTCCATTTTCCGCTTCTGCGCCAAATGGCCGTGGGTCAGTGAACATCCGATTCAATCCAACCACTAAAATCGGTTCTGGAAATGGGTGGTGAATTCACCTACCCACCAAAATGGGACAGCCAAAGAGCCGCAAAACCCGCCCTGGGAATTTCCTTCCCACGGCTTCCCCTCCGCCGTTCGTGGCGTTCATGCGCGAGGGACCGGACGCCGGCGCAACTGGACGCCTCTGAGAGCTGCGAGACGCGCTGCCGGAAGGTGGCCGCCTCCTGCTCGCAGATGGCGGCCTGGCGCCGTGTGAGCGAGAGGGGGGGGGGGGGGCGGGGTGTGAGCGAGAGGGGGGTCGGTTTTTTCCCCAGCTGGGCGGTGGGGGGTTGGGGGTTGGAGGGTGGAGGGGGTGGGGGTCGATCGGAGGCCAAGAGTTGGGAACTGCTTGAACTTTCTGCGGGTAGACTTCGGAAGCCCAAGCACTAAAGAAAATTAAGGAAGCGGACGGCTGGGAACCGCCAAGCTAAAAGCGGGTCCCAGTTCCGGTTTGGTCAAGGGGACGGGTTTCCCGTTGCTTTCCAGCGGATTCCAGCTAGTGCTCAGTGGATCCCAGTTGCCTGTTTAGCAGGCAACCAGCCATTTTCCTTAGGGGAAATCAAGGAAACCAAAACGAAAGAGAAAAGGGCGCAACTGCCAGCGATATAAGTCCGGTAAACGTCAAACAGGATGCCAACTCCTAAAAAGACACACCCATATGGAGGTAAAAGGAGCAGACCTCCGGGCACATGAGACTCCAAAATCCTTTCTCCGGGTTTTCAAGCTACTCAGGGTATGAGCATGCTTATAAGGGCACTAGCCCCAGTTTCCCCATCCAGAGGCTCCTGGAGCTTTTAGTGGAGGACCTGACTCCATTGGACCCCCCGCTTCGGTGTTTGGGGGTCACAAAGCTTGGCTGTTTGAGGCCCCTACCTAAATCGGGAGCCTCTGTTCTGGGGTTCCTTGCGCCCATTAAAAGAATGGCAAGGACGATAATTCTTAGGTAAATCAGGGCGGTTAAATCAACCCCCGTTGTATTTTAATGGTGGGTTGAACTTCAGGGTCTGGACAGGCTAGAATAAGGGTACCCAGTTCCCACTCCTTCTTTTCTCTTTTTGTTTCTAGTGTTTTTTTTGTTGAATAATATTTTAGTAGCTTGGAACCCTCCCAACCCAAAAAATGGAAACGGTGAGAGGAGCGGGCACCAATTGCCGGGGGGCCGAGAGACACGGCACTTCCCCGACGGTGCGAGCCTCCGCGTTGAGGTGCTGCTGAAGCCGCTGGGACTCACTGCCTCGGCCGGTTCTCAAATAAACCCCTTGCTAGCCCAAGGGGGGTACCAACTTTACCCCGCAAAAATAGGAAGAAAGCAAAAACAAACACTACCTGGAGTCCCCGCAAAGTAGGAGAAACAAAAACACACACACACACACACACACACACACACACACACACACACACACACACACACACACACACACACACACACACACACACACACGCACAAAATAAAAATAAAACTACCTGGAGTCTCCATGACCCTCAAAAAAAATGGGGGTCAGAACCCTTTGTATTTTCTTTAGGTACTGACCCCGGTCATGGAGACTGGTAGCCGCAAAGCGAGACCCGAAACGGTTCTCTGGGCCATATGGCCATAGAGCCTCTGGAGAGTGTGGACTTTGGCCGTTTGCATGGGACACCATAGAACCAACTTCCGTCTCAAATCCTGTCCATGCCTAGAAGCAGAAGCATCTAGCCTCAGAAAGCTTCGGTGGTTGGTTGATTCATCCATCGCTTCATATGAAAACGTCACCCACAGGAACCTTTATTTTAAGTAGGCAGCCCAAAGGCAAAAGGTGATGTAGCCTTCTGAGCCACTGGATTTGATCCCCCACTCAACTAGCTTTGCTCCGCTCAAAGTGACAAAACCCCTCTTCTGGGGTTTTCTGTTCTTTCCCCAACAGTGTGTATTTCAACACCGCCACGTCTCCGGACCGAATTGACAACAGGTGATGCGGTTTTATCGCCCCAGGTAAATGGCAAATGCGACTGTTCCTTGGAACATGGACACTGTTCGCTTGCATGTTTCGAGGGTAATTGATATACCCCACGGGATATGCATACCATACATTGGATCAAGAAACTGATCTACAAACCCCTAAGACCCCACTTGGGGGAAGCTAAACAAAAAAACAATCTCCGAATAACATCAACCATATAACCCTTCAAGGCAAAAAACAAAAACAAAAACATGCTGGGCTTGTTTAGGCATTCTATTGCAGGATGTTCTTTGACAGGGGTGGTGTGGAACCGACTAAGTCGCCTGCCCCTTCAAGTAGGTCAACTGATTGACCGGAGACGTGTGTCTGAGACTGCGACTTTTCAGCTTCTCGCTGACGGGAGAGGCTTGCATGCTCTCCTGGAGCAGATCGAAACTTCGGTTTGTGGTGTCTGAGGACATCTAAACACCGGGCCACCTTTGTTGCCTCTCTGGCACAAGTCAACCGCACAAAAAGAAAGAAAGGCACACACCAACTCACCTCCTGAGTGGATTGGCCAGAAAAAGTCTATACTTTTCGTGTACCTCTAACATGGTCTTCTCAAAAAAGGTTTCAGAGCATGATGGCGCCAATCCCCTAGGCGCATAATCCACAGGGGATTCAAGTCCTAAAACTGACACAAGAGGCTCCTCTGAGTTGTGTTAGGTTTCAAGGACCCCACCCCAAAGTATCCAAGGACAGGGCTCCTACTTCCTGAGAGAAAAAAAACAAAAACATCACCAAGAGGAAGCCAATCTAAAAGTGGCGTCTTAAACGGGCTGAAAAGGGACACATACTGTGGATGGTTGCGAAATCCTCTTCTCGCACCACCGTTCAGAAACTTTTCGGATGATTCCCCTGTAACCAACAAACCTTGGTTTCATTCCCATGGTGACTCATTTCGTGGCACGAGAAGCGGATGGATTTTCGTAGCCAGCCACAGTCAGAACCGAGCCCGTGGGGCGTCGATGTACGTGGCCTGGCCACTTCACTTCCCTTGGACAAACGGAACTTCCGCGGGGCCCGATACGGAGGGAGCGGGGATATGGGGGGATTCCAACTTGGCGCCATTTCCCAACTTAGTCAAGCTGCAAACGGGGGAATCCTCCCGTATCAAACTGGCTCTCCCATCTCCTTGCGCCGCTCCCATGCGAGTAGCTCCCGCTCCCCGGCCACCTGGGATTCAATGCCGTGGCGTCGGGGATTGATTTGCCAACGAAAAAATATTGCGATCGTAGGGAATGATACATGGAATGAACCCAGGCAGGCCTTGGCCCCCGAAAAAAGGAAACCACAAGTTGGATGGTTTATAATTAGGGGTCATTCTATTTCTCATTCCCGGCCTATCGCACCAGCAAGAAAAAGCAAAAAAGCAACACAGGGCACTTTGATTGAAATGAGCCTAGGCAAGTGTCCTTTGACTTGATGGGATATAACCCCCGGTTTGTAGTTGAACAATCTCCCTAAACCGCGCTGCACGGTGCCATGGTTCCAGGCTTGCCAGTCATGTTCTCGGAAAAAAAGGGAACCCCGAGAGGAGAACAACAAGTCAATTCAATGGGAGAGCGCATATAAATTGGGCGAGGACAATGCAAAGTCAAGCTGTTGTCATAACTACACTGGATCAGACAAGAAATAGATGTGAAACGGATGAAGAACCCATAGAGAACATGCAGATCACTTTCGGAGGAGACAACCCTTAGTCTACAAGGATACTTAACTCATCCGGACTGGGAACAGCTCAAGGATCCACGTAGGATGGTGGTGGTGTGTTCTGTGGCCGTTCCCACTCTTTACTTGGCCACAGGCGTAGACAGAAAGCATGCTATCGTGGAATCCCACGGAAGTCTGGGACCGATTCCAAAAAACCAGCTTTGAGCCAACCAATCAAAAGGGGTACCTAGCCTCAAGGAAAGACAGACCCACTTACAGGATCTTATAAGTGACACTTTGGGAAAATAGATGGCCCGATGGAATCCCAAACTGACAAACACAACTAAGCAAACTAAACAAACCAAACTCACCAAAACTGAGCCATGTCCTAAACGTGTCATGATTTGCTATGTCGCATCACTTTGCCACTAGCTTAGGCCACCTTACGCGCGTGGAGTTCTTCCTTACGCGACATGTGGAGGTTTTGCTTACGCCGCCGGCTTACGCAATCTTACCTTAGGCGTGTGGACATTGGCTTACGCACAGGTCGATATGACACGACTCTTATTAAACATCTACACGGAGAATTTGGACGCAGCTCATATTTCTAACCAAACTCACCAAAACAGGACACCTGCGGTACATGGCTGTGGCTCAAAAAACCGATACCAAAATGGCTTGCCCTGGCAAGTGGAAACATGGGTACCAAAACCTGCGGTTTGCCCCTGCGGTTTGCCCCTGCTTTTTGAATTTTGAGCCATACCCACATACCCCGAATTGGTACCCTCGAGCCACTCGACGCGAAGGAAAATCGCGCCTCCAGCTCCGCCCGGCCGTCCCGCTCCGCCGCGATGTGCTCCCGCAGCTCCGTCTGCGCAAACCCGCGGGTGCGATGCGGCCGACGTCTGAAACACGCGGCACCGGGGGATGAGGGGGTCCAACCACCCAGGGGGGGGGGGGGGGGCTTTTGGCAGACGACTTGTTAAGTACCCCAAGATGTTTGTTGTTGGGAATTCTTGGAGTGCTCTATGTGCCCAGTGAAACATGACCCCGTCGAAATGCTTCGTTTTGGAGTTGGCGCTTTTGAATTATCTGCTTGACACCCAAAAGGAAGACCCCCCTGTGTTAGGTCAGGTGGTCCCCCGTCTTGAGACAAACCCATGTGTGCCACGGTCAAAACTTCCTGTGGTCGTGATTCCCTAAGGACCCCGCAAGCAAGCCGTCAAAGAGCCGGGGGGCTACGCGAGGTTCCTGCAAAGCGTCCGACAATGGCAGTCCGCGCTCTCCCACTGGCCTTTTGACCCTTGACCGAGAATACGAGACCCTAGTGAAGAGACGCCTTTTGAACAAGTGCGGGGTGTTCAAAGTGTTTCGAACATGGGGGCACCCAACCCCACCCCCCCCCACCCCACCCCACCCCACCCCACCCCACCCCACCCCACCCCACCCCACCCCACCCCACCCCACCCCACCCCACCCCACCCCACCCCACCCCACCCCACCCCACCCCACCCGAGGGGTTGTTTCACAAATCAAGGGCTTCATGTTGGCCCAGCGTTTGACGATGCGGGGTCCCTTGAAGCGGCAAGATCTTCAGAAATAACCTCGCGCATGGAACATGTCCATAGCATGTGTGATTTGTATCACAAAAGTAAGCGCAATAGAAGTATGTGGATTAGATTTGGCCTGGATTCGACTTATACCAGGGAATAGATCCCTAGTTTTAGCCATTGATCTACGTCTGAATCAGCAAATCAAGGGTTGAAAAGAGATAGTACGCATGTAGCAACAAAATAAAGGAGTTGAATGAGGTCCAGTCATGTTACGCGAGTTACAATCTTCTTTACATGCAGTTACATTGTACTACAAGTACACGGATAAATTCATGCTCATGACTGTTTATCACAAAGGCAGAATCCCTTGGTTTCGCAGAAAGTGGAAACATAGCCCATATGGCCATACCAAGATCTGGGTGGACATGTTTGCCCAAGCATCCCCAACCGTATCTCGGAGAACCCCCCATGGCTGAAGACCTGCTGGGGAACAAAAACGAACAGGAATCCAGGTTCAGATGGTGAAGGTATACACCCTCACTGACTCAGGTCAGCTATTGCCTACCCCGCCCGAAAACGGGTATTGATTCCATGCAGCGCACCTTGAACACTGCAAATCAAGAGGCAGAGCCGCTGGAAATTTGGAGTCACACCCCCGACTTCCAATTCCCAAAGTCCGCCTGGACTCGCAGGGCGGACTGGAGTTGCGCCTGAGCCGAACTGGAAGAGCCAAAAGGCGCTCCTCAACACTCTATGTTGAAGGGTTGGGCCAACCAGGGGAACTGTCCACTAAAAAACCCTCAGGAAAATAGTTGGTTACCCACTATAAGGAGACCTGGGGCTCACTGGCCCTGATTTGGGGAAGGCCCAGTCGCTCGAGTTGCTCCCCCGCGAATTGACAGAACGCCCGAAAAGGTCCTTTCTCTATATAAAAGACAGAGAGAGTGAGAGAGAGAGAGAGCGAGATAATGAGACATTGATTCCTCTGAACATGGTGGTTCTTCAGCTTCCTTCCGTAAAAAAAATCTGCAGCCTGCTCTAGAGACATCATCTTGACCCCATATAAATCACCCTTATAGGGGGTGTCAATGTGGTAAAGCAGACCACTTTTGGAGGGGCCAAAAACCACCCCCCCTGTGCATAAACCTGGCTTTATACTTTGAGACGCCCCTCTCACTTCAAGGTCTCCGCCTGCAGGGAGTCCCTGACGGAGGCCATGGACGCCAACTGCTGATCCGCCGCCTCAGGTTAGGGCTTGTGGATGCCAGCGAGCGAGTCATCCGGATGCCCCGCACCGCGAAGTGAAGGAAACCATGGGAAGCAAACCAAAACCGTTTTGGTTTCACTCTGGTTTTATTTCGTGGAACAAACGCTGTGGCAGAACCTTTGTTATGTTTGTTGTTACTTACCGGGAAAATCAAATCAGAAACCAGGCAAGCTGAACGGTGGTGCACAATGGATCTCGCAACCATCCACGGTAGGAAAGTGCTCTGCGTCGCTCAACCGCAGGTTCTCCATGACCCTGTACCTGGAGTCTTTTAAACAAAGTGGTCATGACCCCTATATTTTAGGGACTGACCCCATTTTGCAAGGGTCGTGGAGACTCCAGGTAAACATCGGGTCCATTTTTGAAGGGTCGTGGAGACTGAGGCAAATACTTTTGGACACCCTCTAAGCAAAAAGTTGACATCCTATGGTTGTCAAGGGCTAGGATAATAGAGGGCCCCCCAATCCCAACAAAGGCTGATAGTAATTAATAAGGCCTATTCGGGGCCAATAGGGTTCCAGTTCCATTTTTTTGGTTTGGGGGGAGGGGTCGCTTCTTTGGGGGGCCCTGACAACCATGGATAACACCGGAAAATAAGCTCAGATCCCCGGCAGCCCTGGATTCCCCTACAATCCTGCGGACCCTCCCTGAAAGCTGCTCCAAACCACCCCAGAGCCTATCTGGGCAGAGACCCCATAGCTTTCAGCGGTTAGGAAGGAAAACACTACTGGAAGTCTGAATTTCCATTTGCCACAAACATCCCACACGGTAGCTAGGTCTGCAGATGGGTTGCTTACAAGTCTCCTTCAGAAATACATGGCCGAGGGTCATGGCTGAAACAACTGGCTTGTGAAACAAAGTACCTAAGTAGTTGTTGCTGCCCAGCCCAAGACACATTTCTGTGATCTTACAGGGATTCCCCTGGCACGACAAGTTGCAAACCTAAACTTTACATGGTTGACAATGCCTGAATAAACATGCTTGTTCTACCATTCGATGCAAACACACAGCAAAAGCTTGCTGGTGCCTGTACACCATCCCCTATGGTTTCTTTTCACGGAATCCCCTTCCGGTTCATTCCCAACATCCGAAAGGTCATTCCCTACTTATCGCACCAGCAGGAAAAGTTGCCAGCTACTCGCCAGGCAAATGCTTGTTCCAATGGGATCCCGTCCTCCACTCGCGCGGAAGCTTCAGATTCTTCCTGCTGAAGAGAGTCCTCACGCAACATGTGCAAGTCAGGAAGGTTTTCCAGGTACTGTTGACGTTGATGTAGGGGTACCTTCCTCATTCTTTCCAGGGATCCTTCTTTCTAGAAAACCTGCCGAAACTCAGGGAAAACGGACGAGTTTTGGAAAGAACGATGGTTGAACGGAATGGGGAATCAACCCCTGGAATGTTGTATTAATACACTCATCTTTGATAGGCAATTTGTTCCCTCAGGAAGTGATCCGGATTCCCACAAGGGGACTGTTACTGGGTTCTCTTCAGTGATTGGGCGATTTTCAAAGCGAATGTGACCTCGATACAGGTCGGATCCCTTGCCTGGGGAACCGGTTCCCACTTCACAATCGGTTCCTTTCTGGGAACTCGATCCTTTATTTCGGGTTGGCGAATTCTCCTGACAGGACCCAGGAACCCGCTCCTCAGAGTTAGGAACGATGTTACAGTCTGGTGCTGACTAAATCAAGCATTCAGTTGAACATGAATTGGTAAAAGGGTCCAACCTCAATCATGGCCCAATTTGAACAGCCACACGTCTTTAGGGGTATTTCCGGCGATACCCAAGAGACTCTCTCTCTCTCTCTCTCTCTCTCTCGTGAAACTTGTTCAATGTCCGCCCTTATCATCCCGTTGGGCTGAAAAGGGGTCGGTTTGGACACATCAAAAGTAAAGCCACGATTGGGGTGCCGTATTGTGACACAGACCCAATATGACATAGGAAACAAATACTCAAGCCTGTTCGAGAAAAAAAAAGAAAACAAAAAGAGAACGTGGATCACAAATAAAACACACCAGCACTCTCCTTTTGTGTCTGTACATATATATGTAAACCACACACACACACTATCCAACCCTGTACCCCTCTATAGACATCCCCCCCGTTCCACGAGACAAAAAATCTGGGGGGTTGTATCATTCAACATGCTTGCTGCATTTTTTGCCGGCATCTTTTCATACATTTTTACGAAGCCCTTTTTCTTCTTTTGCCCTCGTTTTTTGGACCAAAGCGCCCAATCCGCGCGTTGCCTGCAGCTGCTGTCTTTGGGATTCCTCGCTGAAGAGCTCCGCCGAGAGCCGCGCGCCTGAGGCTCGCTCGACAATCTCAAAGGCCTCCCAGGCCTGCGGAAGGGCGTCCAGAACCAAGAAACTGGAATACCCCTTGATCAATTCCAACATATAAGCGAATAAACTGCCATGTGGTTAAGACTCCTGGAAAAAAAGATCGCAATATTTGCAGTAATGATAAATTAACAAAATATTATTGAGCAAAGGGAAGGGTATTGAACTGCCTGGACCATGACCCGAATCAAACATGGGATCACGACCCGAATATGTTTGGAGAAACCCATTTCTAAGGGTCATGGTCCATCTTCAAATTTGGGGTCACCCGAGTTTTTTTGACAATGAACCCATTAAGGGTCATGGAGGTGTCTAAGTAGAACCCGTCCGAGAAGACCCTTCCCTCCCAAGGTGGTCTGAATCAAAATGAACCAGAACTGAAAAGCTCCAACTGGGGTCATTATTTAGCCTGGTTTCTGGGGGGGGGGGGGTCACAGTGAAAAAATGGGTTGCTTCCTTTTACCTATCACTTGGGAGGTAACTATCATGGGAAAATATCAACACCTGGAACTAAGATGGGCTCCCTCAGACCAACATGGAAGCTCCCAAAACACGGTTGCTCCTTGAACGTACTTAATTACGTGGGCGTTCTGGGCGTTATGGTTACCCAGTAGAAAAGCTCTAACTGGAATTCAACCTGGGTCGAAGTAGAACCCGTCCTATAGGGTGTTCCCTCCAAAAGTGGATTGAATCTCTACGAAGGGACACAAACCAGGGGGTTTGCAAATCCGTTGCATCGGGTATCAGAGTCCATGAATATGGGTTCTGACACAAAAAAAAACAGAGCAAACCATTCTAGTGGTTGTTGCAACCCCGTTCTTTTCTTGCGGATCCCATAGGCAGGGAATGAGTTCGACTGACCCTGAGATGAACCATCTTTCATGGTTTCCTTTACAGGAATCCCGACAGGTTCATTCCCAACACCCGGAAGGTCATTCCCTACTGAGCACCAGCAAGGTCAAAATGGCACAAAGGCCTTCTGGAAGCTTCCATACTAGTCTGAGGCAGTGTACCCAGAGCCACGTAAAGAATCAGCTGCAGCCATCCTAGTTGGGATTCTCCCTCAACCTTCATTTGTCACCAGTCGCGAGGAAAAACACACATGGTCTTGTTCGCCATTGCAGACGACAACCCTCTGGGGTTCTGAGATGCCAACATTTGGCCATTCCATGACTACAATCTCGGGGATAGATCGGAATCACAAAATGCTGGATGCCCACCAAGGTTTCCAGGGACATGCTTGGCACTTAGAGGAAGCCATCTAAATTCATGGCCATGTTGAAACAAAAACTTGCCACGGCTATGTATGATCAAAGCTACACCGCAAGGTTAAAAGGGCAACCCCACATTCTGACTTGGACCAGCAGCGGACAAAAAATATTCAACGCTTCGCCATATGACTCAAAATACTCAAAATATTCAGCGGACAAAATATAACTCAAAATCCTGGTCACATTGCCAAAGCTAACACACCTTGCATCGTTGCATGGGCCCTCCAGGCTTTCAGGGACTTGTGGATGGCTTTCCAGGAACACCAAAGGACCACCAGTTTTTTTGTTTTTTTGTGGGGGGGGGAGGTCTCCTTGGAAAAAAAAGGAAAACCATAAACAGTACTGCCCTCAGCATCATTGGAGAGGTCAAGATGTGAATGGAACAGGTTTGGGCCTCCACATGTTTCCCTTTTTGGAGTGCCAAGAATTCTTGGGGTTGTCCAAAGCGTGGCTTTACACCTATTGAAAACACCAGTTGTCCGGGATCCTCTCAAAAGGGCGGTTGTCCTTCGGATTAGCCTTCACCACAAGAGCAGAGCCGAAGACTCTGGGCACCTCGAAGCCTTGAGAGCTTTAACCTACAAACCACAGAAAAATTGGCTCAGAGGAATACCCCGATATGATATATATATACATATATGTTGTTTTTTTCCTGTCTTTTTTAGAGAAAGACCCACACCCACATTTACCCTCACCAGGAATTGGGGGGGCTCAGAGGAATTTGATCTTCCAGGTACCCGGCTTTCGGGTGCCATGGCAACGTGGGAGGGAGTTCTGACTTCTAATTGCACCAGAAAATGTGTTGTTGTTGTTGGCGAAGCCACCATCTTGAGGACAACCACCCTTTTTTTTTGGGGTTGGGGGGGGGGGGCGGGCGGGGGGGGGGTACTGGTGCTCAGCGGGAATGAGAAATGGAATGACCCCGAGAAAAACCATCCATCCTTTAGTTTCCTTTATTCGGTACTCCAACCAAAAACCGGCTCCTCACTTCCTGAGTGGATGGCCAAAACAAGTCCAAGCTTTTCATCTTCCACAATAATGGTCCAACGTGACTGTCGAAGCCACTCAGCGGACTCTCGATGTTGCTCCGCGGCTTCAATAATCTTGGCCGTCAGCAAGTCGGCCATGTCCGTCACACTGTCTGTGGAGCCCCTTTCAGCTGGATCGACGCAGTGCTCCAACAAGGTTATGTGGGTCTTCTCGCGGGACATGTAGGCCAAAGCGATGCGGAATGCCAATGTATTGCTGGGTCTCGTTGAGGCACGGACAGTAAGGCAAGTGATTGAAGCTGATGGCGTGCTGTCAACAACACACATCAACAAAACTGGCTAATTCCATGAACTCCGGAAGTGAAACAAGAATCGCCTGGCAACCCTTCAATTTTGCTCAATGCAACTTTTTCAAAAGGGCGTCTCAGCATAAATTTGCCGCCAGATTCAAGAACAAGTCGGGTTTTTTCGTGGTTCATTCAGCCAACACCCGGACTCGGTTTGGGTCGTTCCCGACTCCTCAGATGCCCAGTGGCCACGGGACAAAAAGGGCATCCTTTTCGGTTGCTTGACTTAAAGACTTTAAAGGGGAACCCTTCCCTCCCAAAAAAAAGGCACAAAGGAAGCACCCCACTGGCCTCCATTTGCTTAAGTCCCCTGGGAAAAAAAACACAACACCATAGTGATAGATTCCCTTTAAAACCAACAGGGGACAATTACAAAATATATTCATTTCAGCAAATGGAAAACAAGGAAGCAACCCACCGGGTACCCAACAGGTACAAATACCACACATTTGAGAAGATTTCAACCACAAAGCGGGGCCATGGGGGCTGCTTGTTGGTTACTCCCACTGGGCAAGGCACCCCCACAAGGGGTCAAAAAAGCTGAACGAGGACAGAAAGGGCATTCTGTGTTGGTTGCTTACCCCTTAAAACTCCAAGCCCTGGGGAAGTTAACCTTTTACAGACATATAGCCCATGTTGCCCAAAAAGTTGAGAAAAGTTTGTGTTTTTAAGAGGTAAGGTTGACTTTGAAGGGGACCCCTTCCCCCCAGCACAAAATTGAAAGGAAAAAAATCGGGCCAAGGGGCGCTCGGTGGCCGCATCCTGAAGCTCCACCTGGATGGCGTTGCGGGCGTCCGCCAGGCGCTGAGTCAGCAAACCCACCGTCTGGCCCTGGCCGGGGCGGCGTGGCGGTGGCCGCAGGTTGGTTGGGGGGGGGGGGAGGGGTTGACCTTGGAAGGGGAGCAAAAAAATAAAGATGTAAGTATTCGTTTTTCAGCAGTTAAGTGTTTTTTTTTGTAAGCAGATAAGTGCTTAGATTTCACCCACTCAAGCACAATAAGCAACATGTAAGATGTTTCCCAACAACAACCATGGAGGGGTGTGCCACGGACACTTAGAGTACATGTGTTACAACCAAGAACCCAAAAAAAACAATACCCGAAATGAAGGAGGTTGCAAAATAGACCCTAAGTGTCCATCATACGGGGCAAGAAGGGGCGAGGAGATCCTTACAGAAGCTCATGAAAAGAAAATCCTGGAGGGGGGGGAGGGGGGAAATAGGACGGATTTTGGACCGAAGACTGAGGTGGGGGGTGAAATTGAATAGGGGGCCCTTTGTTGGGGATTCATGTCCAAACGCTTGTGGATTGGTTCCAACACTTAGATTTCATAGCGCATTATTTAAACCGGAAGGTGTTTATATCCACGCGGGGATGGTGCCATTCGATGGAGGAAGACATCTGATTAGCACAGCCTGTCCATGATGGTTTCTACCCTCCAACAGGGATCCAAAGAAAAACAATGGTGAATAGTGCCCTTTCTGTGGGGGTAGTTTGGGGGTAGTAGATTTGCTGAAACCATGGACAAAACTGCATCTGTTCCCAAAACCAGATTGGCGAAAAAGGGCTTGTCACTCGGCTTTTTGTGGGACCTCCCCAAACGATATTGTCAATTCCTCAGACCTTTTTCTTTTTGCTTTGCCCAACTGATACTGGGGTTTGGTGGGTAGCACGCCCCACCATTTCCAAACGTTCATTTGCTGAGTGTGCTCAATGTCATCCCCTGTTACCAAAAATGCTAATTCAATATTGACCGTTGCTCAAGTGTTCATGCTAAACAACACTCGACCAAAGGAAAACTCAGTCGACATTGCCCGGGAAGTTGATGTTTGAACTACTCCAACACAGGGGGGCATATCAACCATTTGAGGGTGTTCCATATCTCAACTCTGTGAAAACTCTTCTGGGTGCTAGGGCAAATGGAGAAAAACAAAACACAACATGTCCATCCCCTTCTGGCTTCCTTTGCTGAGTGTCAAATTTGGGGTTCAGGACATCAATTACCTTTTGTATCAATCATCTTTCGGTTCTGTTGGGCAAATGAACAAGTCCTGGGGTCATGATATTGTCTCCTTTTGGGGTTGACAAAGTCAGCTAGGGGTGCTTCCACTTCATGTGTCACTCAGGTGGCTGACAGGAAACCACAAGGATTGACCGAACTTGATACACACAGAGGCTCATGGATCTTTTAGTGGAACCGGCCCCTCCATTGGACACCCCGCTTCGGTGTTTGAGGGTCCCGAAACCTGGCTGTTTGAGGGCGAAACCCAAATGAATCGGCTTGGAGCCTTTGGGCATAGACCGCCCGTCTCGTGTTACATAAACTAGGTCCTCTAGAGAGGTTGGAATAAGTTGGTGCCAACTTCTTTCAGGACGTCTATTTTAGCAGGGGAACCCTCCCAACCAAAACAGGGGTTAAAAAGGGCACCTAGCTGGGGGACCTAGATACATAGAGCGCCCGTCTCGTGTCTTCCTGTCCTGCTCCTGGCAGCGATCCCCGAGCTCGCGCATCTCGCTGGTCAGCTCCGCCTCGCTAATCGGCGGATTGATTGCTGGATTTCCACCCGCTTTTTTGGATGGGGTGTAGAACCGCATGGCCCTGGGGTTGCAGAAAGCCATACAAGTATTTGTTCAGATTCTGTTTCATATTTCTTCTGCCCACTTCAATTTAGTCTTGAGACCCCAAATATGGGTCTGTCGCCAAAATCGAAGACCTTGTTTCAGGGTGATCTGAAGGGAAGGATCCCGGAACTAAATATCAGAATGGGGAAGGTATGGCTAAAGGTGGTTCAAAGTCAACCCTGAATCCGGCATGTCTTCTTTAAACTTGCTGGTTTGCAGGGAATGAGGGAATGACCCCGAGAAAAACCAGCTGTTACCGCTTCCTTTGAGGCAATCCTTCATCTCTTTTGTTTTATGGAAGGATTTGGTCCCTGGTTTCGGGCGAATACCCTCTAAGGCACTTGGAAGGAGCCGCGCCTCCGACGAATGGATGTCTCTCTTTTTGAGGGTACAAATCCGAAACAAAACACACACACACACAAATACCTATGTTTGACTCTTTGCAAACAAACATGTCTAGCGTATATGGGAACATGTATCTTTCTTTGGGAATCGGACCCCCCCCCAAGATGATCACGCAAAAGACAGACCCATACAAAATCAGTTCTTTATAACACATACTGAAGGTTTCTCCTGATGGTTTTCCTTAACCACAAAGCAGGGGTAGCCACTAAACACAAACCCATAATGTTGACCCAGGAATAATAAACCCGTCCCACTATCAGGGGGGTGTTGGTTCAAACAGTGATGAATCCCCACTAAAAGGGGACACCCCACTGTTGATCAACCAGGGGTTTATTAATCCTGGGTTAACCTTACCCTCTCCCAGACTAACTTGGAAGCTAAAAGTTTAACTTTGAGTGGGCTAAATGGAAACTACCACTAAACACTAAAAGGCTAATTAGAAAGCTAAGGAACCGGATGGGAGCCACCAAGAAACCCCATACAACATCTCTTCGCCCAGATTTCGGGCTGAAGTCTCCAGCGCCTGCAGCTCGTCGGCCTCCCGGCGCTCCACCAAAAGTTGACGTCTCAAGTCCTAAACCGAAGGCGATGTCCATCGACGGGATGCTGCGAGTCCCCTTCTGACAAAAAAAATGGTTGGTGACTCATGACCCAAACTTCACAGACCACCTGTAGTAGTAGTAGTAGTAGTAGTAGTAGTAGTAGTAGTAGTAGTAGTAGTAGTAGTAGTAGTAGTGGTAGTAGTAGTAGTAGTAGCAGTACTAGCAGTGGTAGTAGCAGCAGTAGCAGCAGTTGTAGTACTAGTAGTAGTAGTAGTAGTAGTAGTAGTAGTAGTAGTAGTAGTAGTAGTAGTAGTGGTAGTAGTAGTAGTAGCAGTACTAGCAGTAGTAGTAGCAGCAGTAACAGCAGTTGTAGTACTAGTAGTAGTAGTAGTAGTAGTAGTAGTAGTCGTAGTAGTGATAGTGGTAGTAATAGTAGCAGTACTAGCAGTAGTAGTGCAGCAGTTGTAGCAGCAGTTGTAGTAGTAGTAGTAGTAGTCGTAGTGGTGGTGGTAGTAGTAGTAGTAGTAGTAGTAGTAGTAGTAGTAGTGGTATAGTACTAGCAGTAGTAGCAGCAGTAGCAGCAGTTGTAGTACTAGTAGTAGTAGTAGTAGTAGTAGTAGTAGTAGTAGTAGTAGGCACCCGGCCATTAGTGCGACCAAGGTTTCGTTTCTCCAGAAAACCAAATGGTTGGGTCATGACAAGTTTTAAAGGGTCACGGAGACTCGTATATGGGAAAGCGGATTGGCCAGTCACGACACTTGCGGTCCACTGACATCCCACACACGCCATGTGGATAATTTATCCACATTTGGCCATGGGTCAAAAGCCCGTACCCCCAGTGAACATCCCAATCCCCACTAAAATAGACTAAATTGGGTGGTGCACAGCCATTTCCCCTCCAAATGGGTCAGTTAGGTGGTCAAGTATTACTTACATGGATTGGGTGGGAATGGTAACCAACCCCTAAAAAGTGACTAAAGTCCGACACGGTTGGCTGCGGCAGTGAGTGGCCTGGGACGGGGCTGCCGATTTGGCTTGCCTTCCAAAGCTGCAAAGAGGGCAGTTTAGCTCCAAACTTGGAGCACAGAGTGGGAATCAATTTAGGTTTCAAAGCTTTCAGTGGGAGTCGCCAAATGCTACAGAATCTCAAAATGGACTGAAGCACAAACACACATGAGCCCCAAAACCCAACACCCTGAAACGCCAAACCCTAAATGGGCAAAATGCCAAACCCTAACGCCCCAAACACGAAACATCCAATCTCTAGACACAAATGGTGTCAAGCTTTCTCAACACACTTGGCTCTGGGTTGGTCGGGATGTGGTTTCCACCCAAGAAACCCAGTAGAGAGGTTAGAAGAAGGGTACCCTTTTCTCTTCTCTAGTGTATTTTTCAGTAGTTTGGAACCCTCCCAACCAAACAAAAGAAACGGGTTAGCAGAGCGGGCACCAATTGCTGGACCTAGCAGAGAAGCTCCAAGCATTTCTCAGAGAGCTCCGAAAGCTCCGCCGGTTTTTCGGCAAGAACTCGCGCCCTTCTGGGCCCCCGGCGCCGCTTTACCACACTCAAGGTGATGGGTCGGACCATCGAACCGGCCCCAATAAATTTTCTTTCAAAGGGGTGAGCGCTGAAGGCTGGACCAACAAATGGACATGGGAATGTTCTCTTCCAATGGCTCTTTTTGGAGCAATGTAAAGCAAAAAGCATGACCCGGTCCTCAATTCCTGGAGGTCTGGGGAATCCAAACGGGCAACGGGCGACGCACGCCAAACGCCACGCAAAACCGTCCTCCTGCTCGCAGCGCAAACGCATGCGTTGGTTGGCGCCCGCCTGCCGATCTGGGGGAAACAGATCCTGGTTTGTGAAGCAGCCCTTTTGTTCCTTGAACTGAACTAGGCGGGTGGGGTGTTGTGGTCACCTAGCAGAAACGCTCCAACTTGGGTCTTAAAATCTGACTCCTTCTGGGGGTTAAGTATCAAAGTCAGTAACTGGGTTGTTTCCCTGGATAGCTTTAAACAGCCCAGAAAACTTGGAAAGTGGTAAAGAGTGCAAGGTTAAAACGGAGTGCACAAGATGCTTTTTAAAACTCACATGTTTTTTGGCTTTTAAAAATCTATATATATATATATATGTTTAGACAAAGACACCACACACGCTTGCTTGACACATCCAAGTCTCATTCTTGGTTGGCACAAGGTTGACACATACCAGTTTGCTTGTTGCTAACGCCGCACAAGGTTGACACATCATAAACAAACACTCAGCCCAGTGGATTTCCAGGCATCCTTCTTGTGGTTGGTTGCTTACCCCTTAAAACTCCAAGCAACCTGGGGAAGTTTTCATCTTTTACAGACATATAGCCCATGTTACCCCAAAAAGTTGGAAAGTTTTGTGTTTTTAAGAGGTAAGGTTGAGTTTAAAGGGAACCCTTCCCCAACACAAATGGTCGAAAAGAGGAAGCAACCCGGTTGCAACTGCGAACAGGACACCAGCCAGTCCTGCCAAGGTTTAAACCACAGATCCCCCCTACCATAAGGGGGAGGGGGATGGGGGGTCACCAATTCCAGCTCTCTTGTCTTCCCCTTACAAAGGAAATGGAACCATCAACGGAGACCTCCAGGGCTCCCCCAATCCCATATTTAACTTCCACTTGGATATGGCCCCAGGAAATAATAGAATTAGTTCCAGTAGTGTTGAGTTCCTTCTAAAAAAACCAACAAGGGAAAATCCAACATATTCATTTCAGCTAATCGGAGGATAATAGGTTAAGGGGGTGGTTTCAGCAAATGGAGGATAATAGGTGAAGGGGGTGGGGTTTAAACCACCGGGACCCGTCCGTTTCCAGCCATGGCCGGCCTTCACCGCGGCCGCCAGGGCGCCGTCATTCATCCACTGCGCGTTGCGCAGGCCCTCCACCTGTCCACGGGGTGTGGGTTAGAAACCGGTGTGGATTTGGCGCTCTTTGTGGACCTCACAGAGAACGTGTTCCCCCGTCCTTTTTGAGGAAGCTTTGGGGTGAATCCACAAAAGACACATCCAAACCGATAAAAAGCTGATGGCATCTGTTTCTTTGAGGGTACTCTTTTTTCGTGGATTTACAAGCAAAAACGCCATCATTTTCCGGAGGGTCCACTGAAAACGTGCTTTGAGAACATCCCGCCAAAATGGCTTCGGTCTCCTTATTGGCTTCCCTTTTAAAGCCAACCAACCAACCAACCAAAAAAGGGGTGCCCTCACCCATACAAACATCACCTAGGAAACTCCATGCAGGTTTACCAGCAGTCGCCTGAATTCTATCTCAGAACTCATGATGTTTGAAACGGCGGTGGCTCCCATTCTTCTGCCCCCACCCCTAGCCCCTAAATCCCAGACCCAGAAAACGCCCCTTATTTTTAAAACAAAACAACATCCTTGAAATGCAGTTGTGTGTGTGTGTCGAGGGTCTGGACACCCATCCGCGAGGCTTCTCCAGGGGACCATGCCTTCTCAATGCTTGGAACCGCTCTAAAGGGCGCTATACCCAGACATGATTTTACTTGATGATTGCTTTCCCCGCTGTCCCCCCCTCACACGAAGGCTCAACGCACTGAGTACTCTTTCTCTTTTGGCGCTGTTTCACAAGCAATCTGGGCCCCTGGGACTGGAAATGGAACCCTGTTGTTTTCCCTGTGGTAAAGAAACCAGCTAGGATCCCCAAGAAATCAAACAGGGGATGCGATCAGGCCGACGCAGAACCGGCTGGGGGGAGAACCTCCCGAAACAAAAAACAACTGAGAAGGCACGATACCCCGGGGAAAAACCGATGTGTGTTTTTACTGTAAGATACCTGGTTTTTGGCCATAGGCTTTTCCCAAGTGGACAGTGCCTTCTCAACTTCATTTTAAGTACAATAAAAGCAAAAATGAGCGAGCACGCAGAGGTTGGGGGAGCACGCAAACCCGGAGAAGGCCCGCAAAACCGGAGAAGCCCGCAAAATCCGGAGAAGTCCGGGAAAAAAAACTGAGTCTGTTTTGTTTGGCGATGTGTGACGTGCAAATCCGCATCCGCGGCTGCTGGTGATGCCTGTGCTGCTGCTGATGCTGGTGATGCCTTTGATGCTGGTGATGCCTCTGAACTGGTGATGACGAAAAGTATCCAGCCAGAGCCAAGGCTGACAAACAAACATGCCAGCCGGGGAGAAGGCACGCTTGTCTGGGGGAACCCGCAAAATCCAGAGGACGCGTGTCCAGACTTCCGAGTGTGTGTGTGTGTGTGTGTGTGTTTTGCTCTTTTGCTATAATCAAAGAGAAAACACTTTGTTCTTTTAATGTTTTTCTTGTTTTTCTTATTTTTCCCCACCAGCTGAAAGCTTTGGGGTCTCAGCCCAGATAGGGTCCGGGGTGGTCCGGGGCGGCCCTGAGGTAAGGTTCCACGAGGGTTCCACAAGGTTTCCACCAGAGTTCCACCAGGTTCTGCGAGGGCTGCGGGGTGGTCCGGGTGGTTTGAGGTAAGGTTCCACGAGGGTTCCACCAGGGTTCCACCACGAAAGCAGCGGGGTGGTCCGGGGAGGTTTGAGGCAAGGTTCCACGAGGGTTCCACCAAATTTCCACCAGGTTCTGCGAGGGCTGCGGGTTCCACCAAATTTCCACCAGGTTCTGCGAGGGCTGCGGGGTGGTCCGGGGTGGTTTGAGGTTCCACGAGGGTTCCACCAGGTTCCACCAGGTTCTGCAAGGGCTGCGGGGTGGTCCGGGCTGGTTTGAGGTAAGGTTCCCCCAGGCTTTCACCAGGTTCTGCGAGGGCTGCGGGATGGTCCGGGGTGGTTAATGTTCCACGAGGGTTCCACCAGGCTTCCACCAGGTTCTGCGAGGGCTGCGGGGTGGTCTGGGGTGGTTTGAGGCAAGGTTCCACGAGGGTTCCACCAGTGTTCCACCAGGGTCCACCAGGTTCTGCGAGGGTCCGGGGTTTGAGGTAAGGTTCCACGACACTTTGACCAGGGTTCCACCAGGTTCTGCCAGGGCTGCGGGGGGTCCGGGGTGGTTTGAGGTCAGGTTCCACCCACCATGGCTCCACCAAGTTCAACGTAAGGTTACACGAGGGTTCGCCCAGGTTCCACCAGGGTCTTACCAGGTTCTGCAAGGGTGGTTTGAGGTACTTCCGCCAGGGTTCCACCGAGGTAAGGTTCCACAAGGGTTCTCCACCAGGGTTCCACCAGAGTTCCACCAGGTTCTGCGAGGGCTGCGGGGTGGTCCGGGGTGGTTTGAGAAGGTTCCACAAAAGCTCCGCCAAAGCTCGACCAGTTCCACCATTGGTGCACCAGGTTCTGCAAGGGCTGCGGGGTGGTCGAGTTTCTGCGAGGGGTGTGGGATGGTCCGGGCGAGGTAAGGCTTCAAAGGGTTCCACAGAGTTCCGCGAGGATTCCACAAGGGTTCCACAAGGCTCCAAAAGGTTCCACAAAGGTTCCGCAAGGTTCCATGGTTTGCCCTGAAGAAAAACAATGTGTCGTGCGCCCGTCGTCTGCTCAGAAGATCGTTTTGCTCATGGGCGGAACACTAAGCAAAACCGAAGTTCATGGTTCTCAGCACACTTTCAATGTGTTGTGACTTGCTCACTTCTTCAGGCAATGCGGCCCGAAATGTTGGCTTTGTTGCAAATCAGATCACGTTGCTGCGGGACTCTCACTGTGCAGCAAAGTAAATGCTTGGCATTACTGAGTATTACTTGCCCTGACAATCCAATGTATGCATATATCGCCTACATTGGCCGACGCCAGCGTTTTTCAACTACATTGACCGATAAACCTGAATGTAGCCAATTTTTGGGGACATTCAAACCGACAACTTCCGACAAGGGTTCCGACAAGCCTTCCGACAACAAGCTCGCCTCAATTTCGACGACTCTATCCGACGACGCCCTCCAACCACCCTTTTCCAACGCCTTTCCGACAGCTAACTTAACTCACAATGCAGGAAAATACAAAGGCGCGCCGTAAATTGATGTACGGACAAAACTTAAACTGCGAATGACTCGCAACAGCTACAGGGCACAAACAGGGCACAAAATGACTCGAGCCAACCCCGGCTATCATTGTCAGTAAATGTTGGTTGCCTGGCATGCAAAAGAAGGAATCCACTAGCATAGTGTAGCAGATCCCGCTGAGGGCTTCCGATTGTAACGTTAACCTTTTTGATGGGCTGGCTTGCTTGACGAAACAGTGTGACGACGAAGCACGTGTGCGATAGTTCAAACTTTTCAGGCCACGCCATGAAGCACATTTCCAGCGCAGGATCACACTAAGGCAACGCCGGTTAGCAAAGATCACTCAACAAACATAATTATTGCGCATGGAGGACAACAACTCCATGCAAAACACCTCGCAGCAGGAGATCCCGCCAGTCACTCTCAACAAAACCTATCCAAACGCTCATGGGGGTTGATGCCCCCCAAACTAACGATGAAGCAGAATGATGTTACATCGTTGTTGTCCACAGGAACACAATTTCGTCAACTTGCCCGTGTGTAGCTTAAATGCGTGTTGCTTCTTGATTGCTTGCAAGCTGCAACCTCTGCCTTTGCGAGCTTAGGTGCTATTATGTTTGATGCGTGCCTACGCAGGGGCGATGGGTCATCATGACAAGCTTGTTCGCGGGCTATAAACCGTCAACCGAAGGTAAGGGGTCTAATTTCCAACGATCACATCTCCAACCAAATACTTGCTTAACACCATGCCGCAACCCAGTCCAGAGCGCTGGCCCAACTTAAAAAGCTCTGGTTGTTCAAAGCAGGTGTTTCATTTCTTTCCAGGAGGCTCACTTTAAACGCATGCTAGCCTGCTAGCAGTTCCCAATCACCATTCGAGCGGCAACTGCTTGCCAAGCGAAATTTCAGTGGTCAGATAGTGATTAAGGCTCTAAGCCTGCCATGCCCCCATGCCGCAATGCAAAATTCACAGACTTAACAAAAAACAAACTGCTGTACTTAACAAACGTGGATGTCAAACGAGATGTGCTGGGAAGGGCTCAAGCGGCGGTCTTGAGGAGAATGATTGAGACTGGACGCACATGACGCAGTCCAAGCCCCATATGTTGCTTTGCAAGGACTCAGTTTTTTGATGAAACCCAACTATAAAGGACACACGTAACATGTTTGTCTATTGCTCTCCTTGATTAAACATGTCCTTGTCAGCTTTTCTGCGAATGTTTTGGGCTCAGTGCTTTGCCCTCATTGGGCATACGCGCTAGTAAGCCATTTGTTTGACAAGCGTTTCTCCGCTGTTTCTAGGCCAGCTTGCCAGCTGACGCCAACAATCAAGCCACATCACTTCCAACTCACGGCGCCAACAAAAATCGAGCCTCGTCCGACGTGTCATCGCGCGAAATCACGCGTTGCTTCTCGTAAAACGCGTGGACAACACACGAACACAGTCCGGCAAAATTCACGCTATTTCACGCTATTTCACGGTTTTCCGTTAACGTAAGCAAAAATAAGAAGACAATCCGACAACTTTTCACGCCAAATCACGCCAAATCACGGTTTTTCGTTTGCACAAGCAAAAGAACAGGAACACAATCCGAAGTCATGCAAAAACAAACGAAATTTGTTGGGTCGTTTGCTCCAAATCGCTAAGAACATGGTAGGGACATACTTTGGTCAGCCAGGGGGAATAAACGGACCTTTGCTGAACTGCTTTTGGGGAGCCACATAGCAAAAATAGGTACTTGTTGGGCCTTTAGTAGACGTTCGAACTTCATTGAAGAGTCCTTTGCTGACAGGGAAGTTCATTCTTGCGCGGCAAGATTGAATGGGCAAGACTGAGCTTTTTGCATGGTTGATGCGAGCCCAGAGCTGATGCGAGTAGACAATCCGGATGCTGAGTCTCCAGCATGCCAATCAATACTCAAGAGCTCTGAAGACATGCATGCTAAGCTTGGTGGCTCCTTATCCGAGTTTACATAGCACTTAGTATTGGCAACCTAATAATTGACATACATGTCGCGCGTGCAGCATCATATATCCCATGCTCAAGCGGCAAAACGCCAGGTCTGCCCAATCGCAATGCAGTTATTGTAAACCGACAAATAAGAACACTGCTTTATGTTCTGAGCTTAGATATTCATTATGTTGAGCTGCATGTGTACCTAAAGTCTTGCACATGTGTATACACAATAAGTTTGCACATACATAAGATATGCGTGTCTATGTTTTGTTTAGCGGAATTAAAAACAACGCTTTTTGGTAAAATAAAACTGGAGTTTCTTGTTGGTATGCTTGGACATCTTGCTGCGTAGATTGAGCACACTTGAATGGCCAACAGTTACTGGGCGGCAGTTGGGAGTCGACTCGGTAGGCCAATTTGGTTCGGCGCTCCTCATATCTCAAACATTCGGCACAGCCAGAAAAACGTCCATACTTGCAATTGCGTGTAGGCTGTAGTGTTGTAACATAAATCCCTTACAGTTGATAGATGGCTGTGCTTTCCAATGCGGCTCAAGGTCGGCAAGTCCGTTCGTTTGGCTCAGAGCATGTTGAATTTGTAGGGTTTTCATTTCAAATACGCATAACCCGAGATCAAAGCACGTTTACATGAGCACAATAGAGCTCGAGGGTGGCTTTGCGTTGCACGTCCGACCCCATGTTGGTTGGCAGCGATAGTGCCAGTGGTCGAACAGTTTGCGTACTCAATACTTAGAGCGGCTTTCTCAGAAGAGTGCACCAACGCTGCACACACACACACAGTCCCATAAGAACTGCCCATATGCACGAACAGAATCAATCTCGCAATTGTGGATTTCGTAGCCTGCTCATCCGGAAAACAACACTTGCAAGAGTCTGATGGCAAGCTCTCAACCATCGCTAGCCACACACATCATCAAATGTCCATGTCAATAACGTGGTGTTTACACTTGCTGAAGCAAGTGCAAACTAATGAAAGTGAAGTTGCTACACAACAGTGCTTTGGCAAATAGAGCAAGTTAGCAAGCAGGATCATTGGGCCCCTGAAAAACAAGTATGCTCAATAAACTCCGTCACACTCGGGTTCAAATTTGACTATCGGACACGAGCTTCGTCAAATCTCCTCAATTTTCAGGCAATATTTCGACATTCGACGGGGATTCGGCGAATGTATCATTTTTTGGCTATATTTCGACAATCCGACAGGGATCCGACGAATGTTGTCGTTTTTTGCTACATTGCCAATGTACCCCCAAAATGGCTACATTGCAATGTACGCCATATTTGCCTACATGGATTCTCAGGGTTGGGCTTTGGGTTGCAAAAACGCTCCACGAGGTTTCCACCAGGTTCTGCAAAAGCTATGGGGCAGCCCTGAGGAAAGGCTCCAAGAAAGTTTCACGCTGAGTTCCACGAGGGTTCAACGAGGACGGTTTGCGAGGTTCACCGGGCACAGGTCGGGCAGGGCGCCGTCGGGGCCCGATTGCGCCGTCGGAGCCCGATCGGGGCCGGACTCAGTCGGGCCGCGTCAACTGTGGCCTAGTTTCATGGATACAAAAAACCGGCGTTGAGCTATAATATGTGGCTGGGGTTGGTGGGAGCCCGCTTGCACCACGGGACCATCGCGCCCCCGGTCAGGGCCCGATTGCGCCGTCGGGCCCCGATCGGGCCCCGATTGCGCCGTCGGGCCCCGATCGGGCCCCGATTGCGCCGTCGGGCCCCGATCGGGCCCCGATTGCGCCGTCGGGCCCCGATCAGGGCGCGATTGCGCTGTCACTCTTAGCTTTGCTTTACAAAGTTACAACGCGGCATCCTCAGCAAAACCGGTCGCGGGGCGTTCCGCGAGGATTCTGGGAGGGTGTGGTGCTGTTGGGGATATCGCCTGAGCTTATTTTTCTTATAAAACCAAATCAACAACTTGTTGGATCTTTTTGTGGGGCTTTGCCCCACCCCCCCCCAAACTCCGAAAAGTCGACTCTCGGGGCCCCGGCCATGGCATCCACTCGCCGCTCCGGAGCTCGCGCCTCGGCTCTCCAGGCGCCCCCCGGGGGGGGGAAAGCTTCGGCTTCCCCAGGTGCATCGGAGCTTTGGATGGTTTGGAGTTTGCAGGTGCTGAGGTTTGTCTGGTTTGGATGGTTTGTCTGGTTTGGATGGTTTGGATGGTTTGTCTGGTTTGGATGGTTTGTGTGGTTTGGATGGCTTGTCTGGTTTGGATGGTTTGTCTGGTTTGGATGGTTTGGATGGTTTGGATGGTTTGTCTGGTTTGGATGGTTTGTCTGGTTTGGATGGTTTGTCTGGTTTGGATGGTTGTCTGGTTTGTCTGGTTTGGATGGTTTGGATGGTTTGTCTGGTTTGGATGGTTTGTCTGGTTTGGATGGTTTGTCTGGTTTGGATGGTTTGTCTGGTTTGGATGGTTTGTCTGGTTTGGATGGTTTGTCTGGTTTGGATGGTTTGTGATGGTTTGGATGGTTTGTCTGGTTTGGATGGTTTGTCTGGTTTGGATGGTTTGTCTGGTTTGGATGGTTTGTCTGGTTTGGATGGTTTGTCTGGTTTGGATGGTTTGTCTGGTTTGGATGGTTTGTCTGGTTTGGATGGTTTTTGGATGGTTTGTCTGGTTTGGATGGTTTGTCTGGTTTGGATGGTTTGGGTTTGGATGGTTTGTCTGGTTTGTCTGGTTTGGATGGTTTGTCTGGTTTGGATGGTTTGTCTGGTTTGGATGGTTTGTCTGGTTTGGATGGTTTGTCTGGTTTGGATGGTTTGTCTGGTTTGGATGGTTTGTCTGGTTTGGATGGTTTGGATGGTTTGTCTGGTTTGGATGGTTTGTCTGGTTTGGATGGTTTGGATGGTTTGTCTGGTTTGGATGGTTTGTCTGGTTTGGATGGTTTGTCTGGTTTGGATGGTTTGTGTGGTTTGTCTGGTTTGGATGGTTTGGATGGTTTGTCTGGTTTGGATGGTTTGTCTGGTTTGGATGGTTTGTCTGGTTTGGATGGTTTGGATGGTTTGGATGGTTTGTCTGGTTTGGATGGTTTGTCTGGTTTGGATGGTTTGTCTGGTTTGGATGGTTTGGATGGTTTGTGTGGTTTGGATGGTTTGGATGGTTTGGATGGTTTGTCTGGTTTGGATGGTTTGTCTGGTTTGGATGGTTTGTCTGGTTTGGATGATTTGGATGGTTTGGAGTTTGGAGGTTTGGATGATTTGGATGGTTTGAAATGGTTTGGAACGCAAGCCTCTCAGTGTGTTTTTTTCAGTGGATCCCGGTTGCACAAGCCACTGTAGTAACCCTTCGAGCCAATTTCCTTTTGGTGTCTTATATGGGGCAGTTCCAACTTGGTTACCTATAGTGGGGCACGGAATCAGTGGGGTTGTTTGGCTTGGTTTGGGTGCGGTTTGGATGGTTTTGCATTCCCAAAACCACCAATCCAACACACCAACTGGGGGGCAACCTGCAACATGGCATGGTATCCTCAAAAAGACACATCCACATATGGGAAAACACCCCTTTTAAGAGGTGTGTTGCCTCTTGATACTAGTCAGTGGTCGTTGTTGGCTTTCAAGGAAACCAACAGTGATGCCAACAGGTTGTTGTGGTCTGCCCTTGGCTTTAAGGGAAACCAGCACCAACACAACCCGCTTCCTGCAACATGAGTGGCTTCCCGTTAAAGTTGTCTAGGTCCTCCAGTGGAGAGGTTAGAATAAGAGTACCCTTTTTCCGTAGTCGATTTTAGTAGGGGAACCCTCCGTACCAAAAAAGAAACGGTAAAAGGGCACTACTGGGCGTGCTGGTCGGGTGAAGTGCAAGCGCACGTCCCAGGAAGATCGCCCACAGGGGAGCGGAGGTCTCCAGAAGTGCCGAACTCAGTGCGAACCGATGGGTTCCGTCGCCAGACGCCGGCTTACGCGATGCGCTGACTGGCAAACACAGACAGCATGGGTGTGTGTGTGTGTCTGTGTGTTCCATATATATATATATAATACACCACCTTTGGCTTGATGCTTTGTTTCTGGCGCTTATGGGTGGTTCCCCCCTTACCTTCTCGAAAGGGTCATTGGATGTGACACTTCTTTTCTGCGTGCTTAATAGCCTGTATGTGTTCATGTTCCCCAAAGGAAACCACAAAGGGATTGGTATCTGTACGCTTCTCTCCAGACCCTCTTTTTCCACCTGCTAGCTGGGGAAATGTCCCACCAGGTTCCAACCAAAGACTCACGGAAATCCCCTTCCTTCATTTGCTTTAGTTCCCGTGGACAAACATATTTCAAGAAGTGAGGCCAATTTCCTTTTAAACCAACCAGGGAAAAATCAACAAACATTATTTTCAGCAAAACAACAAATGAAGGGTTTTCTTGATGGTGCGTTCCTCAACCACAAAAGGGGTACCCACTAAAGACAGACTCAAATAAAATCCATTTGGGGGTTGGTTGACCATGGCTAACTTGTCCCATTGAGTGTTTTTTCTTAAATGATTTCCAGTAGTGATAAATTCCCTTAGAAGCCAACGGGGGACACACATTTGGCCATGGGGCTTAACCTATGGCTCCATTTTGAGGTGGATGAACATCCATTTGCCACCTATTTTGATGTTCACCAGGGGTACAGGGTTTTGACCCACAGCCATTTAATATTCAGTTCAGCAAACGCTTCTTAGGGCCAAATGAGCAGAAATGGCTGAAGGACAAGGGGTCAAATGTTCAGCAAATGGAAGCTTTGCTAGGTGCTCCAGATTTGAGAGGTTAGAATAAGGGTACCTTTTTTCCTGAAGCCCATTTTAGTAGGGGAACCCCAAACCAACCCAAAAAAGGGGCAAGAAAGGGCACCTAGCTGGGGGATTTAGGGAAGAAGCTGTGGATCCCCGGTTTCAGGGCAGCCAGGAACCGCGCGCGCTCTGGGCTTCAAACCTACCCATCCCCAGGCTCCCCCACTGCGCCCAGGCCCTGGCCCGCACCCTCCTTGAGTTGCTTTCCACTTCGTGCCAGGGGGGAGGGGGGAGGAAAGCGGGGGTTGTGTTGATTGCCCTTGCCAAGGCATATGTATGTATTGCCCTCGCGTATACATATATATATATATATACAATGGAATATGTATGTACTTATGTATAAACATTTGACATGTATATACTATAAATATATATATATATATATATCTACTGCATATGTGTGGATATACTATATGCAAAAAACATTCAATTACCCTCCCTTCGTTGCCATGGCAGATCTTACAGGGAATTGGTTTCCAGAGGAAGCTGATCTTCCAGGTACGCCCCAATGGCAACGTGGGAGGAGGGGCATCTACTTATTTACCAGATGGATGTTTCCAGAAGTAGAAACCCGGGTCCCATAGGTTGCGCTTAAATCAAGGCAGGCCAAAAAGAGGACGTCGACCCAGGTGGGGTGTTCCCTGCAACCCGCGGTGGTCGGTTTTACATGGACATCACAAGGACATCCGAACCCATGTTGGGGGGGGTCCCCTTAAAAAAGACAGACCCTCAGCATCTAGGTACAAAAAAAAGGCCAAATTGTAGGGCCCAAACCTTTCCCAAGGAAGATGCCGACCTCTCCAATGGAGGGTTCCATGTTGCTTAGGGTATGAATGCGTAATTTTTCTACCAGGACCCTATCTTAATCACCCCAATCGTATCCTAGGCTCGGGCCTGGTTCTTACCCCCAACTGCGCACAGACACCGCACATTGCGGTTGGTGAGCGGGAGAACGGAGAACGCGACCCGTTTTCAGGTGTGGAATTAGCGATTCCTGTGATACCACCGAAGTACGGCCTTTCCGACGGCACATTTGTCACTTTGATTGGGGGGTAGTTCACTCATCTGTGGATGGCCGAAATCCATTTCGCATCACCTAAGAAGCTTTGGAATGATGATGCCCCTTGTAAATACCAACAAACAATGGTTTTCCACGGTTCCAAAGTGGTGCAGGATTTCGTCCATCCACAGTATCACAGAAGTGGCTGAATCAAACTGCCTCGCGCAGACCGTTCAAGGTCCAACCAAGAAGCGGCCAAGCTCACAGGAGGCTTGCCCTGCGCTTCTGTTTTGCTATAAAAGGACCATTGAACCTAGCAACCTTCGGTTTTGTGTCGCTTCTCCATCAGTACCACTTCTCATTGGAGGCCCTTCCCCCACTTGCTGACTTTCATAAACAAGCGGCTTCTCGCTATGTGCTTCAAGGTATGGGTCAAACTAGGGGGACCCTGCAAAAATGATGTCCGGTTTCCCTTTAACCACCCACCCCAAAAAGGGTACCCCTTCACCTCCAAAGCGAGCCCAAGCCACCCGAAAACCACCGAAGCTGACTCGACTCCTGGGCTTGGAGTCGCAGGCTGAACCTCGCCTGCGAGCCAGCGAGTGTGGGTACCAAGGACACCAAGGGCCAGCACCCGATTTGGCGACCTCTGCAGCTGATGGTTGGGACAACCGAACCAATTTGGACCACCAGGGGAATCTCTTTCGAAACCCATTTACATGGCAATTTGTCAAAATCCCAATCGTACCCTCAGTGAACATCCCAATCCAACCACTAAAATAGGCTTTAAAATGGGTGGTGAATTCACCTACTCCAAAATGGTACTATTGGATTTGACCCACAGCCATTCTTTCTGCACAGGGATCCCAACCACGGCGTTTTGGAGAGCCAAACATGTCTCCATCGTATCCTAACTCAACATACTGCTCAACAACCAGTTGGAAACTCAATGAAACACTCTTACACACAAAACAAACAACCGCGACCATGTCCCCGCATGGTTGGTTTGTTTGGACATGTTTTAATGTGACCCCCGACCCCTCAAGAGTGCCGCCAGTCATTCGGACCCTTTTAGTGGAACAGGGGAGGGGGTGTCTGGGTTGGGTTGGGGGGTCTACGGGTTCGGACAGCATACTTCTATTTAGTATTACCTGCGTTCGTTCCAATGGTTTTTTTGGGGTGACAAACGACTTTCTAAGCCGACTCGTCAGTGCGGAGCGCGTCTACCAAAGGCGGCACAAATGGCTGTGGGTCAAAATAGGTACCCAAATGGCAAGGAACCAAGGACTAAAACCTGTGGTCCCTGCTGGTTTAACTTTGACCCATACCCAAAACGATGCCTTGACAAAGTCGTAGTCGGAGAGCGCTGTCTGAGATGCTGATGGGAGGACCTCGCGATGGGTCTGTGTCTTGGGACTCACACAGGGGTTGTCTCAAAAAACTTGCTGGTGCTCAGTAAGGCGTGACCCAGGGTTTGGGAATGAACCTAGGGAATCCCTTCAACAAAACATACACAAAAATGGTTTGTAGGGCTCATTCCCGCATTCCCTGCTGAGCACCAGCAAGAAAAATAACCCCAAAAATGTGGGCTGACCTTTTGGTTTCCCTTGAAAACCACCCAAAAGGGGACCCTCAAAAGACACACCCACATTGACATGTCAAAAGGGGTGTTTTCCCAATCTTCGGCCAAGACTCCGCCAAGACTTCGCATGGCTTGGTGATTTTGAGACTTCCCGGATATGACCACATACCATGAACCCAGTAAAAGGGTGCTGCCAATATGAGGTGATACTGTGGATGATTGCGAAATCCTCTTAGGCACCACTTTGAAACTATGGTTGAAACCATAGCGTTCATTGCTATTTACAGGGAAATCATAATTCCAGGGTTTCTTAGGTGGTGCAGGAGTTCGTCCATCCTCAGTAGCCCCTGAAGACGTCGACACTGTGAGGGATACAGCAACAAGATCATGTTAGGGATACCAAGTCGAATATGTAGAAGCCAGTTCAAATCCGATCCATCGTCAGTTCAATCGTGCCTCTTGCTCACATGACTTAGCAACAGCCCTCTCACCCCATTTACTGCTAAACTTAGCAAAGAAAAGGGATATGAGCAGCCCAAACCCATTGACTTGTGGTTCTACTAAGATGGCCATAAAGGCTAGGCGTTACCCCCCTGAAACCAGATAGTAGGAGCACCTACGGCCAATGGGGATTTGGGCGCTGGCTCACATCTTCGACTAAGTTTCTCTGATGCCAGGGTACATTGTCCAACAAAAAAGGCCGGGGTAGAGACCAAAACAAGGCTGCGCTTGCCAGAGCGCAGGAGATATGCGCAAAAAAAGATCTAGTGTGTAGAGGTTCAGGGCTCGCCAAAATAGATGTTGGCTTCCTTTTGGGGTTCCTTTAAAGCCACAAACAAGGGGCACCCTGCAAGAAGACGCGCCCGCATTTTTGGGCCTCAACCCGTGCTTTCAACGCGCAACGCGAAAAAAGGAGTGCGCTGGGACCCTTACCTCGGCGTGCACGGCCACCTCGCGGTTGGTGGCCATGTGGTCAACCAAAAGGCCGTCCGGGGAAGTAGGTCCCACCTAAGCCGCGCGACGCGCGATGGCATAAGAAGTGAAATCACTGGCGGCGGCGATCAACCCCCCAACCACCATCTTCAGGATAAAGTCGAGGAACTGTGAATGTCCTAGGTGAATTCGGGATCTGGACATAACAATACTCATCCTCTCGATCTACGTTTCCTGTTCAAAAGTATAGAGGTACCAAGGGACCCGAAAAAGGGTCAGAGGTTCCTTACATTTAGACTGTCATTTCCTAATATTTCGTCTACCCTGACTTTGGAGGAGACAGACCGGCCATGGGTGGCCCTGGTACTACTTATTTGGGTATGTGTCATGGAAGAACCGCCACCATGGATTTCAGTTCTGCTCTTGGTTTCCCGTTAAACCACTTCAAAAAGGGTACCCTCAAAAACACGACCTATGTTGGGCATCCAGCTTGTTCGACCAAGCTGTTTCTCTGTGAGCAAATTTCATCCTTCCCTAGGCCAGACGGTATTGGTTTGTATCGTCCTTTGGCGTTTCCCCTTTGTATCGTCCTTCCTTTGGTGTTCCCCCTTTTGTTTTTTCTTTTCTCCTATTTTATTTCCCTTGTGTTGTGTTGTGTTGTGTGCTGAAATGGGTCCCCTAAAACACCCCGGTGGTCAAGCCTCCCCTCCGCACCTGCCGCTGCTGGTAGGCCATCTTCCACCCGTGGCTCCGCAACACCTGGGAACAGCTTGCTACCAGACGGTTTCCTCGGGTTCTCGAAACGATTCCCCGGAGCGCAGCAAGCTTGGAGTCTTCTGGCCCTTAAAAACTGGAGTCCTCTGGTTGCTCACTAAAGTAAAGCTTGGTTTGTTCCCTGGCGATCGGCCGAACCAATGGCCAAGAGCCTTGGGCTCGAGAGGTTCGAGAGAGATCCCCGACGGAGGCCATCTCCAAAAGCCCCACATGGGTGGCGAAAGGCGTGCCAAACTCTCGGTGGCGAAATCTGCGAAGCCCTGCTAACAGTCACTAACTTTTAGTGTTTCAATCCGGAAAACCCATGAGTTGGCAAAAAGCTAGAGTCCTAACATCCAAGCAAAATGAATCTGCCTTTTTTTGTGGATGGTTTCCCTTCAGATTGACACACTCAAACCAAAGTCGTCGCGTAACGCGCTTTAGGCCTGCCGGAAAGGGTCGCATCTTGGGGTTCGAGGGTTCGACCTCCTTGTACCTGTGTAGTACGTAGGTTACCCTGGAACCACCCTTTGACAACCAAAAGGAGAATGGCTGGTTACCTACGGTGCTGGTAACTGGAATCTGCTGGGACAGGCTTGGTGATTGATAAGCACCCAATCTTCGCATAAAATCAACCCTGGGCCCTACGAAAGCCGTGCATGATGAAAGCTTCAATCAACCGAAGAGATGTCTTCCAAACCAGCCCAAGGTGGTTCGAACTGGGGCCAAGCTGCAAGCACTGGATACTAAGCTAACGTGCCTCTACTTGGAGCACAGAAAACAAAACTGAGTTTACAATGAATCCGGAGCTTTGCCCAGACATTCTCCTGGCCTTGAAGAGATTTGGTGGTGTCGTGGGTAGCTTCCGGAAGCCGCTTGGTGCTCGGAATTCACATCCCGAGATGCCGATCCAAACCATCAATCAGGCCGGAAGTTGCTTCTGGATTGTCTTTTCCAGGGATAAAGCTTTTCTTGCTGGATGATGATGTAGGTGCATCCCAAGACAACCTGCAATTGTTGGTCGAGTTGCAGTCCGAGGCCCTCAAACAAGACTTGTTTGTTTTTGGCTCGTTGACGTTGCAGTTCACACGATGCCCTACACCAAACCAAAATCAACACAACACATGTGTTTGCTTTGTACAAGGTTGCGACGCTTGGCTCCTCCCTCCCCCCAACCACCCCCCCCCGAAACCAGCCCCCAAAACCAGCCCCAGGCCTGAAAGGGAGAGCCCAGGTATGCCTGGAAGCGCCGGCGCAGCTCCTCTACGGAAAGCCCCAAGTCGGAGGCATCCAAGGGCACCTCGAATCGGCGAAACGGAAAAGCGACGTCGGCGCAGCGTACCCAAAGAGTCCATGGCAAGCCCAGTAACCAGGGGACCAGCCGAAATTAATCAAAATGGTAATTGGGATCCACCTACTATACTACTATAACTGAGATGACCTACTATACCAATGGCAACTTAGCCAAAAGATACCTACTAATTATACTAGTAACTGGGATCCACCGGGCAAGCAATCCACGACAACACTGTGGATGGACGAGATCCATTTCGCACCACGAAATTAAACCGTGGCTGAAACCGTTGTTTCTTGGAAAATCATCAAACACCAGGGCTTCTTAGGTGGCGCTGGATTTGGTCCATATTTGCCCACAACCATGGGTGTGTTGAAACGAAGTAGGTGGATTCCACGTGGAGAAGATTAGAACCTCTCCTTTCGAAGGTACTTGAATACATGGATTCGCTGGCAAATGAAAGTGGAACTCAACTGAAACTAGTGGAATCGACACCAATGTTCAAACCTAACCTCGGGACACAAATATGCTATAGCACCAACCCGGCAAGAGATGTTTTTTCAATATAGGCAATGGCCATTAAACTGGAAGGCAGTCAATTGGATCAGTTGGGTGTGGCTCAAAACTAATCCGGAGGGGTTACGCAGGTTTTGGTCCATGTTTCCACTTACCAGAGTTCCATTTTGGTACCGGTATTTTAAGCCATATCCATTTGCCATGGTAACACCCATTCTCGGTTCCATGAACTTGGATGTACCGTCAGGTAGGTAACAAACTTTTCCGGTCAGGTGAGGTTTCCTGCAAAACCAGGGGAGCCACAATCAAAACCCGGGTAGATGAAGCTTAGTAAGGGACGATCCCAACCATAAATAGCTGCGGCCGCCTTCTTAATCCTGTACATGGTTCTGGGTAGGCCACTTTAGTACCAGGTCTTGATTGCGACTCAGGGACGCTCTGGAACGGTCCATGCTGAAGTGTAAGTGAGCCCAAACAGGAATTCTTACGATGGTTGTCTCATATCCCGCTTGAGGGGTTGCTGACCCTCCCAAAGACCAAAGGGTTACGGACGGGTTAATCAGTCTTGCAAGGGTGAAAAAAGGCACACCAGGCCTGCCACTGTTGGCGGAGGGTCTTTGGTGGCGGGGGGCAGGGTTGACGCGGTAGTGTCCTTGATGTACACGAGTGTGCCCTAAACGTGCATACCCTCTTCAAGAACTTACTTCTTGACCCTCATATTGGGTAAGGCCTACACACCGACCGTACATGTTGCTAGCCTGGTTGATGGGCTTCGGAGTTGTATAAATGGTTGACACACCCGACACACCCGTCGGCTTTTGAACCTAGGGAAACCACCGGAACCGTCTTTCTGAGATACGACCGGCCCCTTTGTGGGCGAAGCCAACAGAAAACTGCCCGATTTCCCTTTGAACACATCAACCCCGTGGGCCCCACCCTTAGCTCTCCCGGAAGATTGGCATGGCACCCTTGGCTCGCTTTAAGGGCCAGGCACACCCGTCAAACGAACCACTCACTTGCTGAGTGGATGGCCCCAAAAAAGTAACCAAACTTTATATTTACCACTGAAATGGTCTTCCCAAAAGTTTAAAGCTCATGAACTCAGGAAGTGAGACCAAAATAAGCCTAGGTGACATCCCCGACGGCACGGAACTCTCCCTGAAGGCTGCCCCACACCAATTCAGAGAGAAAATATGGGCAAAGACCCCATAGCTTTCAGCCATGTAGCTTCAACAATTTGACTGGTAATATACGTTACAGTTCACCCCTGCCATGCAGTCCCCCAACATGGTGCATTTCACCCAAAATTGACCCATTTTGGTGGTATCTCGTTCTTCCAGGGTGCCCGTTTTTTCTTGCTGGTGCTCAGTGGGGAATGTGGAATGAACCGGAAGGGGATTCCCGAATAAAGGAAACCACCAGTTGGATGGTGTATCTCGGGGTGAGACTCTATTTCTCATGCCCTGCCTGTCGCACCAGCAAGTTTTTTGTGAGGTAAAACCAAAAAAAAACATATTCCTTCAGGTCTCCGGGCTTGCGGCCCCGCATCCTGACGGATGCCAAAGTCTGGGGCATGGAATCCCAATGTTTGCGTTGAAGCTTAGATCAAACAAACAAAACATTCTAGCAAGCAAAGCAGGCAGGCAGGCAGGCAGGCAAGCGAGCAAGCGAGCAAGCAAGCAAGCAATCCAGGAAATGCTGCTCTCCGTGTCTGTGGGACAAGCACATGAGGATGGTGTTGGCGTGACAACTGCCAGCGGAAGTTTCAGTTTCGCCTGGTTGCCTGAATGGAAAATATAATTGTTCCGTTTTAGCAAGAACCCATATATGGATGTGTTTTGATTGTTTCGGTCAACCGCCGCTTTTGGGTGGATTAGAAAGGCACCCCCAAAGAATAACTATGTACCCAATTTTGGGGTTCCATGTCCTGTTTGAGACAAACCCATGCGTGGCAATGAGTGTTTATGATGAGTGTTTGGTTGCTTTAAATGCCCAGTAGCCCTCTGGACACAAGAATCTACCAACATGCCTTTTGCGCACTCCCCGGACCCGCCAAGGGTTGGCGTCTTCATCATAGGGGTGGGGTAATCCAAAGGAATTCTTCGGTATGGCATCCGAAAAGACTTCTTGTCATGGCTTGTCTACCTTCCCCTTTTCAGATATCTAGCCATGGCCCGTGTAAACCTGATCTCACTGCCTGAGCGGGAGCAAAACAAGAACTCCCCCCCCCGAAAGCAAAAGCAAGCCAAGGAACTCAGGGAGTGAGTTGGACCGCTGTTGGTTGGGATTAGGTGGAACCAACCATAGGTGAAACCAACCATAGGTGAAACCAACCCTAGGTGAAACCAACCATAGGTAAAACGCATCCTTGGGAGTGAAGGATTTAACGGGGCGAACGCAGCCATTCGCGAGGAGCCTTCGGATGCACTCCCAAACTCCCCGCGAGGATGCCGATGTCTTCCTCCCCAACCTGACGCGAGAAGGGGCGACTGACCCTACTGTGGATGGTTGCGATATCCTCTTAGGCACCACCGTTCAGAACCCCGGTTTCTTCCCGTAAATACCCACAAACAATGGTTTGATTCCATGGAAACCAGGTCGTGCTGCGAAATGGGATTTCGCAACCATGCACAGTGTCATTTGAGGTCTTTTGGGGTCATGGCTTTCAAAAAAGTTAGGCCTTGGGTAGGTGTTCTGCCCCAGAAATTCCACTGAGCCCTTGAGCCGCGGAACTCTGACGGTCGTGAGGCCCTCCAAGATGGGTCTGTCGCTTTTTGGAGAGTAATTACCAAAAGTGTGTGGTCTTAATAAAGGGGAACCAAAAGGAACACCATCTTTTTTGGGGGGTTCAATTAGAAAAATACACACCCAGATTGACTTCTCAATTATGCGGTGAAGCACTTTCTAAAGCACCGACGCCATGGCCCGATGCCTCCCATGTTCGCTGCTCCTGGGCACTGTCCCAAAAAAAGATTGGGAACGCCGAAAAGCGGCTGGAATGGAAAGAAGAAAAACACCCGCATTTGGCACGTGTTAGGTGACAATTTTAATCCCCACTATAAGGGGGGACGCCCCCCCCGGGTGAAAAGAAATCCGGGGTTATCACTACCACTTCCAAGACACACCGATCTCTCCCCAGGTAAGCAGCTCGCTGGCGCAGTCGCCGGGGTCGCTGCCCGCAGATGGCGGTCGAAGAGCTCCAGCAGGCGCTCCATCTGCTGATGCCGCTCCTTCACGAAATCGGATCCGCACCGAGACGAGACATACCGAGCCCTGGGACCAAGCAGGTATCAGCTTCCCGTTCATTGGTGGCTTGGATTGAAAGGTTGAGTGGTTTGGGGTGATTTCCCGTTTACCCCCTTGAAGTTTGGTTCGTGCTTTGGATTGAACGGCTTGCTGGTTTGGGGAGACTTCCCATTTACCCCCTACAAGGACCAGGGGGTTCAATTCCACATGCAAACCGCCAATCCAAACCACAAACTAAAGCGGTAAGGTGGAGGTGACAAGTTCTGCCCCTCAAACGCTACTCGGTCCTTTCGGCCGTACTGGAATCCATGGGTGTCGATTGGGTGTCCCAGTGGTAGAGGGAAACCGCATCTGGACCTTCCTCAGATTCCCTGCTAAAAGTTTAACTTTCAGTGGGTGAAATTGCAAACCCCACTAAAAAAAACGAGGGAACTGCCAAGGCATGAAATCTACATTACAGTATCAAAGGAACCGCCCTTTAAAAACCAAAAGAACAATGGCTGGCAATACCTAGTGGTACCTGGGAGCCAGAATCCACAGGATGAGAAAGGCTTCCGTCCGAGGAAGCCCCAGGAAGCCAAGGGGTTAAGCGCTCACCTTATGCCTTCGCAGCATCTAAAAGCTTTGGCCATTCTTTGTCCAAAGTGTTCAGCTGACGTTGAAGCACCTGCCTTAGAGGATGTCAAGGATCAAGGATAACTTCGCACCACTCCTCGCCTGGCAACTCCTCGACAGGTGCAAATTGGAATTCCCAATTGCGTGTGTACTTCCGCCTTCCATGGCACACGTTGGATATTGATGTCATGGCAATGCCAGTGTGCATTGATGCTGCAAGAATGGACTCAAACTCGAGCCAGCCGGCCGGCTGGGTAAGCTCACGCCCAAAGAGCCGTTTGCAATTGTTTGGCCTGTGAGTCTTGCTTCCCGCTCTTCGGGAATTTGCATGTTGCACGTTTTGTGCAGGTGTCACATACTCCAGGTTGCTCACAACATTGTTGCCCCGCAGGCCATCCAGATGGTTGACTTGCAAGCCTGCCGAGCTTGGTTGGCCTAGGAAAGTTGCTGCAACTATGCGGTGCACCATGAGCAAGCTGGCGGGGCCTCTAGCTGTCTTCCCCGAAAAGCACATCACATAGTATCCTGCCTTGCTCATTGTCCCGTGTGTGATACGTCCTGAGCCTGTTTTGACACGGCCAAGGCTGCTCACCATCCAATTTGACAGAGCACATGTTATGCCAGGATACTTTGCTGCTAACCATACCTCTCCCGTGAGTGGCTCAGTTTCGGCATACTGGAACTCATACCCAGCAGCCGATCGTTTGCGCCCCGTGCAGCATTTGCTAATGCAGGAGGGGCCCACCCCCAAGATGCGTGCAGCTTCCTTTTGCGAAGAACAGGTTGACCACAGTCTCACTCCGACAGACCTGTATTGAATGGGCTTGCACCAACTGGTGCTTCGCCCGCTTGTTGCCCATGACTGCCGTACATTCTCAGATGGTGTGGCGTACTCCAAATTGCTGGCTGCATTGTTCGCCGAGTGGCCGTTGATGTGGTTGACCTGCGTGTGGGCTGTAGAAAGTGGGGGCCCATGAAATACTCTGGCTACCAAGCGATGAACCGAGTAGCGCTTCCCCGCAATGTGAACCTGCCGGTATCCCGAGGCATCCAAGGTACCGTGGTGAGTCACGCCGCTCGCAGTCCTGACTCGGCCCAGGGAGCTCACTTCCCAGCCATTAATACGCAGCTCCGACTGACACCTCGTCTGGCAGTCCAACCGAGGAAATACGCCAGGCCGCAAAACGCGCTGAGGCCGTCCAAAGGCCCAACAACGATTCCAACATTGCATGGCGGGGGGGTGTCGCAGCGCTTGCTTGCCACCGTCTCCCTTAGCGCCGTGTTGTTCAAAGCATGGCCCTCGGCATCGCACTTGTTACGCAATGTGAGTCACGCTGCCCGATCCGCGGAAAGGGCCCAAAACAGTCTGCGGAAAGGGCAGCAGATTTTACGAGGTGAAGCATTAAACAAACACATCAGTCTCTAGGGGCCAAGCGGCCCGCTGTTGGATCGCTTTTGGTACAGGGGTGACCATTGCCTGTGCTTAATCAAAAGACAACCAAAGCATGCGACGTATCAGCTGTTCAGAGGTTCAGTATCAGCTGCTGAAAGGTTCCCACTCTTTGAGGACCAACGAAACAAAGGCAAATGGAACAAGTTGTGATTTTGATAGATCTCGTGGTAGATCCGTAGCGGGGTTGGCGCCACATGTGTGGATGAGGAAGCTGCTTGGGACCCTTGGGTTAGGTGTGTTGGCACGCAACAACAGACATCCAGTGCACCACCCCCCCCTGCCCCCCCCCCCCCCGCCTCCGCAAGAGCTGCAAAGTACTGGTCCTCAGCGCACCCGCTGACCACTGAGACTCGGTTGCTTTCTGCTCCCCTGCTAAAAGTTTAACTTTCATTGGTTTAGTGAAAAACGCATTAGTTGGCAAAAAGTTAAAGTCCTAACAGCCTTTCGCAAAATGCACCAAAGAAAACTGATTGGGCTCAGGCACCAACGGACCCCTCCAAGCGGGTCTATTTTTGACGCGCATCCCCCAAGTCCAATCCCTCGGCATCTCGGGGCCTCGAAGTTGCCGCCGGTGAGCTGGGTGTTCAGCACCTCAAGTTAGGGGACCAGCCCCAGACTCCGAGGAGGCATGTGTATTTGTATATAGGATATGTATACACATGTGGTATATACATACATATATGTATATATATATATATACAGACACCTTACTCCCTTTGAACCCCTCAAACAATTTGACGTAAGGTCCCTAGTCCTCATTCAAAATATGAAAAGGGGAAGGTCCCCTGTCCCTTGATACCCAACGAGGGGCCTTCTGTTCGCCCTTCTAGCCACCAAACAAAGACATAGTTCCCTGTATTTCCCCTTTAAACATCACCCCTACCAAAGGAACTCACCTTAAATGGACCCATTTAAGGTGATGTTAATGTTTGAAGCCACCAGGAGAAAGAATGGGAATCCTGAAAATCCTCATGGACACCCTCTGGGTTGCCAATTTCTTGTCCCGTTTGTTGGCGTCGGCGAGAGCACCCAAACATGTCGAGCTTGGACCCAGCCACGAGCAACTGGGGCTGGGACAATGTTTGGTCCGTTCTTTCATCCATTCAAGCAGGAGGATTTCGTCCACAGAATGTTTCGGGGGTCGCAAACTGCAAAACCACTCGGACGTCACGCAAAGCTGCGTCCAAGTGGCATAGGCGAAAGGCCCGGCCTGGGCGTGAGAGGTTTACATTGTTCTAACACAACTGCCAGAGTCGGTCACCAGTGTTTTACCTCTAATCTTTGCGTGACACTTATCCCTGGCTACCGCTGAGGGTGGGACACATAACAAATAATATGGCTTGCTTGTCAAAGGGTATGCACAAAGACAACAATCTGCAAAAGTGGAAAGCTGTGCCCACGGGAACGCGCCCACAGGCAATTTGTATCAGAAACCCATACGGAAACCGACTGCCTAAATGGTCACAGCCTAGACTACTCTCCTAAAGAATACACGCATCAAGATTGGGGGAGCCAAAAACAGTGGTGTACCTTTTAGCTACCCTTTAATCAGCTTCCCACGAGTTGGTGGTTTGCATTGGTGGTTTGCATTGGTGGTTTGGGGAATTGAATCCCTGGTCCCGAACCACCCACCAATGCAAACCACCAACCAAAGGGAAACTGGTTTAAACCAAGGTGCCCAACAACAAAACGAGGCACCTCGATTCGGCACCCAAGCACACCCAACCGAGTTCGCTTTGGGCTCCACGCGACTGGATTCGGGCTCCCTCTGTCAATACGCACGTTAAAAGGAAACAAAGCCATGAATCATAGAAAACGCCCACCTAGCTCTCCGCCTAGTGGACATGAACCACCATCGAAATGATGTCCACCAAAAGTTCTCCAAGCAGAACTCGTATGGGTAAAGGCCCATACAAAACCACCATCGACCACAGTACCAAGCAAAAAGGTGTGCCCTGCTCTTAAGGGGTTGACCGTCCCCAAGCAAGGTGCACCATCCCCACCATCCCCTCAACCCCAAACTCGGGTTAGGGTTGACAACCAACTGAAATCCAAGACATGTCAAAAGCCCATGGTTTCATCTGTCTCCATTTGGTGGAATAGATGGGGTTCCCCTGGTAAAAAAAGCCAGAACTAAACCAAATCCAAACCGTTGGAACCCATCTATTTCCAGCCAAACTAACCGATCAAACGGACACCTAGGGGTGGCTTTTCCATAGCCATAGTCAAGACCTACATTTGCACCCGTTGGTTGGGACTGTCGCTGAACTTACCCGAATCTGTGTTCACTGTGACTTAGTTGGGTCCTTTTTGTTGAGGGTACCCTTTTTGGCGGTGGTTTAAAGGGGGCAACCATTAGGGGAAACAAAAACACCGTTTGGGGGGTCCCTGTGTTGACACGTACCCATTTGTATGTGTGTCTGCCTTTAGTACACCCCCAAAAAAACAACAACACCAAAAACACGGTGCCCTCAAAAAGACTCACCCAACAAATGGCTTGAGGGGAAACCATGAGGAGAACCACCCTTTTGGGGGTGTTCGATATGTTTGACACATTCCTGGAGTCTCCTTCTGACCCTTTAAACATGGAGTCATCGACCCCTAGGTAATGACCCCATTTTCTTAAGGGCCAGGAGGCTCGTTACCCATTTGGCTTCCCGGTTGCTCGGCTGCGGGCGGGCCGTGCGCGGTGCCGCAGCTTGGTCCACACCTGGAGGCTTTTGGGCTCGGCTTGGGTTGGTTGGTGGCTTCAGGGAAGACATGGACATATCCCTCTTTTGTTCTTAAATCTGGTACGTTCACCTGTGAGAAACCACCACTTTAGGTCCTTCAGAGGGAAATCGCCTGAAAACGGAACCGATTCATGACGTCGACATCTCTGGGCTGCCCACCACCGAGCGTGTGGCCAAAGGCCACGTGTTCCGAGCCTCGCGCAACTTGCGCCCACGCGCAAATCCAACCCCCCGATGACCCCCCCCATCTCTCTACTCAAGACTTGGGTGCTGTAGATCCCCCAGCAAAAAGTTGTTCACTTTTGCTGGTTAAAAGGAAACATAAAGGGAATCCAAAAAGATAAAGTCTAAAGATCCAACCCAACAGCGGTAGAGAAGATAAGGCCAGAGAGTACTTTGTGAGCATCTCCTTCTTGGGAACAGAAGGGGGAGCCACGGTCAATTGAAATCAAGTTCCCCACTGAAGGTGGATTTAGTGAGCCCTCCCAAAGTGTTGGGAATTTAGAGAGTTCCTCCCAACTGAACCATAGAATGGACAAATGGGCCAAGCAGAAGAATGGAGCCTTCAGGCGGAGCAGCGCACGCAAAAAAAACAAAAAACAAGTACCATCCCTAGCATGGCACCTGAAAGGGAATCCCTTCCAAAGGAACTTGATCTTCGAGGTGGCCTCCGGTTAGTGGAAGGAAGGGTACCCATCGCCGTCTGGTTTCCCCGGGAGATCCTGTGCTTTTGGGTGGAAACCTTTGCAATGACTGGCCTTAAAGATGTCAAAAATTAAAGTCCCTCGCCCGGGTTCAAGGGAATGAACCCCAGACTCTGACTTTCAACCCCCGGAAACAATCAAAACTCAGCTTCCCTCTCGTTGGTGGTTTGGTGGTTAAGGGGTGGTGCCCCTATTTACCTGCTACCAGAACCAAAAGTTCAAATCCCAAAGTTGCCTGACGCAAAAAACAACAACAGACATGAGGGATCAGTTGGGTCCTTTGAAGTGACACTCTCGACCGTATATATTGAATGTTGGTGAGCACACTAGTGATATGTGCCAAAATAGGGGGACCTCGAAACTGGTGGCTTTCCTCTGTGGTTTCCCTTTAAACCAACCCACACAGACCCATGGGACCCATATGCTCTGGCCATAAGGCCATTTCAACAAACATCCGGCGAATGGATTTTGCAAACAGGACAATGGCTACCTACTACGCCACTAGAGCCGTAACTTGGAGCGAGTCCTTTGCCAGGGCCAAGGATTGAAGAGTGAGAGGAAGAGACGAGCGAAGTCTATGCACCGTACACATCTCACTTCCGTGGAGTGGTCTGACATTCCCGGCTTGGCGACAAAAAATAGGACTCCAAAGTTGAAAGCTAGAAGACTGGCGAGGGAAGCCTTTGCCCTGATCCAAACAATGGCCTTGGGACCCAATTTGGATGAACATCCTGAAGGGCAAAAAGGTAAAACACGTGGTGGTTGTATTAAGCCCCATGGTTGTAATCGCGGTTTGAACGCAGGGGGGTTGTAGAACCCGAATGAACCCAGGACCTAACTTGATCTGTTGACGCATCGGCCACTCACCCTCCGCTCACCCAACTCGCCTGTGGCTGTCCAGCTCCTCCAAAAGCTCCTATGCTTCGGGGAGCAACACTAAGTGATTTCCCTTTTATAAACTAATCTGAACAAACAAATAAAATATACGTATTTGGGGTTTTGGGGTTTTGGGGTACTATCCCTAAAGGTCCTAAGGGTACTTTCTGAGGGTCGCGCCACACCCCCCTGAACAAAAGGTCGATCACCTGTTCTACGTTTAGTGGAAAAGCCACTTGTTTCCTCAAAGGCAGGGACCGTCTAGGTATAATTCAATCCTGATACATGGGTTCACCCCATAGCAAAAAAACACAACACAAGTGAGCTGGTTGGGAAAAACAAGAAAAAGAAACACATCCTTCAGGGCATGTTCTTCCAATCCAAATCGCATATCTGAAGGGTAGCTCATTTCGGGTGCTTAGCAAATGCAACACCTGCCCAGATGGGCCGGCGGTCGCTTAAAGGCTAGCAACTATGGTCACAAGGACTCACAAGAAGTCACACTGTTGGCGTACTAAGGTGTGTTAAACCACGGGTGCGGAAAATGAAACTATAGTTTCCTTTGGGGTTGTCACCGTCATAGGCTGTTTCGCACCCAGCAATCTCTTTGACACGCAAACAAGCCACAATGTTTTCCCGTTGTGCAAGGAGGTAAGGAGACGAACAAAAACAGAACGAGCTGTGGCCGCCTGGCCGATCCAAGCGCGGCCCTCCCATCCACAACATGCACCCACCAAGGAGCTGTACGGATTTTTGAGATCGCGGGTACGACCCCCCCTTCCAGACATGACCTCTGGGGTGTTCAATGTCTGCCACCTGGGTTGGGCAAGTTTTGTCGAATCAACCCGGCCCTGGTACCCTTGAAAGGAAACAAGGATAATGATAAGACAAGTTTAAGCAAGCGGTTGGCCAGATGTACGGAGCAAAGATAAATCTGCATAGTGTTGCTAATAAGCTCCATTTCTCATTCCCTGCATCTCTCGCACCGATCGCAAGTATACACCCCCAAACTAACATGGAAGCTCCCTCAATTGGCCGATCCTGTAAATGGAACCCAGTCTTCCATTTCGGGGTCCTGGGAGCTTCCATGTTAATGTTGACCCCGGATAAATTAAACCCCTGTTTATGAAAATCGGGGGTTCCCCTCCAAAAGTGATAAATCCCCACTAAAACCGGGGACCCCCATTTTAATAAACAGGGGTTTATGAATCCGGATCAACATTGGTCCGGGGGAGGGTACAAGTGTGCAACGATCGAAACCCGAGAGCTGTGCCAACCAGGGTTCCGTTCTTTGACTACCCCAAGGTCGACTTAAACCCAGGGCTTTCCCTTTTGGGGAAAGCAACCACCCCTGGGTTTAAGTCGACTTTGGGGTAGTCAAAAAACGGAGCCCTGGTGCCAACGATTTCTCTCCTTCAAGGTCCAGCATGGCGTCCGAGGAGATCTGCGCCGCGCCGCTGTCGATGGCCTGCCCCCGCCGCCGATGGGCGCGAATTTTCGGTGAACCCGGTGCTTCCTAAGAAACCCAACGGTTCCTGAAGCGATTCCCCTATAAAATACTAAGAAAATGGCTTCTACCGTGGTGTCATTCCTTGGTGCGAAATGGATTTTGCAACCATCCACAGTAGCTACCGTGTCTCCCTCGTTGTCCTGGCAACTGACAGGGAATTGGTCCCTCCAAGATGAAACTCATCTTCCAGGTGCGTCCCCACAGGTGCTGTGTTAGTGGAAGGATGGAGAACCAAGACTCCTTACCTCTGGGCTTTACATTATGGTTTCCCCTGGCCTACTATTGTGATAGCTGGCAGTGGGAAACAGTACCTAGTGACCAGCCAACATTGCCCTCCAAAAACGGGTCACAAGCCCAGTTTACCTGGAAAACCAAGGTAAACACTTCAGAACGCTCGAGGGGCCGTTTCGCCTGCTTCCAACATGGAAGTCGACTGGAGGTTTTTGCAAAACTGCCATCATGATTGGAAACAGGCTATCCACAAATCACAAATTATCTAAGCCAGTGCTGCACTATTTCTGGCTCCAATGGGATATATATATATATATGTATGTGTACATATAACGGGATACATATATATATATATATGTATACATGTAGTTATGGCTTTGTAGTGGTGATATCTCCGATTTCCAGGCATTCCCCGAACTTGCGGGGGAAGTTGTTAGTGGCAACCAGGGGTTGGACGTGCCTGAGTCAACCGTTGCAATAAGTTTGGAGCAACCCTTTGCTATTGCGCGCAGCTGCCTCCCAGTTGGAGGTGTCTCGCATGTACAGCTCATTGACCTGGCGATCCGATAGATGGCCCTAAGTGAGCATAGCCTCCAAGCGGATTGGCGCAACATGGGCGCTGCGATTTTCCAGGGAAAATCGGTAAGGGGAGTGCCCCCATCTTTCTTTTCTTTCTTTCTCGATTTCCGTCTTTCTTTCTTCGTTCCTTATTTCGATTTTTCCTTTTTGGGCTTCCCTTGAAATCCCCCAAAACGGGACCTTTGGGGTTTCACATTTTGGGGTCTCCGAACAAAAGCGTGGCTCCGACCGATTCCCATAGACCAAGGAGACCAAGGTCTGCACGAGAAGTCGCCCGTGGAAGGAGCTGCTGACCATCGACAGGTCCGGCGCGTTCCCATAGACCTGGGACGAAGTTTGGAGCGTGCGGCGGAGAAGCCACTTGGGTGTCTCAGTTGTTCAGTGACCCTCGAAAAAAAAAAAAGGGAACCCTTTTTGGGAAAGACCATTTTTAGTGGGGCAGCCACCAAGAAAAAGGGAAAAAGGGTGCCACTGAACAACTGAGGTGTGGCTCAAAAATTAAACCGGAGGGGCAAACCGTAGGCTTTGGTTTATGTTTTCATTTATTAAGGTAAGCCATTTTGGTACCCGTTTGTTTCTATTTACCAGGGCAAGCCATTTTGGAATTCCGTTTTTTTGAGCCACAACCACTTGTGAGCAACCTCCGACATCTGCCAGCTTTCACCCATAAAGGCACGGTGTTGGAAACAAATGCACACAACTTGATTGAAACCAAGATGAACAGCAGAAAACACACAAAATAAAACCGGGTGCTGCTCAACTGGGTGCTTAGAGTGTCATATCGACCATCAATTCGCAGCAGGCAGTGCTTCGGACCTAATATTGATGAAACCAGACCCAGGATTCCAACTCAGGCTTATCGTCGCTATCAAAGTGAAGCATGAACCTGACTGACAAAAAATGATTTTAAGAAAAATCCTTGATCTAGGCAACCTGGAACTACCCCGCCATTCAGCCCCATGCTCACCATCCTCGTGGATTTGTTGGACCGTGGCCAAGTTGCTAGACGGCCGAACAATGAATGTGGGTAGGCGCCTTTGTAATGAAAGCGATGACCCCATCCCTCTACCTCACTTGCCCAGTCAAGTCCTGCTACGAGTTTGAAGGGAAACTAGTAAAAGCTGCCAAAGTTTGATACCAATGGGCAAACCTTGGGTATGAACGACCTCTGATCATCCTTAGGAAAATAATGGTGATATGGGTATGGGTCAAAAATAGGTACCCAAAATAGAACCCTGGTAAATGGAAACATAGACTAAAACCTGCGGTCCAATTCCTGGTGGTTTATTTTTGACTCATACCCACATGAACCCCCGTTGTTTTCATAGTGGCCGGCAACTGAACCCTTCAACCCACATTGAAAGAATGGTTGACCCAATTGAGATGAGGATAATCCGGAGGTAAATAATGGTGATTCTATTTGAACTCCCTTTGTTTGAGGGGTGGTTTGAACCCGCATTGTGGTATATGGTGGTTATATGAACCCGCATTTGGGTACATCATGGTGGTCATATTTTTGAACCCAAACATTCTTTGAGGGGTGGAATCCTTACAGGTACATAATGGTGGTTATATGGCTGTGGCTCAAAACATGTACCAAAATGGCAATTCCGTAAATGGAACCAAAGACTAAAACCGCGTAGCCCTAGCTCTTGAATTTTGAGCCACAGCCGTATGAACCCAAGCATTGGTTGAATGGTGGCCCGCCTGCCTGCAACTGACCTCCAGCGTGTCAGGCGCCCAACGAAACTCCTCGCCCCTGGGCGCCCCTTGCCGCGTCCCGCAGCGCTTGCGCCCGCAGAACGGAGGAGGCGATGCGCTTGTAGCCCACCTCAGGGCTGGGGAGTCGAAGGACAAACGACACGGAGGACGGTTGGGGGGGAAACCCCCCGTTGGTTTCCAGCTGAAGAAAAGAACAACGGGGTTCCAACCGAAAAAAAGAGAAAGAAAAAGTTCAGGCAGGCCACCGTTAAAACAATGGTTGGGTTCATACAACCATTGTTCACCCTTCAGGATTCTCATCCGAATTGGGTCCCAAGGCCATTCTGTGAATGGGGGCAAGGAACCCCAGGGGTTGGGTTGGGCCCAAAGAATCCGTGGGTTTCCCCCCTTGGTGTCCAGCTGAAGGAAAGAACAACGGGGCTCCAACTGAGAAAAGAAGGACGAGGTATGCATGCAAGCGACATAGGTAATTATTCACCATTGGAATACCTTCATGGGTCAGTTCCTTTGGTATAGATAACCTACAGTCGGATTGGGGTAAGTGGCTGGGTTGGCCCTGGCTCCCCACAGGGACTCCTGTGGTCCCCCTGGAACGTGTCACACTGGCGACAGCCTAAACAGCCGCTACTCTCTGAGTCCTGGCTTAGAGGCCTTCTGCTTCCCCGATCAATTCAGGGCCCTCAAACAGCCAGGTTTTGGGACCCCCAAACACCTCCGAGGTGTCCAATGGAGGGGTCCGGTCTTCCATTGCAAGCCCCAGGAGCCTGTTGCTTGTCAAAATGTTCACTGACCAGTCCTCGGGATTTAGACTTCCCAATAGACACTAAAACGTGTGAAGCCCAAACTGGATGGACAGTTTCTGGCTGAAATGACCCGAAAAAAAGGTTCCCCTCAACATAATGACATTCCCATTTGCGAATATGGTGCAAAGCAGATACTTGCCCTTGACTCTTCCAAAGAAGAACCAAAACATACCTACCGGTAATCACAAGTTTACCAACCACTTATCCCGTTAAAACCAAAGAAAACACTTAAAATGGCTCAAACCACGGAAATGGGGGGGGCTCTACAACTTCCTGATTCCTGGAGCTCCGGATTTCACTGAACCTCCCCCCCCGCCCTCAAGCGCTACAGTGAAACTCTGTCTCAAAACTCCAGAGGCAAGCACACTATGTAGCTGCACATTGCACCGTTTCGGCTGAGAAACATTTTGCTTGGCCAGAAATCACTGCAAAAATACTTCTCTCCCGCACCAAGGGATACTGTGGATGGACGAAATCCGTTGGCGCCACTTTGATACCATGGGAAACCACTGTTTGCTGGTTAGTATTTGCAGGGGAATGATCATTCCAGGGTCTCTTAGGCGGTGCAGGATTTCGTCCATCCACAGTATGAATGGATCTCTGATACGAGCTCCTGCATGGACCCATCTGCGGCACGAATTCAACTGGAGTGGCAGCCCTTCCTTCGCTTCGAACCACGGCCTGCGTGAGGATGTCCATCCCCTCCAGGCCCTCCTGCGGAAATGGGCCCCTTAAGTGGCACATACCTGGAGTCTCCATGATCCTTGAAAAAGCCTTTCTGTGTAGAAATGGGGTCATTACGCAAAAGAAAGGGGTCCTGACTCCCCATGATTAAAGGGTCATGAAAACTCCAGGTACTCCTTTCTCGTAAGCGGAAGTCCGTAACAGCCGGCCGACAGCAAGAAACAAATGGAACCCATGGCCGGAACTTGTCTGAGAGTCCGAATTGAGAACGGGATGGATGAGATGGATGGGGCCCCTTTCGTAACCCAACAGAACATTCACACATTTAATTGCCCTCGAGCCGTGCCAAGTGTAATGCCTATTCCTTTCACTACGTAATTAAGCGATCCCACAAACGATATCAAACTGGGACTCCCATCCCTGTGATTACTGTGTCCGTTGGGGGATTCTCCAAGAGTATCATGGCCAGAACCTCATTTAGCAAGTAATTATGAAGCTCAGGAACCGAACAAGAGACACTCCTGACCAGTGTTGCGATCGCTTTCTTCCAAGGCCCCTTAAATGCATCCACAGCTGCAGGAACGTTGGATTCATGTAAGTCGTTTTCCTCAACTTGTCAACTACTACGGCCCCACCACTTCTGAATGAGGTGGCGACGGGCGATTAAACTGAATTTCGGCCAGATCATGCCACAATCCATGCAGGCCACACATGGATTGTCTGCCATGGGGATTGGCAACCCGAACTTTACAGAACTCCTGGTAGCTCCAGAGCTCCGCCTTCAAAAACCAGCAAGCTATCGCAATTGAGTCGGTGCCTGGAGTCTCCATGACCCAAACAAAAAAGGGGAGTCATGCCCCCTTTGTTTGGGGTCATGACCATAGGTGGCCTTTTGGAAAAATAGATGGCCCTGGTAAATGGAACAAAACCCATCTAAACCAGTGGAACCCATCGATTTTTTTAACCAGGCTCACCGATCAAAAGGACACCTATGGTAATGACCCTGATTTGTTTGGGTCATGGAGACGCCAGGCACCGACTCATTTCACAAATCCAACTTCTGAGCTCCTGCACGCAGATCACATCCGGCACATCCACTAGGATCCTCGATCCGACCACCCCCGGGCCCCCCCCCCCTCTCCCACACCCCTGGAAGGCTGACCATGGGATCTCGCACGCGGAAATTGGTGCATGTTTGATCAGGGTCGCTGAACCAAGCAAAAGGGTTATCATTTGGGCTTTCGCATAGAATGGGGATCCCCTAACATGGCAAGGCTTTTCCTCTTGGTTTCCATTCAAAAAGCAGCCACATGGGGCCTTGAGAAACACCGCGCCCCGTGCCATGCACTCAAGCTCATAAATTCATTTGCTCTGGGTTTGTCTCAATCCGGGAGGACCAAAAGGGAGACCTTGAAAAGAAGATTCCTCTCCAAGGTTGTGCCTTTCTTTTTTCCCGCCCCGAAATGCGTAACCACGGACGCTCCCATGTTAATGTCAACCGGGTTAATCCGGAGGACCCGACCAGACTCGAACAAAGGAACTCGAAACAAGTAAATGGGGACCCCCCTCTTGGTGCAGTTCTCCGGATTAATCCGAGGTGAACATTAGCCAGCTTGACTTGCACTTGTCTCAAACCCTAGCTTGACTTCAGTTTCTTTTGCCAACAACCCAAACACCTTTTAGACCAGAAAAGCAAAGCGAGCTAACTGAGTCATAATCAAAACCCGGTATTAACATGGTCTACCCAGAACCATGTAGAGCATTAAGAAGCCGGACATCCGCAGATATTTGTGGCTGGAATTGTCTCTTACTTATCATCTACCCGGGTCTTGATAGTGGCTCAACTGCAAGCGCCACGGTGGCTCAGCGCCCTACCGCCGCAGCTCTTTCTGCAAGGCCTGCGGCTGAGGGTGTTGCTCCAAGAAAACTGGGAGCCTTACATTATACGCCTGAACATTGCAACTTGTAAATGGTGGTTTCCAACTTTATTTTGGTGGAAAAGAAGTCACATGTTGCAAATGGTTAATTTCTTTTAAAGAGCCCTGGAAAAGGGTCGTCTTGTTTTTAGTTAACGACATCCCCTTGTGGTTGAGTTGCGCCCAAAGAATCCATGCTGAGTTTCCCACCTGAGTGTCCAACTGAAGGGAAAAAAACAAGGGGTTCCAACCGGAAAAAAAAGGCGCTGCGGGTGTCAAAAATCGGGTAACCCCAAAATGGCTTGAACCCTGGTAAGTGGAAACATGGACCAAAATATGCGGTTAATTTCCTGTTGGTTCAATTTTGACCCACACCCACATCCCCTTGTGGTGGTTGTCCTTGCCAGGAAACCGCATATGAGCGCTTTGGCACCATCACATAATCCGAACAATTGTGTTTCGTGACGCAAGCAAGAGCCATTTGCAATCCAATGTCGCACAAGAACAAGTTGCAATCAAGGGTAGTTGCACTCAGCAAAACATGCTTAACACTCATGGCATAATGGGGTGTCTGAGCTGCCTGATTGATCTTCATGAATCTTGCCGCTCCCAAGAACGTCCCTGGCATCATTATGAAACAAACAAGCAAGCAAGCAAACAAGCAAAAGAGCAAACAAACCCAGACCGACAGACAGCCGGCAGGCAGGCAGCCCGGCACGCAGCCAGGCCGGCAGCCAGGCCGGCAGACAGACGGGCAGACAAACAAAACGCATCGATTCAGCATCTGCCCAATTGCAGTTTCAGCCCCACTGGTCCGTTGCAACTTCTGCCTGCCAGTCCCTAGGAACGCAGGCGTAGCGCCGAAGGTTCATGGTCAGGATGACCAGCTCCTGTGGAGCCTCACGCCGGAACGGAAGGATGGTGGGGAACTCTGCTACCATGTGAATCCGCGAGCGGATTCTTCGGGAAATGAAGTACGGAATGTGGGTCTGTCTTTTTGGAGGGTACCCCTTTTTTGGTGAAGAAAAAGTAAAAGGATGACCACCGTGTTGGGCGTTCCCAAAAACAGACGCCCATGTCTTGACCACGGGACCCTTTTCGAGTTCCCTTAACAAACTCAGTGCTTCCAGCTACCACTATAGTGGGTAACCAAAGGAAACTGTCCATGGTAAAACATAGGTCAAAAACAGAAAACTGAAGGGTTACCTATTGTGGCGAAAAGCCTGGAAGCACTCCAATAGGTTGCCCTCTTATCATTTAACAAGAAGGGGCTCAAATCCCACCAATCCAAACCACAAACCTTGCGTGCTGTAGATCTAGCAGCAACAAGTTTCACTTTTTGGAGGTTGAGGTTGAAAGGAAACATCTTGAGCACCCAACAAGTGTTAAAGTCTAAAGATCCAACCCAATAGCAGAGAAACTGGTTGCCCGACTTGTTCTCTTCCGCAGACGGAAAAAAATTACACCGACCCTCCCAAAAGCGAATCGATCTGAGGATCACGATCTGAGGCCGTTGCGTCCCGCAAGTTCAGCATGCCCTGGGCCGGGGATGCTCGGTCCCTTCAGCTCCCAGGGGGATGCTCCTCTGGGATGATCAAATGGCCAGGGGATGCTCAAATGGGATGCTCAAGTGGGATGCTCAGAGCATGAAATGGGAAGCCAACAGGAAGCCCAGCTTCGGTACGGAATGCTTTCCAGCGCCCGATTGATTTAGGGGCTTCAAAGAACCTGGTGTTGAGACGCCCAACCTCCGGGCCAAGAGGAGAAGAGTTGCTCTGGCCAACACTAAACGTTCATGCACAAACACGAGAAGCCCAAGCTGCTTGTTGTCCACAGACAATATTCGCTAACAGTGAAGTCTCCAGCCAAATCTGATGTGCGAGGGGACGTGAGAGGTTTGTTCCAGGTTTATTTGGAGATGGCCCCAGCCAGAAACTCATGCGGCGTCTACCCTATTTATACCTTTGGTTCATGTTCATTGCAAACAACTTTTCAACAGACAGGTTCGTCTCGGACTCGAATTATGGCTTTGTGCTCCCCTCGTTCAAACAAAACCAAACGGGTACCTTCAACACTAAAGAAGCGCAAACCTTGCGGTTCCATGTTTAATGGAGAATCCACTCCACCCAAAAGGGAACAATGACAAATTGTGTCACACGACTGGGATCGAACATATGGTCCATGAACTTCCCCCCCAAACAGAAAACATCAGCTCCCCCCCTCCCCCCCCCCCCCCCCATTTCGGGGCGCAAACCTGCGACAAAAAGAGGCCCCCCAGGTGTGCGGTGCACTTGGTGCATGGTCCCAACCCGAGCCTTCTCGGAAAGTCTTGGTTGACGTTGAAAGGGGAGCAAAACATTAAATTTTAGCGGTTAAGTGGGGATTTCCCACTAAACCACAATAAGCAAAAATGTAAAATGCTTCCCAACAACAACCATGAAGTGAGCAAGAATCAGTCTGTGCATAAAACCAATGGTATTCGCTCGCATCGAAGGTAGATCTTCTTTCAAAAAAAATGAGTGGGACATCCAGCCATGTGAGAATTTCATCCCTCGACTTGGGGGTTGGGATTGGTGGCTTAGGGGTGAGGGATGGTTTCCGAACAGCTCACATTTACCCTGAAAAAGAAACCAGGGCTTCAAATCCCCCAAGCCACCAATCCAAACCACCAACGGGTGGCCGAAGAACAAGGAAATTTCCCCCCTGTAAACCATCCCTGGCTTCCTTTCAGTAAATCCCGAATGATTTGCTCAAGCCAGGGCGGACCAAATCCCCCCCCTCCCCAAAAAAAAACTCAAAAAACAAAACAACAAAACGAGTATAATAGATAACCCTGCACCATGTTCCTTTGGTTTTCAATCGGCAACTCCCTTAACTACCTGTGGAACGTGCAATCATCACCAGGAAACAGCAAAAACACACACACAAATAGGTAAGGTTTTTTTCTCGCAACCGGTCCCAAGTCCTAAGCCTTATTGCCATTTGCTTAAGACCCCTGGAAAAAATGTCCAGCAGTGATAGATTCCCTTCAAAACCAACAAGGGAAAACACAAAAAGTATTCATTTGAGCAGGACAAGTATCCTTCTAAAACCGACCAGGGAAAATGCGACATATTATTGAGGAGACGGCAGCTTATGGACGCCCCGTCGCCTCGAAGCACTCATCCCACTGCCTGTCCAGATCCTCCTCGCCCCTCAGAGGATCTGAGGTGCTGAGGTGCTGAGGTGCTGGATGGGTCCACAAATTTTTCGGGGCTTCCCCCGTTCTGGGTACCCCGTTTTTTGGGTAGGGCTTAGGGTTGGGTACCCCTTTTTTGGAGTTGCCGTTTTTTGGCTGGGTACCCCTTCTTGGCAGGGAGTGGCGCAGCCATTAAAAAAAATGGGAAAAAGGGTGCCACTGAACAACTGAGTTTAGGGTTGGGTGCCCCTTGTTTAGAGTGGGGTACCCTCTGTTTGGCTGGTTCTAAAAGGGAAACCATGTTTTTGGACAACCACCATTTCTTTGGAGTTGGGTACCCTTTTTTGGCTGGTTTTAAAGGGAAACCAAAAGGACAACCACCAAGTTGGTGGGTAAAAGCCATATACCCACATCCACGGCGTAGTTCCTTCAATAACGAACACCTTCAAACATGCACCAAGTTGGAAAACACATGACATGGCAGGCTTTTAGCTGGGAAAACCGAAGAAACAAGTTGGTAGCACAACAGTGCTAAACCAGGCCATAGCTGTGACAACCCCATCATTTTTGTGGATTGATTCCTTTTCCATTCTTTTCAACCATCGTTCTTTTCACCAACCGGATCCGTTTTGAACCTGGGGTTCTTGAGGTTTTGTAGAAAGAAGGATCCCTGGAAGAATGGGGAAGGTCCCCTAGCAACAAAGGGCCAACAACATTTGCCCAACCATAGCAGGTAATGGAACCACCGATTAGAAACTAGCCAAAACATGCCTCACCTAGCCTGGTGCTTCCAGTTTCAATAGTAACGGGTTCTTTCCTCTAGGCTTCACATGATGATCTGACGGTTTTGGGAGATGTTCACCTCGAATATTTGAAGTGTAGGGACCCATGTAATTGAAAATAATTGGACTCATCGTGGGGGTAATATTTTTGCAGTTGGAATGGGGATATACCTGGAGTCTCCACTTCAAAAACTATCTCACCCAAAATAAATAAAGGGGGCATGACCTCAATTTTTGAGGGTCATGGAGAATCCACCACACATGTCCCCATCAAGGTTCCACTTGTTGACTACCCCAGCCCGGGTAGACTTAAACCGCCAGGGTAGACTTAAACCAGGGTGGTTCATTCCCCCAAAAGTGGAACCCTCATGGGGATACATATATATATATATATAAATATGGGAGTTTCTCACAATAGGGACCCTTTCTTGGATGGTGTGAAAGGGAAACCAAAAGCAAACACCACTTCAAACCAGAATTTGTCCCCAATTTTGGAAGAAACACCAGCAGAAATTCCTTCCATCCGGGCGGGTCTCTCTCACGGGTCTCGCAGGTCTCACGAGCTCCGCGCACGATCGGCTCCATTCGATCTGCGACTTCACCTGGAGCCGAGCGATCCCAAGTTGCATAGCCATGAGGGCCTTGAACCAATGGCCTCAAAGAACGAGGTCTTGAGCTCCTAGGGGAATTCGTTTTTGGTTCTTTTCTTTTTTTTAAAGGGGAACAAGAATAAACCACCTGGAGACTTCCAAGACTTGAAAACAATTCTATGGAGATGGAGGTTTTTCTACACACAGAGACAAACAAACAAAGCAAACACAATAAACACGAAGCTTTGCTCAAGTGGTATCTAGCTTCTATAGGCGCCCTGAAAGCGACAGAACAGCCTTGCTCCTCGACGCATCGAGGCTTCGCATGCAGGGTGGGTTTCTCCGTGCATCCGATTTTTCGCCGCCGCAAAAAGGAGCAAGATGTTGCTCCAGTCACCAGCCCGCTCGAATAAGACATATTGGACCCTTCCGTCCCAGAGAGCGAGGTCGAAATCCCACTTTACCCATCGCGTCGATCAGAATTGAGTCTCCATGACCTCTCAAAAAAGGTGGGTCATTACCCAAAATAAAGATTCGGGTCATGACCAACCATTTCTGATTCGGGTCAGAAGAGGACTCCGGGTAGGGGGAACCAGGACCCATGTGCTTAAGGTGACCGTGTCCAAACCCAAGCCACCGAAGCGCTGACTCTCTAAGAAGAAAAGCACTAAAAGAGCACTAAAAGAGTATAAAAAAGAACCTACAGGGGTAAGGTTCTTAAGTAAAATCCAGAAGAGCTCATCCAAACCGTTTTCTAGAGACCCCTTGCATTCCAACCATCAATCTTCCCTTTCCCAAATGACCAGGGATAACTTTTCCCATTTGGTGGCAACATATCTTCTTTTTTGGTTTTTACCAATGGTTGGTTGGTTGGTCGGTTGGTTGGCTGGCTGGCTGGCTGGCTGGCTGGCTGGCTGGCTGGTTGGTTGGTTGGTTGGTTGGTCATCCCAGGCAAGGCTCCTTTTGATCAACCCCCCATTTAGAGCCATAGCAAGTTTCGCCAGATTGCACTTCATAGCGAAGGATTCATGGGTCCTCAGTGGTTCAGGAATCTGAAGGCTTTGGGAAATGGTCCACCGCGGAACCGGCTCATCTATCGCAGATGTTGCCTTGGCTCCTGGTGCCGTCTCCCTTGCCACTATTGTAGGTGCCCTGCCATTGTTCTTTTGGTGTTTAAAGGGCAGTTCCCTTGGTCACCTATAGTGGGAAATGAAATCACTGGGTAATTTGGTTACATTTTAGGAACATGGGCCAAACGATTCTCGTGCACTTATAAAGTGTGGTTTGTCTCAAAAGCAGGGGTCCCAAAGATGGTATTTCTGTTGGCTTCCCTTCAAAGCAACCCCAAAAAGGCATCCTCAAAAAACACTCTGCAGCACAAGGCACAAGTGGTTCCATTGCTCTGTAGAGCAGGGAACCAAGGGAACCGCCCTGCAACAACTACAAGGACATTAGCGAAGGGTTACCTACTACCTGGAGTCTCCAAGACCCTTTAACAATGGGGTGATGACCCCTATATTTTGGGTAATGACCAACAATTTTTAAAGGGTCGTGGAGACTCCAGGTATACTGGCTCTCCGCAGGTGATCCACGGGTGACCTCCCCTCACTCCACTCCCCTGCAGCTCGAAAGCAGCCCTCGCCTCGGCAACATTTCGTGGCTGGCCGCGCGGGCTGACATGCAAGGTCCGCACATACGATGGAAGCACAACTCGTCGCTTAGTTGTTCTGCACACGCAAATTAGATCACGCACTGAAATGAGGAATCCACGTGTAGCAAGCATTCATCATGCTTGGCTCGTTTTGTTCGCAGCTCGTTCCAATGTGGCTAGTGGCAGCCATGGTGTGCAGATATTGGGGTCAGTGCTTTGCATGCGTGACATGCTACGTGTTGTTTCCCGGGTCAAGAGGCAGCAATTGCGCCGTCAAAACTTGCTGCGCTGATGTCTGCACGCCCCATGGTCTTCAGGTTGCTACTGCCTTGGGCCATTTTGCCAGGACATCTCAGTCGCGCGTTTGCCGCGGGCTCATGCCTCGAATGTCAAAACCAAGCTACGCCATTTTGATTTGTTGATGTGTCAATCGAACAGCCCTCCTTGCAAAATAAACTGCCTGATGACTCCCGCGGGTATGATTTCAGGAACGCCTGGTTGTCTTCGGATACAATTTCCCAGTGGCCGGGGTTCATATAACCGCCATTATGTTCTTAAACATTTTCACGCAAATTGGGTCCTGGCCATTCTTTTCATGGGGGCGTTTGATACCCAAGGGCCTCGACGGAGCTGGTCGAGAGACCCGCCGGAAGGCCAAGGAGGAAGGCGATCCGGAGTGGGGGTCGGTGGGTGCGGGTGGATGTGGGGGGGTGGGGGTGGGGGTGTGTGGGGGTGGGTGTGCTTGGGTGTGGGGGTGGGGGGGGACTCAGCTGCACCACTTGGATTTGTCGATCGAACATCCCCCCTTGCAAACAAAACGGCCCGGTCAATCCTGTGAAAATATTTGAAGGACCAAGCCTGGTTGGCTTCGGATATAAAGTCTGGACTCACAATCTCCAAATCGCCAATATCTCTTCCAGATTCCACCTGGGACGAAGAGTCTCTTGCATGACTTTTCTATCCCTACTATGGATGGGCGGAATCCTGCACCACCCAAGAAACCCTGGA